CTCTTCCTGCTCTCCTCTCCAGTCCATTCCATCACTTGCCTGTCCATGACCTACAAGGAAAGCTGGGTTAAGATGAGCTAGAATTCTAGCTTCTTGCCTGATCCGCTCACCAAGTTTGTATGCAGTCTTTCGCATCTTGACGAAGATAATTGCCCTGGACGTTTCGTCTTCTTGAACTTTGCGAATGAAGTTCTGAAGTTCCTTGACAAGATATTGATACCTGTCACTAAATGTGAACAGACTTGAAATGCGCTTAAGGTCTTTGATCGATAATTCCAGAGTCTTCAACTGATTCAAGGAACCAATGAGTTTTTTCTTTAGTTTCTCCATTGGCGAAGTGGCAGTCTGCATCTGCCTGATGCAATCTTCGATGCAATCAACCGCATACTCGTTGCCCAGAATATTGTTGATCTCTATCACACTCAGCATGTGCATGGCATGTTCCCCTAGTGCCAGTCCTCTTACTCGGCTCTGGTCACCATAGCAACTTTCCATCAGCTTGCGCAAGGCGCCACGATAAGATGGGGTTAAAATGGATAATCTATCAAGCGCGCGAGGGCTTCCTGCTTCGTCTTCGATCATCTTCGTCAGGGATTCAACATACGATACCACGGAGGATTGAAGAAGTTGTTGCTTTCCGTTCAAAGGAACAACATGATAGGATGTTTGTGGTCTGTTCCAGTACAACTCCAGATCACCTGACCACAAAGGCATACGCGCGCATGCGCACAGATTTGAAAGCAGTTCTTCGATTTTCGTCTGTGTGGTTTCCAGCTTGTCTGCTCCGGCAGGAGATGCAGTAAGCGCTAGCACCAGCGGCTTAAACCTGTTGTTTGTGGTTTTGTAGTAATCTCTCATAATTTGATTGTAGCTGTGGTTTCCCAAACAATGGTGTGCCTCGTCAAAAACCAGTACCGATATATCGGACATGCGCAATACAGCGTACTCATCAGCCATCAGATTTATGAGAATTTGACTTGTCATCACCAGAAGATCGATCTTGTTTTCCGTAAGCGCTTGAATGGTTGCTATCCAACGTGATTTATCCCCTGGGAAACGTCCGATATCCCCGGCCAGTATCTCCACCCTTAAATCTGGTACCTGTGACTTGACATATTCACTCTGCTGGTAAACCAGGGGGATTCTGTCAACAAGGAACACCGTCAATTTGTCCGGGTTGAGCTTCTTCATACAGCTCAAAACCATTGCTGCTATCAGCGTCTTTCCTGAGCCCGTGGGCAAGTAGACCAGCGTATTCCCCCGTATGGCCTGTAAGAAGAGCTCTCGTTGGTATCCTCTGGGTGCATCTTTTGTCAAGGATAAAATTTCTTCTGTACTGAGGTTGACGTCACAATAGACAAGAGGTTGTGCTGGTGTCCGTGTACGCGTGACTGCCCGTGAAATCGTTCCACTTAGCTGCGACATATTAACGACTTCAAGGCCATACTGTATAATTTTATCCTTAATCTGCTTTAACTTCTTCCCTTTAATTTGTTCGTATCCTCGCCTGAAGTGAATCTTTTCTGTCTTGAAACAAATCAGTGTTGCTTCTTCAATAATGCTGACTGTTCCGATAACATCACCGCATTGTTTGCAGAGTGTTCTGTACGGACTAAAACCAGCTCTCTTGGGATCCGGATTGGGGATTTTTCGCACCTTCTCATAGGCTGTCTCCTCGTGTTCGTTTCTTACAGCTATGTGCGTCTGTGTCGGTGGTATGCTGGCCAACATTAAAATGTCAGACGTGGCCAGAAGTGTGTTGCATTTGTTGCAATAAAGTGAGAGCTGGCCGCTTCTGTAGGAAGCCATTATTGATGAGCTTCTTGAAAAATTCTCAAAAGGCTCGAAAGACTGCAGGGAAAAAGTAAGAATGATCAACCCGGCCAGTCACAAGGACTGAATCGCACATGCCTCGGATAACGGACCGGTCATTATTTATCGCCTTGACGGGGTGGGGGGAGGAAGGATTTTAGGGGGTATCAGTGGTAACTGAGAACCCAAAAGGGGGGATCGATGAAAATTTTGGAAGGATTCAGAAGGGGAACACTCAAATTTGCTTGGAAAATGAAGACATGGGATGGGGGATTGCGAAAGTCATCAAAAGTTATTAGGGGGGATCACTTCAGTGAAGTAGCATTCAAAGGGGGGATCAGCTAAAATTCACCTTGTTTAGCCCAAAATCCTCCTCTCTCACCCCCAGGCGATAAATAATGACCGGTCCCTGAGTAGAATTGTCTTTATTTATGATACTTGGAAGAAGTTTAAGATTTTGATTTGAAATAAAGATTTGAAATAAAGTCAGTTAATTTTTCGAAACTACTGTAACCTCATTTATAAATACAGTTGCATAAAAAGATTTAAGGGCTTTTTAGGAAACTGCGTGGCCAAGTCGGTGTGGAAGTGGAACATGAGTGCGAGGTTGGAAATGGACTTCCTCGTGTCCACTCGTCTTTCACCCCCCTCTTGTGCGCCTCTCTAGCCGACAGCTATGCCCCGTGAAGGAGCATGGGGTACTCACGCGATAATAGAGTTGCGTTATATGAACATATATACATAATTTTGAAGATCTTGCTGCTCCTTATTCCCCTCTTCTCTTTCTTTTTATTCATTTCCTCTTCGAAACGACAAAAGTTTGCGCGATCTTCTGGTATAATTCCCCTCGACACATTATCTGTTATCCAGGCAATTTTTGAAGGAATATTTGTTTTCAATGATTAAATTCATTGATATGTCTTCTCCGATCTGTCACGGCCAAGTGATATTGTATATTTACTTCCCTAACTTCCATGAGTTTTAAATCGTTACTGAGCTTAATATATGCCCCAGATTAAGTTTGAAGCGAATTTTAGTCACAGCTGTCTGTCTTTACGTAACCCAGGCGACAAATAAAACAGAAATTTTAAAACGTTGTCTCTGAAGTTTCATTTTCAGTTTAATGTTGAATAATTAATGCTTTACTTTCCTTCTTTAAACTGAAATACGGAAAGTGGAATACCTATGTGGTTGCAAGGTCTTACATTATAAGGTAACATTCGGTATCGATACAGTGAGTAGTTTTTTATCGCATGTCTCAACCATTGACGATCTACGTGTAAAGAAAACCTCATAATTATTGTCTTGTCTTAGCGATCAAATAGCTGAAACAAGCCGAAATAGCCTACAATGAGCTTAGCGCCGGCAAGGAGTGCATTCGAACCTTTATATATATCGATTCGGACACACGGATCTCGGATCGTTGATTGCCATTTGAGTTAACGAGGTCTCCAAAAAATCTGGCAACGGGATCCTCCTTTTACTGAACAACTATTTGAACCACATAAAAAGAGAAACATAACGAGCTTAAAGTAATGACAGATTCTCACCGATATTGCAGTTTCGCAAGATCAAAGATGTCACCTCTGTAGACAGTGGGCTCTTATGCTTGCGGTGTCGACTGAGCAAGATCAGGTGGTCTGGTGCAAACATTGAGATGCAGCTATCATTCTGTCGCTAATAAACAACATCAAAGTACATTTCTTTGTCGATTTCTATATTACTTCGATCATTGACTATTTCCGAGAAACCAGTTTTCAATTCTAAGAAAACCAATGATGATGGTCAACTATTTGCTTCCGTGACTCGAACAATTTGCATATAATGGGCAAGAGCGAACGAGGGGGACAGGTGAGGTTTGCTCTGAGAGTAACAAAAACTTATCGAGATTACTCACTTCGAAATATCGTTAAATAAAAAAAATCGCAATAAACAGTAATTAGTTAAAGGCGGCATCAAAGCAAAGAATATAAAAGGAATGCTAACTAGTGGAACGTACATATTTAGGTATTGTTATGAAATCTCTTCGATTCGGATATAAAAGACTGGACATGAAAAAATAAATAAATCGTCATTTTGCTGCAGGATCAGTAACGGTAATCCAAATTAAAAAACAGATATGATTTGTGCTTTAGACGATGTGCAATGTAGTTCTTAGGGCTTCTTGTTAGAGTTCTGGGAGTTCTTTATAGAGCAGCTAACAATTGCCTTTTGAAACAACAGGCTATCACGCACATCAGATATCCACATACAGTAATTAGAATATCAGGAAGAGGCAGAAGTTGTCTTTTACTTTGGGCTTGAAGTTTCTACAAACTGCAATTGTACAAAGGGGAGAATTTCATATATCCCATGATGCATCGCTTCATACTGTATTATCAAGCTTCCGAACTCACGTGATCCTATCAGTGTTCTCATCAAGTTCAACAGAAAGATGAATTCATTTCCCATTGTTCGCAAATATCAGCTGGAGATCATATGCAGATTATCGGAGATCCAATCGGCGCTGTTGAACTTAAAGTGTTGACAAGCTAATCACATACGTACAAGCTCGGTAGAGTGTGATACGTGACCAAAGATTTTGCTCCGGAAGAGAATCTAGGAGATAAGCGTTGGGTTTTTTTATATTTGTCTCCGTAAAGGCTGGATTAGATGTAACTTGCTCATAAAGTTATTCTTTGGGTGATGCAACGACGGGGTTACCTTGTAGTGGCTGTAGTGGATTCGGTTGGATTCAAAGAATGATAAAAAACAGGAAAATATTCCTCTTCCCCCATCCAAAATGGAGGTTTTAAAAAGTGCTGTTTTCCCCGATCTAGAAGAGATTTTCAAGAGATTCGTAAAGCTTGTGATAAACCGTTGGTTTTCGCGAGAAAAAAAAATGAAAAAGAAATGACGCGAAAAGTTCTTGAATATCAAAGTTGGAAAACTACTCAACGCAAACAAACAAGAGCCCTTGAACAAAAATGAAAGACATTCAAAAGATTGAAATTGAAAGTACTGAATCAATAGAATATTTTTTTTAGTGGCGCAAGTTTTACGCTCGATTACGGAAAAGGAAATGCTCAATTCCGCAAGCTTTCTCTTTTCATTTTCCTCAATTCGCGTGAAACTACTTTCTGACTTCCGGTACAGTAACAATAAGCTTAAAATGTAACCTGGCCTTGAACTCAGTCTCAACAATCAAAATGGCCGCTTCGGCTCCGCCGGCTTATCACGATGTGGTTTCACCTGACGAGGCCAGTTCATTTAGAAGTTCTGTTCCAGCGACGCAAGTTGAACTGCATGTTTCTTGCAGGTAAAACAATTCTTGGAAATATTAGAGCGGTTTGTTAAACAGTGAGGTCAACTCTGTCTTAGGCAACGAGAACGAGGAACATGTAGCACTCTTGACAGCTGTTTTAGAATGCACATTGCATAAAGTGAACAAATGCATTTTTCACAATCTGTTGTGAAGATATTTTCTCCATATTCATCTTGATGAAACCTTAAGGATATAAAAACATTCGGATTAACTGTAGAGTCTGTCTGTAATTTATGTACCCCAATATGCCTCAATGTATGCTTCTTGCACGTATCAGATCGGCATCGAGGTCTCATGGCCAAAGCAGAATTTTTTTGAGGGGGTTTTCATGGTTGACTTTAAAAAATGAGAAGTCTGAGAAAGCTGCATGTTATCAATTAAATTGATATTGCTTGTATGTCTGAAAACTTTGTTTTTAGTGTGACATGCTTAACTGCATGCCTGTTATCATATCCAGCTGTTTGAATGACTTAAGCTTGATTATCGCCTTTCTTTTAATCGTTTGTGTATGTGTTTTCGACTCTTTAAGAAATCTCGCTGATATGGATGTTTTTTCCAAATCCGACCCAAGTAAGTACCTTTAAATAGCCTCTTACCTGTACTGAAACCAAAATTTACTGTCCACGCATAAATTATAATAGGTGAGCTCAGATGTTCCAGTTTGATGGTCACACAATTATGCAACTTTATTTACAGACTCAAAACTAGTTACCTTGTAGTCATCTATAGGTTTTTCTAACTCCTGTTCTTAAATCAACGACAAAGCTTTTGTAGCCATTTGTTTTTTTGTTTCTTTTTTTTTTTTTTGTCAATTCAGCAGTGAAGCATTGTTATTCAAAAGAAAAATATGTGGTTTTGCCACCGGTGACCAAAAAAAGTTATGTCATAATGTCTGATCATCATCTATTTTACACTTTTCAACTCTCCCGGATACGACACCAATCTCCCGGTCTCCCGTACGGGTCACCATATCTCCCGGATAAAATCATCTTTTGATCTCTTCTGTGCCTTAGTTTGAGATTCAGCCCATTTTTAGCTCAAAACTTGGGTTTTCTTATTCGTTGTATGGTTTCTGGGGCATTTTTGCACCCATCTAGTCATTGACAAAGATTATGTCTACCATCAGGATTGCAAATTTTGATAGTATGTACTTCATGTAAGACTTCATATAATGTCCTTAGTCATTCCCATATTTGTCCGGGGTGGGGTTCATTAAATTTCGGGAGGGGGGGGTAGTGAAAAAGAGAGAGTCTCCAGATTCTAGATCTCCAGAGGTTGGTATCTCTGCTATTTGCTCCTAACAATGTCAATGGGTGCAGTGGGTGGGAGGTAGCGATAGGTGTGGGTGGGTTAATTCTGGGTGCATGTCCTCGATTTGTCCTCGAGGAGAGAGGGGAATAGTACCCAGAAGACAATTATTGCATGTATACATGTATAGTCAAGTACATTGTAACTGACAGTATCTTTGTTCTCTCAGTGGTAGTCATGTACACTCAAGCTATGGGAAGCAAAGAGTGGAGAGAGGTAGGTACAAGTGGAATAGTGGTGGATTTAAACCATGTTTTTGTGGGAGTGTACCCTGTTTAATGATTATTATTGTTGATACTCTCAGGTAAAGGAGTTAAATCTGGTTTTCTCTGGCTCAGTGTACCATGACATGAGTTCTGCATGGCTATTCACAGAAATGGCTTCTCACAGAATATAATTTCTTTTTTTTCTATGGAGGATAATAGATCTGTAGTATTTGTGTCTGAACACTTTGCTGAATAAGAACAAACATATGGTATGAAATATAGCAAATGGTTAAATAATGGCGCCATTCTCTTTGTTAGAGTTCTCTCCCTGGTCACTCAAAAGATAGACAGGGTGCCCAAATTATTTATTTGAATTAAAATGTTCCAAGAGCAGACTGCCAGACTGCCCTAATGAAAAGTCTAATCTATCCCTTCCACATTTATTCCAAAACCCAAGTGCCTTTCATATACCTGCCAACTTTTTCTGAGATATAAGCGTGAGATTTTTATCCTGAGAGTGCTGGGATTTTTGAAGACGACACGATCATTTCCGAAGATTCCCGAAGAAGTCCGAAGTCTTCCGAAGAAGTCCGAAGTCTTCCGAAGAAGTCCGAAGTCTTCCGAAGACGTCCGAAGTCTGCCGAAGACTGCCAAAGGCGAGCTCGCTCCCAGTGCTTTTCACTTCAAAAATCAGAGATCGCGAGGAAGGTATTGCCATTTATTCATTTTACACATGGTTTTCGTTCCTTACATGGGTCTGAGTTAACATATTTTTGGAAATTGTGTCAAGTAGGACGGCAACAACTCACATTTTTCAATCAGGCGTGAGAAATTGGCCCGCAGGCGTGAGCCGGCGTGAGATCGAAGTTTTCAACCCGCAGGCGTGAGACTCACGCCTAAGGCGTGAGAGTTGGCAGGTATACTTTCATTCGATCTGATCTGTTTGCACTTACTGAAATATTTCCTCCCTTTTCTTTTAAAATTTTCCCAATTTTATGGAGAACCATGGACTCTTCACTTCCATAGCTAAGCATATATGTATTACAGGTCAAATTAAATTCTGGTTAATATTTTTTAACCTAGTTAGATTCTCAATTCCCTTTATAGTCTCATAGCCCTTATTCATGAATAATAAAGGGCTAGGAGACAAAGAAGATTGAAAATCAAACTAGGTTAAAATTTTAACCTGAACCTAATTTTGACCTTTAACATATAAGCATCAGAATAAACCTAATTCTCTGCTTTTCTTTTAGTTTGGCAGAACAGAACACATAATGAACAACTTGAATCCTGATTTTGTCAAGACCTTTATCATTCATTATTTCTTTGAAGAAATGCAAAAGCTTCGATTTGAAGTGTAAGTTGATGTGTTTATTGTGCTTCACTTTTATCCTTGATCTAGTTTTTCTGATAGATGATTTATATTTTATTTATTTATTTTTAACTTCTTAGGTATGACATAGATAAAAAATCTTCCAGGTTATCAGACCATGTAAGTATACACATGAGCATCCTGGTTATTCATCTAAATCTGCTGGAAAATCTCTCTTTATCAATGAATTCAAATCCCTAACTGAGATTTCCTACGTTGTGGCATGTTTATTAGGATTTTATTGGCTCAATGGAATGTACTCTGGGATCCATTGTTGGAGAATTTGGTGGACGTCTGCAGAAATCTTTAGTGTAAGTTGGCATGGTGCACCGTAGATAAATCTGACTCTACTGAAAATTATCTTGCTGTTTAATTAATCCCCTCTGAATTTATGCAATTAAAAGAATTCTAATTAGTCTGTTTTCCTAGAAATCCAAAGATAAAGAGAACTGGAACAATGATTGGTGAGTATTTTTTTCTTGTCTCAATCAAACTTTTTGGCTATCATAGTATATTTCCAATCAACATTTAGCTTTGGGGATATCTTAATCTTCATTTCGGATGTCTTACACATTAACCAAATCTGGCTGATCTGTTGGTCAATTAAAAAATGTCTTTTTGTCTTACAGTAACTGCTGAAGAACTCAGTGATTGCAAGGTTAGTAAGTGAATGATTAGAACCAATTAGTGTCTTTTTTAGCATTTTGGAACTATTTTACAATGCCACAGTTAAGGCAAGTTAACCAAAATGATTGGGCAGTGCTGTGTAGTCATGTGCAGATATCTTAAAAATGATAATTTATAGGGTGCTATACTTACCGGCAAAAAAGACTGTATTGGAATAAGCAGCATTTTGACATGAGGTAAAAGTCGTGTAGACCTACCACCCCCTTTTATTGCTATGTACTTCAATATCTTTGCAAGTTTTAAAACTTGTTTGAAGAAGTTCAGAACAGCTTGCTTAGAGTAGCCTGCGAACAGCAGATGCATATTTCCAGTCGTCGCTTCTCTCCCTCCAAAAAATAGCTATTTTTCGGAGGGAGAAAAGCGACGACCAGAAATGCATCTGCGATTCGCAGGCTAGCTTAGAGTAGCCATGCATTCCTCGGCACAGGCTTTTTGAGCACTTCCTTTTCCCAATGAAATAAGATGTGGGCTCAAACTTGATGAACATTTGTGGTCCTCTTTTAGGATGTTGTTACACTCCAGTTTAATGGCAAAAAGCTCGACAAGAAAGACTTCTTTGGAAAGTCAGATCCGTTCTTGGTGTTTTACAGATGTAATGAAGATAACAGGTAAGTCAAGGTGATAGCTACAATGGGGGGACAAAAGTGTTGAGACACTTCCGTAAAATGGCCCCTTTTTGCATAGTGGACATACCTATCCCCTTTCCCTGTCTACCCCAACCCCTTCTCCCCAAAATCAGTTTTGTGTTTTGGACCCTCAAGTCTTTCTTTTAGTTCAGACAACATTGATTCGGGGGGTGAGGGGATTTACGGCATTTGAAAGGAATGAAATAATAAATGAATTAAATGTTTGTTAAAAGCACCCGTTTTAAACAAGTGTGTCAACTACTTTTGTCCCTGATTGTAGCTAGCACTCTCCTCACTTCTCAATGTAATATCATCCTTAAGGCGCTTGGCCTGGGAAACCTGAGGATGTTAAAGGTACTCGCTTGGAATATTTCATGTTAAGTTTTGAAACTGGGTGCAACTTAGCTTTTGGCTTTTTAATATTAAACACTCTCACAACAGTTTTTTTTTACTTTTATTGTGGCTGTGTACTATTTTAGTGCAACCATTAAATTTTGGTCTGTTAAATTGCAAAAGTTGCATTTTTATGTCAAATTGAGTGTGTCTGTAACTGGATGACTTTAAATTATGTTTACTTTCAACAAAATTGTAGTTAACAGCTCTTGTGCTTTGATACCCTAATGTGTTGATTTAATGAAGGGCAATAATTAGTTCAAAGAAAATCTCCCAATGAACAATGTTTGAAGAAACAATAATTTTTTGTTTATCTTGCATTTTTTCTAGTTATACAGCATGTCACAGAACTGAAGTTATCAAGAACACATTAAACCCAACATGGAAGCCATTTTCAATTCAAGCCAGGGCACTCTGTAATGGGGACTATGATAGGTAATTCTATCATTCGTATTTGCCAGAATCAATTGGATTTTTCATTTACTTGTTTTTGCATTCACATACATGTAACTCTTTTATCTTCCAATTCTCTTATTCATTATTTCACAATGTATTATAATAAGCAAAAAGCACAAATTAATGATTGAAGTTATACTAAAGGTGAGTACAGCATATGCATATAGCCATCACATTTGCCTGTTTTAATTTTTAAACATTTTTTTAAACTGATTAACAATAAAATATTTCAAGTGGGAAATGTGATTGCTATATGCATAATATGCTGCAAATGAGTTCACCGTAGTGGAAATATAAACTTCAAGTTTACTAAACCTCTTCTAAACATCCATTTTTGCTGTAAATTCTAATCAGAAAAATGTTAACTTAAACACTGATGATAATTGCTAATGGTAGTTTTGGGTAGTGGTCAAAAAAATATGTATTAACTTTGTGGCAAAAGGAAACAGGTTTGTCATTGACTATTTTTGTCAGACATGCGTTGAGTATCATCATATTTTATGATAAATTGTATGATCTTTCGTGAGCTCTTCGTATGAGTAATATTATTTTACGTTTTGTGTACATTTTTTTTTTATTGTTCAGATCAATCAGGGTGGAATGTTATGACTGGGACAGAGATGGAGGGTAAGAAAGTCAAAAGTCATGATTTTTTGTCTCCAGATATAAAATTTATATCAAACAGATATTCCACGAGAGCGCATTGGATATGAGAACGATGCGCACTGCAGTGCCGAGTTGCTATAATCATCTGATATCAAGCGTGAGTGGAATAATTGTTTTTTTAAACACGCCCACAAAATATCGAGAATTCTTCCTTACTTTATTTATTAAACAACCGATTTTCAGCTTGTTTTTAATTTTGAGCAGACGCTTATAGTTACAATTTATTTGGAGAGCATGGTATAATTAGCAGTTAATGAATGAGGCTGAGTAGGATATGAAGAATTATGCAGATCGAGGAGGGTGTTATCCGCTGAGGTCGAAGGCCGAGGTGCATAACACCCTCTGAGATCTGCATAATTATATCCTACGAAAGCCAAATTCATTATTAATTAATTGCTTTATTATTCATTCAAGATAATTCCTAGGTTAAATACAAGCTAAAACATGCTTACCTTTGTCGATGTTATTAAAGTTCACCTCGATAGTGCATGTTTAGAAGATAAAGGGCTGTACGTTCAGGTCTACAAATATACTCCATATAGCAGATGTTGTCTGTCGAGTTGTCTTCTTGCTATGTTTTTAAACAATAGTTCGTCATGAAACGAGTAAAAATTAATGTTCCGCCGACTGTTCGGCCATTTTTCTTTTCACAACCAAAACAACTCAACCTTGTTCCTGGGTCTTCTCGGGTAATGGTGCATTAACCTGCAACTGTGCTGCACTTTTGACATCATCGGTTGATTAATCGCAAAATTCTTCCAAATTTGGTCAACAATAGCTGGTTATGGTGAATTATGCATGTGCTTTTAGCCAATCAGAAACGGAGAAATATTTTGAAGGAATAATAATGGCTCATACACCATGATGGCTAAACCAATCAGAGCCCTAGAATTGCATTATCCAATGATTCAGTTTTTAATAAAGGCTGTTATTGTGTTGTTGAAGTTGAATGTAGTTGATATCAGGTTTAACTTCCATTTGTAGGCATGATCTTATAGGCATCTTTTCAACCACCATAAATGAGCTGAAGTCAGTCTCTGGAATTACATATGAGGTAAGTTTTACCAATTTTTACACTGTAGCAGACCCCAATAAGCACACAGCCTCATAAAGCTAGAGAATCATAGCATGTTTCAGCACAGGGTACCCAAAGTAGTTGAATATTTTAGTTTACTTACTCCAGTGCAACAAAACATCTTATTGCACTGGAAGATCTAGAGCTTGAGGGAAGGGTGTCTTACTCGCCCCAACCTTTGCTCTTTTTGTCCTTCACTGTTTTCATGAATGGAGCATTGATAGAGAGGGGGCGGAGGGTTAAATTGATCGCAGTCGGGCATAGCCAGCTTTTTGACTAGTTGTAGGCCTGGCTGACTTTGATTTCCACATATCCTGAAAATTGCACTCATGACTAGTACGCACCAACCTCACCAACACTTTGAGCTCTTATGCTTTTTAGCTCACCCCAACAGTGCATAATTTCTTACAAGCAGTAGACTGATCAAACCAAAAATTTGTAGTCCCGGGCCTGCAGGTCTATGGGTTGGCTACACCCCTGGCACTGTCAGCCTCAGGTTTGTTAGTCTGGAGGTTCTTCATGACAAGTATTAACTTGCAGGTTAACTTGTAAATGTAGCTTGTAGATGTAACTATGTACAGTCATGCGGCATTCTTCTTTTGATAATCTTAGGTCATAAATCCCAAGAAGAAAGCAAAGAAGAAAGGATCGTACAAAAATTCGGGCACGGTAAGTGCTTTGGACTTAAAAACTGCTTACTGATGAGAGAATAGTCTAGTTTCGAGTTTGGTATGACCCACTGAATTAAAGAAGCGAAGAAGCGAGTTTGGTATGACCCACTGAATTAAAGAAGCGAAGAAGCTTTTTTTACAGGCTTAGCCTCCATTAGTCTCCCTCGCAGCCGTTGTTTGGATGTCACGCAACGCTACTTCCAAAAAACGGCTTCGAGGGAGACTAAGCCTCCATCTAAAGTAATTATTCACAAATTCCAATGAGAAAAAGACCTGTTTTTTACTCTTTGTATTGTGTATATTCAAATTTCGAACACTTAGTTGCCGGAATTTCTGACTGTTTTACTTTACGTCAAGGCTAACCCTGTATGAATGTGTCGTTAATGTTTGTATTCAGCGGTAATTTATTATTTGAAACTGGACTATTGGTAATAGAGAGTTTAAGCTTTACCTATACGGCAAACGGCAAACGTCAGATTCAAGTGAAGAATTTCTCAAAATAGAAAATGAGCGGATAAAAACAGCTCAAAATAATTCTTATGGATAGAAAATTTTATGACGCTACCAATATATGCATAGAAATAATGAACAGTAAAGAACAAGTAAAGGGGGGACTTGGTCACGTGGTACAAATTCGCGTTTGCCGTCTGACGTAAACCTGATACTCCAATAAAAGTTTTTACTCCTATAAACCCTAAGGAGCAAACTTTCAGAAAATACTCAATTTCTTATCATGAAAATGCTGTTAAAAAAATTGCACTTAGCAATTTAAATTACTGCCCAAAATGGTTTTATTTTGTTAGGAAATCAGCTGGCAGATATTTGAACTAAAGTTAGTGTCTCCTGTTAAGGAAGGAGCAAAAAGGCAAAAATTAAGAATACATGTACCTTTTTTATGATAGGAACATTTGTAATTATAACATGTCTGTTGTTTGGAGCTTACTCACAAACTCAATTTCATGATCAGACTAGAAAATGGTTATATGGTACAACTAATGTCGCCGTCACCCTTTTTCCTGTTTTAACTTAGTAAGAATCTGGTTTTTAATCCTTTCCACAGATTTCCCTGCTTCAGTGTAGGGTAGAGCAACAACCTTCTTTTTTGGATTTCATCAGAGGAGGGTAGGTACATTAATTTTTGTCGTGTACATGTATCTAAATAGATGGTGTATTATTTATTTTCTATATCTAGCCGGATTTTTGATAACGTTACCGCCAAATGGACCTTTTGGGTCCAACAGTTGTTCTCGGCCGAAAACTATCCCCAAAGTAGCCATTATGAAAACTAAGAGTGCAGCCATTGCTTTTTCTCTTCTCCTCGCTCTTTCTCTTTTTCCTTTCCTTTTCTTTCGTTACTATGATTTTGGAGCTTCTCGGGGTTAAGAAACCTGCCTTTTGACGCCTTTTCACTCAAATGACCGCAAATTTCGTTAGGTTGGTTTTCAAAAAATCGGTTAGATATAGATATAGCTGATTGTGCATGGGAATATAGTCATTGATAGTTTTGTCTCAGTCTCAAGTTGGGGCTGACCTACCCCTTAGCAAGGAGTTACTGCACTTCCATCCTGGTAAAAATCACTGGATAATCTTGGGGAGGAATTTTTAAAGCCTAATATTTTACACAGTTCAAATTTATGTAGGGATTATTCTGGTGGTGTATGATGGAATTGGGATGGGGGAGGGGGGAAGGGGGAAGAATAAATAAGACGTAAATAACTTAGCCAACAATAAACACAGTTTCTTTTAGCAGCACCTTTTCACAAGATGCTGTGCATCTAAAACACAGAGTAAAGCTCGTCTTTTTATTTATTATTAATTGTGTTTAAACGATCAGATGGCATTTATATTTGAAGGTTTTGTTTCCTTTCATGTTGCACAGAACTCAAATAAACTTCACGGTAGCCATTGATTTCACTGCTTCAAATGGTAAGATATCATTGACGCTTATTGTCATTGTCTTTAATGTGTGCACTGAGAAGGGTAATTTACAGCACTGTTAATTACCTTATCCATCTAAGGCCTCAAAGGCAACGATTGACAAAGGTCTGCTGTTTGTTTTCAGGCGACCCGAGAAATGCCAATTCTCTGCATTACATAAACCCCTATGAACAGAATCAATACGTGAAAGCTCTTACAGCTGTTGGCAGAATTTGTCAAGATTATGATACGTAAGTGCACTTTTATAACTATGGTTACAAGTACTCTTCCTACTACTGCTAGTGGCTATAAGCGTTAAAACCTCAAGATACTATAGTACCGCGTAAAAGTTGCGCTAAACAAGTTTATAAAAGCTGCCCTTCTTCCATAGAGATCAAACAGATCATTTGAAAACACAGTGGTTAAGAGCGAAGCATAGCTCCCAGCCGTTTCATGTCGCAGAGGAGACAAGATGATTCTTGTCTCTTACGTTTTAGTAAAATCCAGCTAGTGGTCTATTATCAATGCTGCATTCTAATTAGTTGAGCTACTACTAGGCTATATGTTATAGCCCACTAGTAGCGAATAGCGCCGAATTTTTGGCGGCAAAAAAGAATTAAAGTTTTGCTTTAAGTTGTTTTGTCTCGATATTTTTGACCAACTAGTTGGATTTTTCTAAAACAATTATTCCTCTCGCCCTCATGGTCTCTGAGTCAATAGCTGTTGACTCAGAGCCCATTCGAGCTCGATGAATAATTGTTAATTACAATGTACGTTAGTTTGTTCTCAGGGCGAAAACAAACTAACCACACAACAGACAAGCCACCCGAACGACGTCGTAAACGCTAAAAGCCATGCAAGAGAGAAACCTCTGCTCGCAGGGTACTTAACGTTTCTTCTCGTTTTTCATTATAAATGGGACACTGGTTTTTACACCTAAATTGATAGACAGTAACGAACTTTCTCTATCATTGCTCTGTTTTACGCGTATTTGAAGCTCCTTAAAGCGACACTGTAAGGAAAGAAGTCGAAACGGGGATTTGAGGTCACAACTGGGAATCGAACATGGAACCCCGCACAGGGAAACCAAGAAGTCGACTCGCCGCTAACCAATTCGCCACCAAGTAATAGCGGAGCTCCTCGAGCGCGCTTCGAACAGAGCCCTGTAGCTAAGAAAATTTGGTAATCTATCTATGCGAGAAAATTTGGTTATGACGTTAGCGTACGACCTCCCGTTCGTACAGACGTTGGCGGAGGGCGAAGGGAGTCAGAAGTCAGCCTGTCGGGGAAGGAGTATGTTATAGCGGAGGTGAAATTTTGCGTTTCAAGCGTCCCGCTCGTTTCGGCGGTAATCACATGGCCGCCCGGACTTTTAAAGAGAAAAAAAAAATAACAGCAACAAAAACGAGTCTTTTTTTCCACCAAATTTTAATGTCTACATTAACTTAGACAACGGGAAAAGAGTTAGAGCGAGAAATAAATAGCAACGAAGACCAATTTCGTTGGAAGAAAAACATGAAAATAATATAACGGCGATTAGAAAATGAGAAATGCTAGCAGCTACCAAAGTGAAAATGAGCGGCAGTGAAAAAACGGAGTGAACAGGAACATAAACATTTCCTCTGTAAAACGTGTAAATAGGAATCACGTTTTAGTCGTGTAAAACAACGGCAAGGAAATGTACAAAAAAGTGGGCTGTACGTGCAAAGTTGTGTTTTGCTAATTAGAAAAAAGTGTGCTGCACTTGCAAAGTTGTTTTTTTTTTGCTAATTAGATCTCTTGTTGTTATTTTTTTTTTACCCTTCTCGTTGTTTTCACCTAGTCTTTAGTGTTTCTCGATTTTATATTTTCTTTGAGGATTGAGGAAACTATAAATGTTAAAAAGAGCTTCGCTTTTACCCCTGGCTAAATCTATATATTAACTCTGTAATAATCGACGTGTTTACTCTCCTAGGATTACTTACCTGGGATTTTTAAGATTTTAAGAGTGAGAATCTTGACGAAGACCTAGGTATTAAAGTAATCCTAGGTTAGTAAACACGTCAATTGGTGGATGTAGCAGCTGCTCGGAAGAGAAGTCACCAATGGTGCCTAACCCTGACCCCAAACAATACTAAAACAATAGAAAGAATGACATGTCATTGTTTCCTTCGACCAATTAGGAGAGACCTTACGAGCAGCTCATTAGTGCAGTTATAGAGAGGAGAAGTCGTTACGTCACGTTGCCATGGTAGCAAAATTTCTGGATGACAACAAACCGAAAACGTCACTTAAAAGCTGAATTTGCACTGTTTTCAACTTCATCGATTTCATTCAATTTCATTTAATTTGTCAAATGTTGGCGAAATTTTGAATCCCAGAGGTCGGTATCTAAGTTTAGAAAAAGGAAAAGAAAATTTTGGTGTTGTGTTCGCTTACTTCATAAAGCGGGCGCGTGAAGTTAGGAGGTTTTATGTGGCAGTCGTGCAAAGACGGCTAAGGAATGTACAAAAAAGCGTGATGCACGTGCTAAGTTGTTGTTTTGCTAATCTTTACCTATTGCTTTTTTGCCATTCTTGTTGCCGTCGACATCGTCGTTGCTCAAGAGTCCCTTTTGTTGTCATCCAAAAATTTTGCCACCATGGTAACGTTACGTCACACTTCTCTCTGTTACTTGGTGGCGATTAGACTTCTTGGTGGCGAGTTGACTTCTTGTTGGCGATTTCGTTGGTAGCGAGATGACCGTAAACGCCGCACAGAAGGCCGTACGCTGACTGACTGTGGTGATCCTTGCTCCTCATACCCTTTCTTTGCGACAGTTTCAGTGGAGCTTAATACTATGCCAACACTGTTCTAATTGTAGAGATTGTAACGCTGTTTTGTTGCTTGTAGTGATAAACTGTTCCCTGCTTTTGGATTTGGTGCGCGTTTGCCTCCAGCTTGGCAAGTGTCTCATGAGTTTCCCCTGGTGAGTACCAAGCTTTTTGGCCCTCGCGACAGGGGTTCGAAGGGGAATTAGGCTCGAGAGAAACGCAAGGGGCGCTTGAGGAGGGAGGGAGGGAAACGCCTACAGGGAAGCCATTGTGTTCCTCCCTCCACGCGCGCCCCTCGCGTTTCTGTCGCGCCCAAAATCCCCTTTCCCTTTTCCTTCGATCGCCTGCCACGCAGGCTACAAGCTTTTTAAATTCCCCTGACAACTGTCTGGTCTTGTTGTTTTGTTGTAGCAACAATCCTACAACAGTCAACAGTACTGCAGAAGAGCTTTCACTCGAACCATGAGTGTCTAAGTCTTACTTAACCTTATCCTTATTTGTAGCTGATAAATCCAAATTTTTTACATGTACATCACGCCCCAAGAGACAAGTTTTTTTTAGATACAGTGTACTTTTCATAGCCCCGGCACCAGAGGTTTTTTTTTCTCGCGTGCGGTTGGACGTTTCGTTGTCGACTGCGGGCCGACAGATCTTCGGCCAAAGTCACGAGCAGCATGGCTGGACCGAAACCGGAAACCGCGCATGAATAGTCTCTGGCACCCAAGTTACTCTTTTTTTGTGTTGTGTGCTGAAGAGGACTGTACTTTCTTCCCAATACTCCTTTCTGTCTGTGTACTGTGCCACAAAACAGAATTTTTGGAGATGTCAATGCTGCAGCTGCTCAACAGATTTAAGGACACAACAGAACGTGTTTAACAAAAAAGTACACAAGCCTGCAAGATGCCTCCAGTGGTCGTTTCGCCTCATCGTGAAGTCGATTCGCTGCAAAAGCATTTTTCGTTTCACTGTAGTCTCGGACTTGAGAAATTTGATGTCGCACACTAAAAGTAAAAAAAAAACTAACGGTTCTTTTAAGAGCCACCACCTTTAATATCAAAGTTTTCTGTATTTTTTTTTCTTAAATTGATGCGAAAAGTCTATGCTGTGAAACGACTTCTAGCGAAATGATTTTGGGGAAAAATACGGATAAGCATAAAAAGCAATTATTGTTTCGATTGTTGTTTGTTTTCAGAATGGAAATCCTCAAAACCCCATGTGTGAAGGAATTGATGGAGTGATGGCAGCTTATTATCACAGCATTCAGAGGGTGCAGCTATACGGTAACGTCTATGTCGTAACTTGATTGTTCTGTAAATATTCTTGTTTTCAAGGCTAATGGGGGTAATACAGCAGCAAAGCCTATCACTAGAGCCTTAGAATATTAAAAACCCAACAACAATCTCTCCCCTCACGCAGACGTTCTTATAGTCAGGCAGACATCTTGGTATTGAGCGTTGACACTAACTTTACATCTGTATTCGTGGAGTAGAAGAGATCGTTATTTTTACAATAAAATTTTAGACTTCATTCCATAGCTTTGACGTTGCTTCCCTTATAATTTAACTGCAGGTCCTACCAACTTCGCACCAATAATAAATCAAATATCAAGGTAAGAGAGCGTTGTAGTTGTTTGAAGCTTAGATCAATGTCGATGTGAAAATTAGTATTAGCAGTTATGAACAGCACCCAGCTGTTGAGTGATAATGAGCAGCAGTCATTTGTGCTCGAGATAGTGAGATTGGTGTTAGTATAGGTAATAGCATGATTTGTAGTGATATTTGGCATAAATACCACGAGTGATATTTGGAAATTGTTATACGTAATTTCACGAGCCGGTAGGCGAGCGAAATTTGAGACAATTTTGAAATATCACGAGTGGTATTTATGCCAAATATCACGTACAAATCTTGCTATTATTTGTTTATACTACTATATCACATGAAGGTCTTTCAAATTAAGCTGAAATACCACTGCTCTGAGCCAATCAAATTGTAGAAATTTCTCATGTAGTAGTATAAACTCTGTAACACCAATCTCACTATCTCGAGCACAAATGGTTGCTGCTCATTATCACTCAACAGCTGGTTGCTGTTCATAACTGCAGTTGGCATGATTTCCAAACAGCATCTGCCCTAATTCTCCCATGCTGCTTTGCGCGCGGCGCAAAGGCGCATGGATTTTGCTCTGCTGTTGATCTTCATTTGAACAACTGTTAATTCTCGTGTCTTGAGGCTTTAAGTGATAGTTTTCCCATCATTTTTGTTTATTTTTCTCTATTGAAAAAGACGAGCGTGTTAAGTGTAAACGTAAACCTTTTCTTTTTTTTTTTCCATCTTTTAGAATTGCAAGTTCATCGCACAGACAGAGCCCTGGAGATGAGTACGTAACACAACCAATCTTTCAATTGTTAAATGAGAATGGAGCCCTTTAGTTGGTCCGAGTTGTTCAAAGGCCGCTTTACGGCAACAACAACAACAGTTTATTCAATTATCAAATGATTTAAGTCTATGTTACCCACAAGTTGCCGAGCTATTTTAGGTGGGCAACAATACAATAATTGTCTCACAGCGCATATTCAACTATTGGTTGTCATGACAACCATCTCTGGATTTGCGCTATAGTCTTTCGAGCAACTGAGATATAACGAAGGCCGTAGCCACTTCTTGTTCAATTCCCACTGCAGTATAATTAAACAGTTTTGTCCCTTGCACCAGACCAGCCCATTAAAGTCCACCAGTACATAAAGTGGAATAGCATTGTCTAGTCGAAAGGACCGGCTTTTTTCTTGGAAAATCAACACAGATAGAAACGTAGTGTTTATGTTTCGACCAAAATTTCGGTTTCGTCCGATTCTGCTGGCCTGAGAACAAGAAAATCTTAAAATGGAACCGTACGTTTCAGTCCGACCGCACAGATTGTAATAGAGGATGACGTTATGAAAGGAATACAGTGGTCGATCGATTTGTGGTCGTCTGCCGGAAGCGCTGGTATAACGGAAAGCACCCGACGTTAGTTTCTTGGAAGTAATTAAACCATTCGGGTTTGACTGAATGGTTGCAAGAGGTAGTTAGTGCACTGGCTTGTTAGTTATAAGTAAAGTCAGTTTAATTTTTGTTTTTTAGCTTCTCTCTGCCTTTTCGTCTCGTGCTACTTTACGTTCTCAATTCTTAATTTTTCTCTTTAGATATTTTGTGCTTCTGATGTTAACTGATGGAATCATCTCCGACATGGCACAAACAAAGGAGGCTATTGTTAATGTAAGTAACTGTTGCATACACAGCAGCCACTCTAAGGGAAGGTATTTTGAGTATTAATTTAGGGGTCCGACTTAGAGGTAGACCTTTTAAGCCAATGCCGCACGGCTTACACTTACTCATCAGCAATTTTATCAGCCACAATCGTGAGTTACATAGATAGAAAAATAAAGACCATCCCTTCCTCTCCCTCCCCTCCCTGCTCACACATATTAGCGAACTTAATCAAACACGTTTTTGAGCTGCCCACGTCAACCGAAAGTGTATTTTTGTCATTCTTGAACGGTAGAAAGAGACTAAGAAATGCAAATTTGGTAGCGTCAATTTAACGAATAAGACCTCACTTCCGGTTGACGTGCGTTGCTCAATGCGCGTTTTTTTGGCCTTCGTGTAGTTTCGTCCTTGAGTTTTGGGGTGTGGGGGCGGGGGGGCAGTAGGGTCTGTTTTTACCATTTTATTTTGTCCAAGCTTGTAGCTGCTCCTGAGCAAACAGTGAATAGTTCCCTTTTTCCCATTTTGGACGATTCAACATGTGAGCGAAAGTAAGGCTGTATTCCGATCCACTTGTTTAACGACGGCGAGAGTTGAATTCGTTGTTTGTTTGTCACTCTTTGTTAAACAGCCAATGTTGGACTATATTGAACTCTGCATTGTTCACCTTAGAAGTATAATTGGAGCCTTGTATGCCCTTAAAATGTGACAGGACACTTAACTTTGACCCACCCTTTAGTCCCACGCAAACGTCGCGCGTCGATCGTGAGGACTGTGTGACAAGCCAAACGTAGCCTAACTTAGCTTCCTACACAGGAGTCCGACTTCTTTTGAGAAGGATAGAGTAAGGAGCCAAATTAACGCCTGCGTAAAAGGATAACAATAAGCACAACTTTGAAGCCATTTGCAGACAATAATTGTTTTTTTATTTTGATTTTAGGCAGCTTCTCTTCCCGTTTCTATTATTATTGTGGGTGTTGGACCGGCTGAATTTGATGGTAAGTATTTAATAACTTTGTTTCGGAAAAGGCTCCATTAGAGCTGATTTAAATTGTCTCATTGAAGGGGTGGGGGAAGAGAGAAAGCCAAAACCAGCAGCTGTATATAAGAACATATAATTGAATCAAGACTGCAGACTTTCAGGAACTAAAAAATATAAGGATAGACATTTACTCTCATCTCTAACATGGCGCCGGCGTTTGGACTAAGATCCATGATCGGGTTTCTTTTTCACTCACAGGCTTCCATGCTCATCGTTAATCCTTCAATGAAAATTTGCCTACGAAATGTCGCAATTAAAAAGCATATATGTGCTTACCTTCTTCCTTACCCTAGGGTAAGAAGAACTCGGAATCGCTCTCGTCCACTTCCGGAAAGATGGCCACTATGACCTGAAATGATCCGAGGATCTTTTGGATCAGCAAACAGTAGACCGCAAAAATTTGTAAGATTTCGGAAATGTGTCCAGTAATTGCCTCTTAACACTTTAAACAGCTAGAGTACCAAAGAACAGAGCTTATCAAAGAAGGATGGATGGATAAAAATGAGGGATATGAGCGACGGACGTCAACCGGAAGTGGACTTTTTGCAAGGTAAATCGTCTTTAAAAACGATAGCGTCAAGGCATATAAAGGGGAAAACTCGCTCAAAAACAATCCATAACGCCGGTGGCGTTTGAAAAATGTAGGCTAAACCTTTCAAAAGCGTTGACGCCTTAATGAGCATGCGCGATTTATAAGCGAAAGCATGATTTGTATGCTGTTGCTTTGTTCTTGATTTCATATTGAGAGAATAGCTTTGATTTATAGCTATAACATCCGCTTCTGTCTTTACTTCCTCTGTGTTAGTTTTTACTGGGGCGTAACGGGAGGAGGTTAGATAGCAGCTGAAACAGTAAGGAAATTGAAAGGAAATCTTTCTTCAGTTGCGCACCAATTCTGGCGAGATTCCGTTTACAATTCCGTTACTTATGAGTATACGTCACTTACACTACCACCAGGGATCGCACGCGTTGTGAATGTCCTTGAATTTTGAATTTAAAGTTCAAAGCCTTACATGTAAAAGTCCTTGAAGTTAGCAGTTTAACTGAAACGTCCATTGAAATTTGTTGCTCTTTTCAACCAAATCGGAACCCCAAGAGGCTAATGAGACAATTACAAAATGTTATTGGCAGATCAGAAGCAACACAAATGAGTATTACTGTCTTGATTATAAGTGGCATGGAGTCCTTAAAAATGAGAATTACCCACTTAAAAGGCATGAATGAAAGAGTTCTTGTTTAAAAAAGCGTACGAACCTTGCCCAACGTAACGCCTCTTCAGTGTCCAGCCTCGTATATCATACGGCCTCCGTAACTGGCGTTCTGGTGATGCGTGAATGATTCAAAGCCTTCATTTGTGCCACACATGACTAGCTTTTGTGAAAAATTGAATTATGATATTATTTCCTTTTTTTGCATCTTATAGCTATGGAGGAACTTGATGGAGACACAGTTCGCCTGTCATCGCGTGGAAGATACGCGGAAAGAGACATAGTACAGGTGAGGTATTTCACTATTTGTGTGTGTGTTCTATTTAAAAAACGATGCTTAAGTCGCATCCTTAGAATGCAATGTGTATTTGTTGTATTTAAGACAAACTGAAAGACAAAAAAAACAAAGATAATTTTTGAGGTATTTTTCTCTCTTTCAAAACTGTTTCCGTTTACCTCGAGTCTTCTCTAAACTCAAAAGTATCAATCTGTTCATCAAAATCTTTTAAATAAGGCACCTGTGTAATTTTCGTAGTAGTTCTGGCATTGTTTAAATTTCCAGCTTTATTTTTAAAAACCCACAGGGTAATTAATTTGAAGATGTTATTACATTGTGTGGGGTTATTGCAAGTGTTTTATTCCGCACTTGTTTTCGCTGGGATATCTTAAAGACCTTTGTCCGAGTCAAATTCAAAGTATTTTTGTGAACTCTTCAGCAGTGACATTGATTCCCTAGCTTTGCTTCACTGAGTAGGGAAAATTCAGCCTTAGACTCTGTGCCTTTTACACAGTGAATTTCTTTCCACTTAATTTCAGTTCGTTCCATTCCGAGATTTCCAAACCCAAGGTGCATTAGCTGGCGATTTACTCACAAAAGAAGTATTGGCTGAGGTTCCAGATCAGCTTCTGTCGTACATGAAATCAAATGCTATCAAACCAAAGCCTCCTCAACCACTTTCAGTTGAAACCATCATGCCGATTGTGCCTCCTTCAGCCAATCAAAATGCTCCATTCGCAACACTTCCCGGTCCACAATACCCTGTCAATCCGACTGCACCTCCTTATCCAACCAATCAAAACATTCCTTACTTAGCCAATCAGAGGGCTCCTTATCCAACCAATTAGTAAGCAGCAGGTAGTTAGTCAGTTCTTAGCGGAGCTCCACGCGTTCGCTAAGCGTGCGCAAGTGGACCCATCAACTCAGACAATTTGGCTGTCTATCCATACGGTCACGTGACCGTACGTCCTTTCGTCCGCACCACAGGGAAACCAATATGCAATGTCGCACATTATTTCTAGAGTGGGAGCGTGCAACCTGATGTTGCACATTCATATTACTGTCAATTACAGGGTATCCGCTAACCAATATCACATGACTATATCGCGGCTCAGGTGACGACCCATCGAGGTTACTTGTTTTTTTGAAGTTCTCCACTGAAAAGTTTATTGTTTGAAATAACTTATAAATTCATATACGGGAGCTTCGCTTTTAGCCTCGGCTAAATGTATATATTAATATGTCCTTATAAATCATAGTTTGTGCCCTTCCGAGATTACATTGGACAAGCTGGGAATGTCATAAGCGGAGCTCGATTGGCAAAAGATGTGCTGGAAGAACTCCCAGATCAATTTCTTGATTACATGAAAAAACGAAACATCAAACCCAGGCCTCCTCGATACAACTTCTCACATATGGCCACTATTTAAGGGACCATTCACAATCTCGTTGCCAGAGTCCGCGTTTCCCTAGACCAGCGGCGTCTAGTACTGAGTAGTAATTTCTGCGTAAAACGACTATCCTGGGATGCGCAGTAACAAGAGCTCTTACGCTTGTACGAATTTGTTCCCCCAATGTAACTTACAGAAAAGAGAATATTCTAAGTATAGAATATCGATAATGTAACCATAATGCGAAGTATTGCTTGCAAAGCATTTTCGTTAGAATATTGTAAGAATATTTATATTAGTCTGGGAAACGGTCCGCGAATGGAGAATAGAAAATACTTAAATAAAAATGACCGAGACCATTGTTTTCACTGAAACAGCTGGACGCACAACCTGGTTGAGGTCATTGTTGTCTAAGACATTAAATTTCTAACATGACTCCGAGGCTTTAGAGACAAAAGTGCAAATTTTTTCAAGACTCCATTGTCTCGCAATTCCAAGAAGAGACTTGGACACAATGAAAACCAAAGCGAATATAGAAAAATGACTAGAAAGCCCTGGAGTCAAGTTAGAATTTTGATATATCGAACGTGGGCTATTAGCGCATGCTGAAAGGCCGAGTGTGACCTGGGGAAAACAGACTATTTCTATCAACATAATATTATATACCAATATGTAGGAACAAATTCTAGGTTTTAACATTTCCAGTGAGTGGATTTGATCAGTTTTAAGTCACCCTTGGGTTAAACGTTTACTCAATAGTCTGTTCCAAGCTGGTGCTGACAAAACGTTTGTCATCGGTACACGTGAGTTTCATTTAAAACAGACTGTTGATTACCAATAAGGTATAAGAGGTGCATTTCTTTACCACAAACTATGTGTTGAAGAACAAGCCTTCTGATATTCAGAATTATTTGTAATGAATTCCTAGGTGAATTTTGCGTGATAGCCTCGCAACATTGTGAGGTTCTCTTGTGTTTTTTTTAAAGTGAGCTTAGTTATAAACAGATGGTGAATTCCTAGAGTAGTATTACTCTTACCTTAAAGAAGCATATTGCTTAAGGAATGTAGCAAGTTCTCTGTGTTGTGTAAGACAGATTTCCAACAGATTAAGTGTATGTAGTAAAGAATGTTGGTTCATCGTCACTGATATGAAGACAATTTTTTGTGTATAATCGGAAACTGTAAGAACTGTACTCTCGAGGCTTGTACATCTTGAAACCTTGACAGTTCTTTTTTTACCAAATATTACTCGGGAAAGTGGGAGTCACTGGACCTCAAGATCCGAGAGCGCGACGGCGGCAACTGCCCACCTACCCCTCCCCTAAGCTAACATTAACACTTCTTTCTCACTTAGGGCAAAATGATGTCTTAGGGGAGGGCTAGGTGGGCAGTTTCCCAGAAACCTAAATTAAATTTATCCAATACATTATCTACATTTTTCCTTAAAATTAATGACAATGTAAAGTAATTTCTGTAAATTTCCTTTTGGGTGTACAGCTCATTTTAAAAACTGTATTTAAAGAAAAAAATAAATCGTGCTCCATTACACTCTGTACATACAGTTTGTGTCTTGATTCTCAACCGCTGCATTTTGCTATGCCTGGGTATGGGATCTGAATTCAGGAATTTTACATGAGGTGCATTTTACTTGACGCACGCCAGTGATTATTGCATCCTTTAGAAGCCAGTATTTTGAAGTCTCACTTTGTGACCAGATACATTTTTGTCACGTATTCGGGCGTAAAACTGTATCGTGATACCGACTTGCTTCGTTGTTTGGCTTACAGCGTGACAGCCCAAAAAAGTCCTCAGCTGTGTCTTGTGGCGAATAGCTAAAAATGTTTTCCATTACTATCTGGACCTGTAGAAATAGACAGATGTTCTTGATGTTGCATGATTGTATCAGTGGAGTACGTAAGTACTGCTTGAATTTCCCAGTCCAGAAAATTTAAATGGAATGGTTACAAACTTAAGGCGCAATGTTTTCTGGGATCATTTGGGTGGACAAGCGTTACTTGATTGGTAAATGAGTGCCCTGAATACCATCAACCAATCATAACTATCGTTAATCCTCTATTAAGCCCCTCCCTCTCAAATAAGCCCCTTCCCCCTTTTCAGAGGAGGAAAGATAATAAGCCCTCCTCTCTATTAAGCACCTCCCCCTCCCCTCCATTCTTCACAAACAGTTAACGTGGAGTGATCAGTTATGATTAATTCAGGCTGGAAATTCATATTGTTGTTGGTCTTCGGCAGCTTGACCTCCAACCTCATGCATGTGCTGAACTTTTACAACTTTACCCTCTAGTTCTCTGTGGAGAATTGGTACCATTTTCTTATTGTTAGAAAAAGCAGTACAACGCCCGGGAACCACAAGTCCGTCTGGTCCCCCTCAAAAGTGGTTGAAAAAAATAAGCCCCCCGGGGGGGCTTAATAGAGTATTTACGGTAACCCACTCTTAACCCAGAAATCACTACACACAAAGCTTATACTCATTCTCCCTAGAGTTTCCAAAGTTGGGATTTTCATCCTCCTCCGAGCAAAACTTTGTGATTCACTAGACCTGGGTGCCATGCCTACCTCATCAGAATCACGAGTTTGGCTTTAGCACCAAAACATTCAAACGAGTTCCGATGCGAAAATGACAACAACTAATTTGTCAATGTTTTTTTCTGGAATGTTCTTAGGGACAAGTAATATAAAATCTGCAGCTGTCCGTTTAGCATACCGTACACTCGTTAATTCTTGCTGTGAACCTAGAAGGGTGACATTATAGACAAGAAGTACTTTGTGATATCTTACAATCTCCTGATAAAATCGCTAAGCTAGGATGACGGCCTTCTTTATTCCACTTTTTTCCATTGTTATCTCTCCTTTTTCAACTCGTGAACACCCGAAGGGTATTTCACGAAGTTATCGCGGTAGCTTGAGATATGCAAAGGACTCACTTACTCGATGAAGACAGTCTTCGGTTCTGAAGTTGGAGGGACTTCGCTGCCCGATATAATGAAAACGACATATCATCGTTGTTGCCGAAGTGTTGCCGAAGTGTGCTTTGGACAACTTTAAGCGTGCATCTACTCACGCCACCTCGTGAGAGAACTCTGGGAACGAGTTCACGCTTACGTTCGCTGCGGAAAAAACATCAACACTCGCTGTTGACTTTATCAGTTCTGAAGGTCGTGTATTTACATCGTGCGCTATGAGTATGTCGATCATAAGAACTGCTGGGATGGCTTAAATTTCCAGTAACATGACAAAGAAAGAACGTTGCCGAGAAATGGCCCTATTAGCGTGGTGTTTTGTCTATATTAGGTGTTTATATTAGGAATTCGCCGCGCAAACGTAAGCTCACATTTTTCAAGAACGCTCTTACAGCGGCAATAAATGTAAGTCTCGCTTGCTTGGAGATTAGATCGAAAAATGACGAGGGGATTAATTCCATACACGAAACAGGATTTTACCGCTAAAGGTTTTTCTGCGTTCTACTTTATCGACCTCGATACTTTTTATTTGTTTCTGAACTGATTTAGTACACGTGTTAGCGACAACCGGAAATACGTCTGTGGTCGCAAGCTTTACGCGTGTATAAATACACGAAAATTCAAAAGCCTCGATTCCAGAGAAATTACATCATTGCCAGAGATCAAAAAAGTGATTTACATGGCACGTCATTTCAGTCATCACCGAAAGTAAACAGCATGCTCATCACAAGATACAATGAAAGTTTACAACACCCGACCATCGCAGTTTTGCTAATGAAGATTCTTCTTTTTTTTTTCCGACCACTCAGTAGTGTTCACTTGTTCCAAAGTAATCAACGCTTTCAAACGATAGAATTCGTGGACCCACACGTTTCGGAAAAGTTCTAAATTTAATCTTTCCTAAGCTTTCTTCGCAAAACATGCGTGGCTTCGATCATGCAACGATTCTTAGTCCCAGTTTCTACGGTCTTCGCAAGGAACGCCTGGCATAATGACCCCCTTTTGTGTCTTAAATACGAGGAGAAACGCGTTGCAGATTATGAGTCTCCTGCTTACACAAGCGACACTAATATAAACGTTTAATTTCGAATACGTGACCGCGCCTTCTAACACTTGTTTACTCAAACAGGTATCTCAAACATAACGTACTGTATCCCAAATACTTAAAAACGAATCGCACTCATTGTTATAGCCGTTAATCTTGGAAATTTAACAAGCCGTTCAAATATACAACCTTTATAACGGCAAAATGTTCCATCAGTTGGCCTTGCTATAAAAATTGTAGCACAAACGTCGGATACTTCTCTTCTTCTTCTTAGAAGGAGTTATCTACAATCGTTTAATGCAATACCTGACAAATTTCAACATTCTCTGTAGTAACCAAAACGGCTTCCGGAAAAATTATTCCACTGCACTCGCACCAATCGACTTGCATGATAAGATCTCCACGGTCTTTGACCGAGGTGAATTTGCCGTCGGTATTTCTCCTGACCTCTCAAAAGCCTTTGACACTGTAAATCATGCCATTCTTTTTTATAAAACCGAACATTACGATATCGACAACGTCGAAGATTTTCAATATCTCCGTTCGTACATTCCGTCAACCGGGAAAGAAATCAAGTGCCGGAAAGGGAGAGCATGGAGTGCGTTTTGGAAATTGGATCGTGTTTGGAAGTCTCCTGCATCACTACAACAAAAGGTTTAACATTTCAAAGCGTCAGCTTTAAGTGTGCTTCTATATGGCTGTGAGTCTTGGGTCCTAACATCCGACCTCTGTCGTCGACTTGATTCCTTCCAAACGTCTTGCCTTAGAATCATATCATTGGCGTTCCTCGTACTGATCATGTTAGCAACGAGGAAGTCTATGATAGAACGGGAACAGTCCCCCTTTCCCAATTAGTTAAAGCCCGCGTAGATCAGATTCCTGGACCACTGTCTTCGGCGCACCCAGGGGGACATTAGAGGATGTTAGCATCAACAACGAGTACAAGTACGAGAACGACTTCAAGCCGTACTCGTACTCGAAGTCGTTTTCTCAGCTTTCTATGTTAACGATGACACCAAGTTCGAGTTTATAGAACTGTGTAGGAAATATCGCGTTCGGTTGCTTTTCCTCGACTTCAAAAGCAGTATTTTACATAAAACATAATATAAGGAATGTTCAAGATGATAAAGAGAGGCTAGAAACGAAAAGAAACTGCATTAAACGATCGGAATTTACCTTTGAAAACCAGCTCTTCCCAGTCGTTCTACCCACTTCGAGTTTTTGGTGAGAACTCGTCGTAGTAACTTTTAAAGTCCTTTTATTGGTATACAAGGCCCTTCATGGCCTTGCACCTTCTTATATTTCTGACCTTTTGAATTTTAAAACATACTCTAGGTCATTACGTTCTTCATGTAAAGAATATTTAGTGGTTCCAAGAAGCAGATTGAAAACATATGGAGACAGAGCTTTCTCTATTGCAAGACCTAAATTGTGGAACGATTTACCTCTAGAGATTAGGAATGTGCTTCAGTGGCAACTTTTAAGCAATCCCTTAAAACTTTTTTATTTAAGTTAGCATATAGGTTATGAGATTCCTTTTGCTTTAAGATGTTTTTGATTCATATAGTAGATAACTTAGGCTATATTTGAATTATATTGTATATTGTAGATATTTTATAATTTAGATTTTATAAATTTCATTTTGTAATTAGGTAGCGCTTTGGACAATTATTGGATTTTAGCGCTATATAAATAAAATTATTATTATTATTATTATTATTATTATTAGTGCAACTTGTCAGGACGACTTGAAAACGTGGAGATGCGCAGAACAGATGCGCAGTACGCAAAATCGCTGGTCTCGTTCTAGAACTCGTACTCGTTGTCGATGCTAACATCCTCTGTTATTTCTAAATACGCTCAGTACCACCCGACACATGGTAAACCATGACCTGGTGGACTTAAAATTATATTCCAGGAGTTTTCATTGCGAAAACCCCCAACTTCCTCACGAAATGTGTACTTTGGCGCAGGACCGCAAAGCTTGAAGCGTATGGAGGTCGACTGTTGGTACCACCAGGAACCCTCATGAGCGCCTCAGTCAAGCAGAGAGTGCGAGGGGGGGGTTTGGGGCAAAAGGCCGTATTTATTAATATTTTCTTTTTTCAAACAACCTCAATTTTGATCCGTTCCATGGCGGGTACTCCCATTTACATGGTATATAGGTATATGACACGTGACTTCAAGGGTAAAACACTTACTATGTAAATACAATTTTCAACGGATACTCTGGCTTTTAACTGAGTCAAAACAATCAAAATGGCTGTTTCCGGGTCTCTTGCATATCACAATTCTGTTTCACCCGACGGTGCCAGATCATTTAGAGATTCTCTTCCAGTGACACAAGTGGAACTGCACGTTTCTTGCAGGTAAAACGACCGATTTTGTAAACAGCGAAGTTAACTACTCTACGTAATTAAGCATAATGAGCGGTCCGCTCACTGATGGGCTAATTTAGATTTATATTGATTGAAATTATCAAATGTATTATCAAAATTAGAGATTTTGTAAAGACGCTTAATAGAACACATGTTGATTAAATACCAGAGCAAGTGTTTCTAGTATAGGATGAATTTGACATGCATTTTTATGAATCCTCAATTTTAAGTTTCAAACATGGGTTGTTGAGGAAGTTTAAAATGCTGCGTTATCAATAACATGCAATTTTACATCTGCGTATTATAATCAGTTCATTTGAAACTTTTGATTTGTCTCTATTAACTGTTATTTGAATCGCACAGTCAAAAGACCATGATTCGTACAATCTTGAAAAGCCGGGTCTTGAATTTTACTAGTCATCTTGAAAAGTCCTTGAATTCGGTTAAGGTCCTTGAGAAGTACTTGATTTATTTATTAGGTCTTGAAAAGTTCTTGAATTTCTCCACTTTCTTATTTGTCTTTCTTTGTTTCAAATGCTATTTCTGTACTTCAGATAGAACTGCAAGTCATACCCAGTGACTGTTGTCATTTGCAAAGTGATGTCACGGAAAGTAGTTTAATAATAATGTAAACTGATCAGCCATGGCTGAGAAAGGAAAAATCACAAATGACTCCGCTGAGTGTTTTAGCCAGTAAAGTGTTCCAAAGGGGGTCAAAGAAAGGCGAGTTACTGAAGAAATCTTAGACTTAAAAACTGTAATTTGTCCTTGAAAGGTTCTCAAACAATCCTTGAATTTTGTTTGTCTGAAATTATACGAACCATGAAAGACAGCCAGTCGTTCACTGTAAGGTCAAGTTATCTATTTAAAAATCATGATTGAATAATTTACTCTTATGAGATTGAGAATGTGTCTTTTCTTTTTTAAAAGGAACCTTGCTGATATGGATGTGTTTTCTAAGTCCGATCCAAGTAAGTACTTTTAGTAGCCACAAATTGAAGCCAAAATTTAAGCTCCAGAAACGGGCGGTGAGAAAGAGCAATACTAAAAGTTGGCGTTAGCTGCGAGTGGGCTTTGTTGAAAGTTGCCGAGAATGTTTCAGTTACGTAATGACAGCATGATGTAATATTAAGTCACACACTTAATAGGTTAGAAAAGTGAAGAAATTCGCCAAAACAATCACGTTCGCTATATTTTGAAATAAGCTTATATTCTTTGGCGTGCGCTGCATACTTTGTAGAATTTTCTTGAAGTAACTCCGTTATTATTACAGATGCATTGAACGATGACAAACCTTGTGTTATAATGTTTTCGGTTTAAATGCGATGGCTACTAAATTTTGACACGACCTACAGCAATCATTCGGCTATATGAAATAATTCAATTTGACTGATGATGAATATTTTTTACGAGGGGAACAAGTATTTCCTGTGAAAGAAAATTCTTAAAACAAAGCTGATTGCCAAAAGGGCCTTGTGTTAAAACATACTATTTAGTTGATAGCACTTATAATTGGTGAAAAACCTGCTCTGAAGTCGACATGACTTGCTCGTCCACATTTTTAAAGGACTTTATAGTAACGAACTTTTGCTTCAAAAATTTCTCTGAAATTTATTCGGGCATAGTTGATATCAACAATGAAAACTGATAACCCGGAAATTTCAGGCAAAAATATCAGCAAATTTTTCACCAGACGCGATTTTCTTCAAAAAGTTGTGTCCACCTATTTCGAAAAAAATATTCATCACCAGCAAAATTGAATTATCGCATATTATTACCAATAGAGTCAAGATTCATAGCGTGAGCAGCGATCAGCGTCGTATAATTAGTATTCATAAAAAAAAAACAATTCACAGTGTTTTAAAAGGTTGTCAAGGTTACGTTTTGGGGCGGCTGTGATAAACTTCAAAAACTCATCGAAAAACTAATGTTTAATGAGACACCGCTCAACTTAACACCAATTTTTTAGAACAAAATAACCCCACACCTAAATATTAGTGTAAGAATGAGTTGATCTATGTCAGAGATTTTGAAGCCGTTAAAAACTCACAGTCGTGTATTATCAGATGTAAAAACTCTCGGCTTCGCCTAGATTATTTGAACCTGATAATACCCTCCTGCTCGTTTTTTAAACAGCACATCAAGATGGACATTTACGTAAGAAAAATGCAAGAATGGCGACTTGTTTACTATACTAGAATTAAACGAAAATACTGGTTATTATTTGAATAGCCTGTGTTTTGAGCGGCTGCACAAGCATTAAAACTTGCTCCGGTTTCGGTGTTTGTCCCTCTTCCCACATGCACAATTCAACAACTCGACAAAACATTTACCAGCGGGCCAGTTTGACTATCAGATCCTTTATTACGGGTTACTGTCCAAACCCGCTTTTATTAGAATCCATCAGCAAGTCCTGATACACTTGTTATGATTGGCCCAGTAAACGTCTTCCGGTTGCAGTCAATCGAGGCGAATGGCAAGCACACGGCTTGCTAGATCACATGACCTAGCCCAGTAAGGGGGTTTCGTATAATAACAATGGAATGCTCCCCACGCCCTCCCTTTATCCTTTCGATCTCCAAAACAGAAGAAAAAAGACGCCTAGCTGCAGATTAATTACTCCAATATACATGAAAGAAAAGACATACAAATTCTATTTGCAGGTAAATATTTAGTCAAGGGAATGTAATCTTGAAACTAGGATATACCTTAAAATATTAGTTTGATGAAATGATAAAAATAACAAAACAACAGGTAGGATGGAGAACTTTGAAATAATTAGATACGGCGGCCATACTGAATTAATTCGATTTAAGGAGTATTATAGGATGCCCAGGGGGCATGAGCACATTTCGTTTGTATTTTCGAGCGCTTTTCGGGACATTTTTTCTTAAAGTTTTCTTAGAATAAGATTGTAATGGGAAAAAAGATCCCTGTGCCGTGTTTGAATGTAATAATGATCGCCTTTTTCTAGTTTAGTATTAGAAATATGGCCTTCCACTATATATTTCTCGGGAAAAAGGCGATCATTATTACATGAAAACACGGCACAAGGATCTTTTTTCCAATTACAATCTTATCCTAAGAAAACTTTAAGAAAAATGTCCCGAAAAGCGCTCGAAAATACAAACGAAATGTGCTCATGCCCCCTGGGCATCCTATAATACTCCTTAAATCGAGTTAATTCAATATGGCCGCCGTATCGGTAAAAAGGTCTAATATTCAGAAACAAAAAGGAGGTGGGGTTCTTTGAAGAGATATTGGGGACATCAAGATCCAACGACCCGACGGCAAAGAGAATGTCAAAACAACAAAAGGTGTAATGAGAAAAACGACAACTTTGCACGTGCATCTCACGTTTTTGTACATTTCTTTGCCGTATTTGCACGACTACGACTTGAAAATACCCAATTTCGCGCGTTTTATGGAGAATGTAAACAAGCAACGACGAAATCTTATTTCTCTCTTGAAACTTGGCTATGTTCCTGAAGAATTCAACTCCAGATGCGTTCGCCCACATTTGACAAAGTAAGATGGTAGGAAAAATCGCGATAAAGACTGAAAGAACGCAAATTAACTTTTTGAGCGACGTTCTCGATGCCGTCGCGTCGTTGGAGCTTAAAGTCCTTAAGGTGACGTTACACAGGACGATTCGCAACGACGATTTTTAACGCCACACAGGGTTCAAATATTGGAACAATATTGCAGCCATTCGAAACAATGAAATAACAATGTTGTAACGCTGTGTTGCGCTAAAAATCGTCGTTGCGAATCGTCCAGTGTAACATCAACTTTATTCCCTGCAGCGGTGGAAAATGGCATAGGTGAGGGAGGATAATTTGTATGAATTCAACATATCTGACAGTGACTCTGTTTCCTCATCAGTGGTTGTCATGTACACTCAAGCAATGGGGAGCAACGAATGGAAAGAAGTAGGTAACTTTTAATTTTTCACGTGTGGGTAATTTCCTGGTTGACGCACATCCAATTAACTGATAACGGAATAGGATAAAATAATAACTGCTTCTCTCAAATACTGGCATAAAAAGCGACCGCCTATACAAAACACCAAAATTTTCCCAGTCAAAGCCTTACAGTTGGAACCTCTAGTAAACGACCACATCCTGTAAGCGACCGCAACTACTTTTTGGGCCTGACGGTTGATGATTTTCCATTGTTTTTAACCTCTTTTAAGCGACCGCTTGACGCATTCTCTAAATCTTATTTTCGCTGTGTGCACTATGTTCCTTAGAATATACGAAGACCTTCAGTGAAAACATATGGAACCACACATAGCCTAACTTAGACATTGCATGCAATAAATCATCTTCCATAAAGCAGTTGTACCTGGACCTCTTCTCGGAAGAGGCGCCCTGTGGTTCGATTCTTGTAAACGACCACCTCCCGTAATTAAGCGACCGCTTAGTCTTTGCATTTTGCATTCTGGGTGGTCGCTTACGAGAGGTTCGACTGTGTTTAGTCATATTGTTTTATTCCAGCTATTTCTTAATATCTTTGTATGCTTTGTTTTTTATTGTAATACATTTTTGGGGTATGCTTGTTTATAGACCAATTTCGAATTATAAAAATTCATACTTGACTCCAAGGCTTGGCGGCATGAACCAAAGAAATCATCTTTTGGCTCAATCTTTCAATCTTTTTTTATTTCACCCTATAAAAGGCATTTACACAAGTGTACGTAGGTAGGAGAACAAAGTAGCTGATAAATAATCATTTAACCAAGAGACATTAAGTTTATTTGTGTACAGTGTCCAAAGTAACAAGAGCTTTCTTGTTGCACACTGTCATGTTCAGATAACGGCAGCAGCAATGAGAGGAAATAAAATCTCAAATAATATCAGTGATAGAACGTATAAGCAAGGTTAAGATCAGATTTGATTGATTAGAATAATACATTTCTTTTATTTTATTCCCCAAGCTTCGGAACTAAGTATGAATTTTAATGTATCCAAATTAGTCTATTATAAAAGTCTAAAAAAACTACCTGATGCACCCCAAGACCCAAAGCGACATTAAGGTGGCTCGATGGGTTTCTTTAGGGTCAATACTTCTCAAGTTTGAGCATAAACCACGTCGCCATTAATAGAGTGTTTTCACATGACGTCACGGCGGCCATATTGGTGTCGCAAAACAATAAAACGGCGGCCATATTGGTGTCCCAAACCAGTCCTCTGGGAGTTGAACTCTTTTCTTATGTAAACGCTTTCTTTTGTTCCAATAAATTTGCATAGATTTTAACCACGTGAGTGAAAACGCTCTATAAGAATTTGGAAAAATTACCTCCACAGCTGTATTAGATAAAGATGAAAAAAAGTTATGATCAGGGTTGCACTGACATCGGAGTTGTCATAGCGATGAACTGACGCCATTACCTATTTTACTTGTAGCCGCATTTCTCGGCACTGGGAAGTAATATATCAAAAATGAGCGCGAGTTGCTTCATCTGGATATCCAGACACCGCGAAGAAGATGAAAGCACGAGGCCGAAGCCTGAGTGCTTTTTTTTGTTTTGAGGTGTCTGGATATCCTCGACGAAGCACGACGCACGAGTTTTTGATATGGCGTCTCACTCTTAAACAAATAATAAACAAATACTTCCAATTACGTTCGTAAAAAACGTCATTGATATTGAAATAATCGGGGTTGGAATGTTACGTGACAAACAATTCATTAGTTTACATATATGGCGTGATTTACTTTATTCTGAGACGTCAAAGTTCCTGGTGTTGCCGGCTTCGGCAGCCGAAAAGTGTGGAAGATTATAAGAAAAGTGTAGATAATGCAGTGTCGGAATCAGCTGATAAAACGAAATGGGTGTGTACGTTGTTCGAGGAATGGAAACAGAATCGATTAGTGAGGTCCTGTGCCTTTGAAATCCGGCGGCCATTTTACCACAAAAGACTTTGAAGAAGGAGTACAAACGTTGGACACCGGCCATTACAGATATGTAACAAGAAGTAAGAAACTCTTTTGGGGAACGATATCTTTCCCCAGCCTTCCCGTTCATTGTACTACCAGTATTTGCGAACTGAAGCGCCACTTTTCTGAAGTAAGCGGACGTGCTGCATTGAAACCTTTGGACATGTTAGACCGAAGGTAAGTTACATTTTTGGGGGGATAAAATTTGGTTCGCGTAAATTACTTGTGTGTATTGTTGCTTTTAATAGTACTTCTTTTCTCGCTTTGTTAGGTTTGTGACATTACGTGTTGTGGACGCGGAAATGAAGGAAGCAACACCTGACTTGAATATTCATTGATTTAATGCAAGTTGTCAACGTGCATATTTTAGTGGAGTATGCAACTCTCACTGGAGAATGGAAGTGTTTTCACTCACGTGGTCAGCATCTATGCAAATTTTCATTGGTTTGCATAGTTCAAAAAGAATGCTGGTGATTGTTTTGGGACAACATCCGGTGACTCTTTACTGTTTTTCATTGGGTATCCAAAAGAATGCTGGTGATGTGGTATACATACAGTGATTGGTAGTTGACCTTAATGACTTGAGACTCCTTTTCCAAAATCGTTCACGAGAGTTTCTTCTCCAATAGCCGCCTTAATGTTAGTGAAGTTTAAGCTAAATCTAGAAGGGCGTTATCGAGATATTTTGAGATGAAGTCCTTATGGTTAGAAATACTGTAAAAATTGGACAATCTTCAGTGATGTTCAGCCGTTATCTGTGGCAGTCGAAGCACCTTTGAAATGCAATTTCACATCATATTAGTTTCAATTATTTAACATATGTGAAAGATCACGCAGATAGGTTTAGCCGATTGTTAGAAAGAAGGATTTCGTTAGTATGTATCGAGGCGCTCTTGTTAGCGGTTTTGTAAACATTTTGGTCCACTTAAACAAATAAGCGAATAATTTTGAAAACCACTACTCTATAGATTTTTTTAAAAAAAATTGATATTTTTGAGATTAACCGTCGTTTTATATGACCTTTGAGTTTCAAGATTATTGATATCTTTTAAGGCAGTAAAATAAGGGCTACAATTCGTTAATTTTTGCCGAAATTGTTTTGTTAACAAATGAGAGCCTCTTATTTTTCAGAGTACTGTTTCCAAGTTTATTCTCACGTAAACAGCAGTCAATAACAATGCATTTGAAATATGAAATGTTAGCTATTCTTGTCCGCGATACATACTTGTCTCGATACATACTCGATACATACTCGCCTCGATACATGTTAATCAATCGATACATTCTCGCTCCTCGATACATACTAATCAAATCCTTCTTTCTAGCACTCGGCTAAAGCTATCTCATGATCTTTCACACACGCTTTTAAAAAGACTGAAGCTACTATGAGGAGAAATTGCATTTCAAAAGCGGTGCGAACTTTTACAGATAACCGCCGAACACCAAGATTGACCAGTTTTTACCGTATTTCAAACCAGAAAAACTTAATCCCAAAATATCTCGTTAACGCCCTCATATTTTGCGCTTATGGGGCCTCACGAACATCGAGGAGGCTATTGGAGAAAAAAGAAATACGGCTGCAAGTAGAATAGGTAACGGCGTCATTTCGTTGCTATGACAACACCGAGGTCATTGTAACCCTGTTCATAACAAATTTATCTAATAAAGCTGTGGTCGTAATTTTTTCCAAATCCTTCTTAATGGCGACGTAGTTATTGCTCAAAATTGGGAGGTATAGACCCTGAAAGGCCCCATCGAGCCACCTTAATTTGTGTTGGTGTTCAGGTGATCAGATGTAAATATTGATAACCTTATGTTTCTCTTTAAGTATGGCAGAACAGAACACATAATGAACAACCTGAATCCTGATTTTGTCACGACTTTTGTAATTCATTACTTCTTTGAAGAAATGCAAAAGCTTCGATTTGAAGTGTAAGTTAGTCATTGTAGAGATCATCCTTGGTCAGCATACATTTAGATTTGTATTTTTGTATCAGATAGTTATACAAGCTAGTTGTCCATATTGCATGGAGTCCCGGAGAGGGGGGGTGGGGTGGGGTACGTGGGTTAATTCTTGCTGGGTATGTGCCGCTGGGCTCTCTGACCCCCTTCTCCATTGTAGTCTATTCTGTGGCCAATTATACCCATCTTAGTCACCTTTGGGCAAATATGTAATTTTCGCGATCCCAAATTAGTCACCTTCTATTTTTATGAATTGACCCGTTTTTTATATTGAATGAAAAAACACTTTACTTTTCATCTGCGGTACAAACATTCTGGTACGTTTGCTAACCCCAAATATGAAGAACTGTCTTACCCCGTGCGACCCCATTATAGTCAATCCAGTCGTGAAAATGCGACCCCATCCAGCGGCACATCCACATTAACGTATCACAATGAGAGCAAAGAGCTGGGATTTTTTGCTTGCCGCGGTAAAAATAAATGAAAATTTACACAGTAATTTTTTGTGAGGCAAATTTATACTAATCTGGAAATTCAAGTCTAAGAAAAACTGATGATACCATTCACTGGTGATGGCAATGTTGCGTAGTTGTTGTGTTGTTAACGAAGAGCTGGGAGGTGTTCAGTAATGACGATGCAATAACTGATTTTAAGAAAATTTGCTGACAGATTGATGTTTTTAGGAATGCGGCGTTAGTCATGATGATAAACTTTACATCTTGCACTGTCCGCTTCATTTATCAAGTGTATATAACAACGCGTTGCTACGTAACAAGTAAACATTCTATCATTCGAATTAACCGCATCATTAATTATGCAAATCTTATAGTATAGGAAGGACGGTTATGAATGTTCATGTCATTTAAATCCCCTGAAGAGTGAGCAATCACGAAACAGGCTTGTTGGGATAAAAGTGTAGTTTTTTTCTGTTTTTCAATATACTAATTATTGTTGTAGGTATGATATAGATAAAGACACGCCCAAGTTATCAGACCACGTAAGTGAATTTTAAATTGCCAATATTAACTAAGTGTTTTTATAATATATCCGGATAATTTAAATTGTACTGGGAAATCCCCTTTTTAGTAAGGAAATCATGGCAAAAGATTCATTCTTTTTTAGGATTATATTGGTGCAATGGAATGTAATTTGGGATCAATAGTTGGAGAATTTGGTGGACGACTTCAAAAGCCTTTGGTGTAAGTCTGTGTAATGAGGAAAAATTAACTTAGATAAATCATTCCTTTCCACGATCTGAATTCAGACTCATCAATAGTTATGTTTTCACAGAAATCCAAAAATAAAGAAACCTGGAACAATAATCGGTACGTTCGTTTACTGAACTCATCAAAATATTGAACATTATATCGTGTATATTTTTATTTTTTGATAGTATGATTTTGTGTCTCATGACCTCCGGGTGTGAAGTCAGTGAAAACACATTATTAGCTTCTGAAGTGATTGATTTTTTTCTTTATGTGTTGCAGTCTCAGCTGAAGAAATCAGTGATTGTAAGGTCAGCTGATGTCAGAATCTACTAATGACTATATAAATTAAGGAAGTGCTCTATAATTTTCTGTTGTAGCTTCTCGGCGTTGCTTGGCTAGCAATTGTTCATGTATACACTGTAAATACTCTTATATTTAGCGTTTTGTGTAGGGTGGTGTATAGACATGTTTATGGTTACTCTTTATCACAATCCTTTTCAGGATGTTCTGACACTCCAGTTTAATGGCAAAAATCTTGACAAGAAAGACTTTTTTGGAAAATCAGATCCATTTTTGATGTTTTACAGGTGTAATGAAGACAACAGGTGAGTCTAGCTACAAGCACTGATCATAATTTGCACATCAACTCTTGGAATGAACTATGAGTGATTTCATTATGTAGCCGGCAGTTTGTCAAGAGGACTTGACTCTAAACGAGAATGAAGTAGTGCCAATGATAAATAAAATGTTTATTAATTGCACAATTATTTTATCCCAGTTTGATAAGCGACATTATCAGTACATTTGCTCAAGTCACCTGGAGGACAACTTAGAAACTCCCCGAACAATTAAAAAACACATTTAGAATTAATATACAACTATCCCCCGGAGGGGAGGTGAATAGTGGTGAATATATGGAGAGGCGAAGCGTCGAGGTATATATCTTGCCTAGTCCCTGTATGGCGTTTTCCCAGTCCCTCTCGGTCAATTCGTTTCGGTGACGTATCCGAGGCGAAGGGACGGGGAACGCCTCACATTTTCGCATGGACCACGTGACTCGAAACGCTTTGGCCGCGAGGAAAAATGAGGCCAAGGGACTAGGCAAGTATATATCTAGTGCTGCTCACCGAACCTGAGGGGGATAGTTGTTTTAGTATTTACCAAATCAGTGGGATAAAAATGAAAAAACTAACTATTTGTAAATTAAAAACATAACTTAGTAGGAGCTTTGTTTACAATTTACAAACATTTCGAGAATTTTGTCGCAAATTCAGCATGAAAATAACTTTCTACTCACCAGTAAACATCGACAAGCCAACGTTCCTCGCGTTGTTGGTATTTATTTGTACGACTGCTTCAATTGTCGCTAAAATTTCGTCTTCCCAAAATGTTAATAGGCAAGGATATTCTGAGTTAGGGAAGCCAATCAAAACGCGAGAAAATTGCTATTCACTGATTTGGTAAATGCTAATGTATTTTTTTTTGTCTTTTCTAGCTTCAGTGCATGTCACCGCACGGAAGTAATTAAGAACACACTAAACCCAACGTGGAAGCCATTTACAATTCAAGCCAGGGCACTCTGTAATGGAGACTATGATAGGTACAGTACACTGTCAGTATACTCAAAAGCTGCATAAATTTTGTCGGACTTAATTATTTGGTGGGACTTAATTATTTTACTCATTATACTCAAAAGCTGCATAAATTTGGTCCGACTTAATTATTTTAAGTCTTTCTTTCTTTCTACTCGTTCATCCGTTGATTTATAACTTAATATCTTCAGTAAACAAAAATCAAGAAACAGGATAAAACATCAACTTATAGTTTAATGTTGAAAATCGTATGATCTTGATCGACTCTTTGATTATTTTGGATTATTATCACCAGAAATTCTCGAAAGAAAATCTCTCTGACACTCATAACCAGTAACCACCAAAGTTTCCTCTGTATCTAAATTTTACATAGGCTGCCATTAAATTTGATACTTCGCATGGTTTTTTCTAATTCTACAGGTCAATGAGAGTGGAATGTTATGACTGGGACAGAGATGGAGGGTGAGAAACTCACAAGTTTTGTAACCAGTTGAATACCAAACAAAGCGTCGATAGATGGAAAGGAGGGAATTTACCAGTTTAGTCTACTATAGGGTAGCACAAATAGCTGAACTAGGTCTAGTATAGGCTAAGGGTCCCGGGATCCCAGCGGTACATCCCCGCCCTAAACTTTCTACTTTCCACCTTGGAAACCTTGTATGAAACGAATCTCAACCTTAAACAGCCTTATAAGTTTGTTTCCACAATTTTTTGTCAAAAACAATATATATATTTGTTAGTCGCTCGCAAGTTTCACCGTACTTTTACCCTGCCATTTTATACGTTTCTTTTTTTTTTATCTCAGCTGTCTACTTCTTTTTGCAGGCATGATCTGATTGGTGTCTTTTCAACTACCATAAACGAACTTAAATCAACTCCTGGAATAACATACGAGGCAAGATTCTTACAAATAAATAAGCTCATATTTTTGTAAGGACAGAAATACAGGTTATAACGTGAGGAAAAATGACACACAGGACCTTGTTCCAAATTTTAGTAGAACTGATGGTTTTAAATATAGTTTTTTTAACCGTGTTGTAGATGAATGGAATGGTTTACCCAATCATATTAGAGAATCAAACAGTATTGCAACTTTTAAAAGAAATGTTTTAGGATTTATTAAGGATAACTAGAACATTTATATTTCTACTTGTATATATTTTTCTTATATTTTAATTAGTGGGCGCATTCCTAGTATGGCGCATTGGCGCTTTTGGTTGCCTCCTTCTCCCGATTTTTTTTTTTTTCTTATAGTAGTGTTAGCTTATTTCATTTCATTATTTGCTTGTAATGTAGGGGAGTGAATCTGAATCTGTAATAAAATAAACCTTTGGACGTGTTTAAGAAGGGGTTTCTCTCCTTTGTTTTCTATTTCTTTACTGGTCCTTTTTTGCTTTGAGGAGCTGCCGTCGGAGATATTTGCCAAAGAGTTCACCAAGGATTTTTCTTGAAAGTTGAATTTTTTTTTTCTATTATTGTCCTGAACAAAAATTCGGCTAATTGATGTTTTCAACTGGCCAAAATCATCGAAAACACGAATTATTTTGTGATCAAAATTTAGAATGTTTTCTATTGTTTCCGACCAAAATAGATCGGAAAAGATGTCTAGTGGCTTAAAATAACAAAAAGACCAAATGTCAGATTTTGGAGTCCGCTATCCGTTTTATATTTGGAAGGAGTCACTGAGACTATGGTTTTGAGTCAAACCTGAATATTCATGATTTTAGTAAAAACTAAATCAAGACCAATCTCAATCGAGTAGTCTCGAAATCGGATGGTCATGGATGTCCTTTTTCTGGATTCAGTTTTGTTCTCTCTCTCATAAACTATTTTAATAGTCAGGGCCATGTTGTTCAAAGCAGGGTTAGTGCGAAATTTGATTTCAGATATGAAAGCTGAGAGGGAAATTCAGTTTTATTCTTTTTGCCTACAATTTGATGCTGTAAAAAGAAAAGAGAAAATTATCCGGGAAAATGCTTTTGAACAAAAGAAAAAGAAACCCGAGTTAACATTTAACTCTAGTAAGGTTAGAGCTAATCGGCCTTCGAACAATTAGGCCCAGAACTATAACTATACATGACTTGTTTTCTTCTTTGACATTTGTAGGTCATCAATCCCAAGAAAAAAGAAAAGAAGAAAGGATCATACAAGAACTCGGGCACGGTGAGCAATGACGCTTATAAATTATATGGCCAAATCCGCGCGCTGGTAAGATGAAGCAAATCCTGTGAGCTGATTGGCTACCCGAGCGGACTAAAACAATGGCCTATCTTTACACCACAAATCAGACAAGCCCCTGCGGCCTCCTTAAAAAAAACAATCTCAAACAATGTAAATGCTGACGCCCCCGACAGTATGAATTGCAACCGGAGGTGTTTTCTGCTTTTTGGCAAGCTTCCTTTTGACGAAAGTAGTTTGTAAGCTCTCTGGTAGAATGACGTTTTTGATTTAGATCACTGTACGACAAAAAAGAATTAACTTCTGGTTAAATAAGAACGTCCGGAGCGTCGACGTTCTCGTGTATAGCACACTTCTCGATACGCGTAATTCTTCATAACATACTTAGCCACAATAAACGACTGTTTTATATTTTTTTAGTACACTCAACGCTGTTAGAATTTCTAACTAATCAGGTGTCTGATTTTTCGTTACTTTTTTCCAGGTCAAATTGCTGCAGTGTAAAATAGAAGAGCGACCCTCGTTCTTGGATTTCATTAGAGGAGGGTAGCTACTTTTGTTTTGTGTCAGAGAGTGCTTCAGTTTCCACAGACCTAATAAGCTTCATCTAGAACAATAGGGCCATTTATACGAGGAAAAATAAGACGCGTCTTAAATAAGACGCAAACTGTACCATTCATACGAGCATGTCTTATCTAATAAGACGCGTTTTAGCTAAGCCGCGTCTTATTTTAGAAGAAATGTGCCGTTTATACGAAAAGTTCGCGTCTTATTTTTCCTCGTATAAATGGCCCTAATGTGTCTTTTATTATACAAGCTTTTGAAGCATGAATGGAGTTGCTTGACCTAATTGGAGTTTCAGGATGGAAACACGAGGGAAAGCTTCTTTAGGGATGATATTTTACAAACAATTATGTACTGATTTCTGGAGGGGTGTACGACAGGAAGGAGATATAAAAAACATTTCTGGAAACTAAAATCACAGAATTCCTCAAAAGTACTTTTGGAAAAAGATGCAGTATAAGGTCTTGTTTCAATTTGTTCCTTTTTTTTTCGTCAAGGCAAGGAAACACACAAATCTCAAACCAGGGGCGGATCTAGGGGGAGGGTGCAGGGGATGCGCACCCCCCCTGAGATGACCTGCGATTTTCTAATACAACTGGTATTGTGCAAAAAAAACTATGTGGTTTATTGGTGTTGAAGTAGAGCAAGAGACGAGTGCACCCCCTCCTAAAAAAAATGCTGGATCCGCCCCTGCAGACGTAGCGGAACCGTTCTGTCTCCGCTGTGTTGGAGACTAGAAACAAGGGGTGGAGCATATTAAAATCTAAGTCTCGTTTTCTTTCATGTTCCAAAGGACTCAAATAAACTTTACAGTGGCCATTGATTTCACTTCTTCGAATGGTAAGATAGCATTACTGTTTGTTCTTGTCTTTGATAAGGACCTTTCGAATCTACAGTTGATCAAACTTTTATTAAGTCCAAAGTCTCGGAAATCGTTACCCTTTATTACTATAATTGTATTTAAAAAACCCTTTCATTGGGATTTTACTAAAACAGGGAACGGGGAGCGAGGAAAGAGCCAGGGGATCAGGAAAAAGATAGTAGGAACAGAACAGATGAATGAGAGATAAAAACTTGAACCTATATCTACCGTTTAAATCACTAAAATTCCTTCATCAAATATGTTTTTGGTTTTAAAATTTGTTGTTGTTTTCAATTTGTTCCCGTTTTCTTTGTTTCGTTTTCCCGTTCTCCGTGCTCATTCCCGGCGCTCAGCGTTCTCCATTTTAGTGACATCACATTCATTGCTAGATCGAAGGATGCCCATGGGGTAACCGTTTCAAATGAAATATCTTTGGTGGAACTTTTACGTGGCACTATTTATTTCTTAGGATTTTCACACACAAAAGATTGATTATTTGATTTGTGAATTTGCCCTTTAGCCTCTGATAGAAGTGAAAGGGTATCAATGGTTCACTTCTATATTTAGCGCATGTGTTAGCCTTTTCCGAGTTCCCAACGAGTTATTTTTCTTCAGGCGGTCTTCACCTCTGTTAAATAGTTGCTTTGGTGAGGTACATTTTAAGATGTAAGCTTGATTTATTAGGGCCATTTATACGAGGAAAAATAAGACGCGACTTACATAAGACGCGAACTGTACCATTTATACGAGCATGTCTTATCTAAGACGAGAACAGCTCGTATAAATGGTTCGCATCTTATTTCTGTTCTTGACTCGTTTTCATGTGAATGTTGCCCGTAGCAACGGGCAATCCAACGTAGCGCGCCAAAAATTAACGCATGCTACTATGCGTTCGCGTCTTACGTAAGACGCGAAGGTCATTTATAGGAAGTTTTTCTCGTCTTAGCTAAGACGCGTCTTATCTAAGAACAGGTGTTAAGGGCTCTTCTAAAATAAGACGCGTCTTAGCTAAGCCGCGTCTTATTTTAGATGAAATGTGCCTTTTATACGGAAAGTTCGCGTCTTATTTTTCCTCGTATAAATGGCCCTATTGATGATGTATGTTTTTTAGGTAATCCAAAAGATTCCACGTCTCTTCATTACATAAACCTTCATGAACAGAAACTGAATCAGAAACAGAATCAGAATCAGAATCAGTACGTGAAGGCGCTCACAGCTGTTGGGGAAATTTGCCAGGACTATGATACGTGAGTGCCATATTAGTTTTCATGAAATCTTCGCGACACTTGAATTTCGCAAATTCGCGCTTTTTTGAAATCGCGAAAAGCGACGCGAACATAACGTGGCGCGAAAATTAAATGAAAGAGTGGAAGAAAGCAGGACTGAATTACCAGGTTGTAACTGGGAGTAGAGTGCTACGTCCTTTTCCAGAAATTACAAAAATAATTCGTGAGGCTTGTTTATATTGATTATCGAGGACACTACCCACCGGTGCATCAGTTTTTAGTTTTGACATGATGACAAAGGCAGATCAAGTCGTTTTATTCGATTAAATAAAAAATTAAATAAATCGTGTCTTGCTCAAAAACTCGAAATTAAAGTGACTCTGAAGCCAAATTTTTTTGCAAAATTGCGAAATATGCGAACCATCAAATCGCGAAACATATTTTAAAAAGATGTACCACACAACAGTAGGGTTATTTTCTTTAACAAATCAAACGAATCATTTGGAAATGCAGTGCGATGAGAGGATCCAAGGTTGAAGTCGATCAGAGAGAAAACAACGCTTGTTAGTGATACTGGGAAGGAAAAGAACATCCTTTTTCTCTCTTTTCATTTAATTTACCAAGGGGAAAGGTTTGAACAGTAAAATGTTTCTATAAAAACATATTCTTTTGCCATCAAGCTGTAGCCAGATGTGCCCCATCTAGTGTCATTAATGTCATTGAAAGTACCCTTTTTATTAGACTGCCAAGTCGTTCTTTTTCTCTTTTGTAGTGATAAAATGTTTCCCGCTTTTGGATTTGGCGCGCGTGTTCCTCCAGACTGGAAGATCTCTCATGAATTTCCTCTGGTCAGTGATAACAGTAAATTCTCCTTTAAAATTAATTCCTTGGTTATTCTGTAATACGCTATGGAAAACGCCACTTCTTCATCTAATATGGCACCGCTTTCAAACTTTGTTTGGCCAATCGTGACGACTGTCGGTGGCCAAAGGCTTAAATCATCGCCAGATAGTGAGAAAAAAAACCTAAACCCCTTTTTACTGTTTAGACTGCAAAACAATCGGTTTTTTGTTCTCAAAATCACTAAAGAAATTAGCCTCCCACGCAGACGTTCTTAGGGATTCGTCACGCTTTCCTGCCCCACGAACGCCTGCTGACTTGAGCGGAAAAAGACGTAGACCAATCACAGCAGACTTCCAGATCTGGGAAGTGCACTTTGGACCTTGAGAAATTTCGCGCTTGACTATATAGCTCCAGAAAAGATCAGAAAGGTCGCATGAAAGGTGAAGACCTTACAGTTTTAGAACAAACTACTCATTTACCTCATAAGCGTTCGTACTAGTGGCTACCCTCAGAATCTCGTTGAAAAAAATTACCTCGGAGGTTAAATTTGCTGAACGGAAGTCGGCTTTCCCACAAAACTATAACGTGTGAAAAAAAATTCTTCCTTTTGTTCAGTCTTACAAGGTAACCCCGCCGTTACATCACCCAAAGAACAACTTTATGAGCAAATGACATCTAATCCAGCCTTTACAGAGAGAAATATACAAAAAGCCAACGCTTATCTCCTATATTCTGGTCAGGAGCAAAAATCTTTGGTCACGTATCACACTCTACAGAGCTTGTACGTATGTGTTTGGCTTGTCAACACTTTGACTTCAGCAGCGCCGATTGGATCTGTGATAATCTGCATGTGATCTCCAGCCGATATTTGCGAACAATGGGAAAGGAATTTATCTTTCAGTTCAGCAGACGTTCGTGGGGCAGGAACGCGTGACGAAACCCTAAGAACGTCTGCGTGGGAGACTATAAAGAAATCGGTGTGTGGTGTGAGTCTTACGCGCACAAAGCGCGCGAGCTGTGTGGCCGTCTCTCCCCACTCTCACTCTCCGTTTTCAGCCTCGTTCCAGACCTTTTGTTTGACTACTCGCGCGTACTTGAATACGCAAAAATACGGACTGTTTTGCAGTCTGCTTTCTGTTTTGCCTATTTGTAGCAAGCAGGCTCTTATTCTTTTAATCGCTGATTGTTTTCAGAATGGCAATCCTCAGGATCCAAATTGTAATGGAATTCACGGTGTAATCGCAGCGTATTATCACAGCATAGAGAGGGTTCAGCTTCATGGTAATATTTCAGACTTAAAAGGACTCTTAGGGCCTGTGTACAAGGAGGAAGGGTTACCCTCGTGATAAGGTTACCCTAGTAAGCTGGTTAAGGATAACTATTTAGGGAAAAGCGGAAATTCCGGTTGGAAAATCAAATGGTTCGCGCTATTCCGTCTGGGAAGCCTCAGGAAACATGGATTGTGATTTAAGGCGCTGCAATTTTTCTACTCTTTTAAGACTGTTCAGCTGATTTGAGTTACTTTGTAGCGGGTCGTTCTCCCACCACTTCAAGTTTGGCTCGTTATAAATTACTTTTTGAATATTGTATGCAAATTGCTATATTTCAAAAAGATATTACTTGACTGTAAATTTAACGTGACTGAAATTTTTTTGTGTTATTTCCGTTACTTTCGGCTTGCATATTATTTTACCCTTTTAGATTTCGATTGAAATGTGTTTTAACCAAGCCTGTCTGTCTCAGTCTGTCCTTCTCCCTTTGCCGTTGCCCTTAGAGATCTGGGTGGGAATTTAAAATTATCACCAGCCTCGAAGTTTTGACGTCATTATTATTATTATTATTATTATTATTATTATTATTATTATTATTATTATTATTATCATTATCATTATTACAAGCCTATCACTACATAATGCAGGAAATATTATTTACTAACTGAGTATCAGGTCACAGCCTGTGGCGTAGCCAATACTCCGTGCCATTATTCCGTCCAATTTTCATATTTAAGTGTCTAACGCTTTTCGCAGAATCCTTCCTGACCCCATCAAGGCTATTCGTTGTAAAAGTTCCATGCAATATGTCATTTCCAAGTATTATTATTATTTATTATTATTATTATTATTATTTGTTAGTTTATTTATTTCGGGGGAATCGCTTTTTTTGAAACTTTCGTCTCTGTGTGTTGCTGTTGCAGGTCCCACTAACTTCGCACCGATAATTAATCAAATCGCAAGGTGGGAAGTAGATGCAATTTACAAGGGTGCAATCTGTTTTTGAGTGGATAAATGATTTGTGTCAGCTCAAGTTTGACCCAATTTTCACTACTTTTTTTCTAACAGTGAGAGCATTTGTGTTTGGATACGTTTGAAGTCAGGGCCCAGTCAAGGCGAAGATGACTTTATCTGGGCCTATACTCAACCAAACTGCTTTGCGCCCCGCGCTGATTTTCCCCATAGTCGAAAATTCTATTTTCTCGTGTCGGTTAAAAGATTTTTCTTCATTTTTGTGAGTACTTCTTTAAGAGTTTTCTTAAAAAGGCAAGTATGTCAAGGATGAGACTTTGATATGTTACTATTTGTTCTTTATGCAATAGAATTGCAAGTTCATCACACAGAGAAAAGCAGGGACAGGAGTATGTACCACAACTAAATAAGCAAATATTCTCATGATTTATTATTGTGGTTATTCAAGTGGAACAGAAGGTCATTATTTTTGCCAAACCTCTTAGAACAAACCAAGGAAATAAGGAACCGCACATTGTCCGTTCACAATGACCGCGAAACGTAGCGTTCCATTTGCGTTCAGGCTTAACTGAAAAAATCCAGTCAAAGGCAGCTGACGGTCTTATTAGTTATTGAAAGATGAGGCCCCAAAGTTTGATAGCGCTATCCACCGGATAAATCACTATCCAAGGGATAGGTGTTAGGGAAACCAATTGCCCTATTTACTGGATAGTGATTTATTCGGTGAATAGCGTTATCCACCTTTAGAACAACTGGGGCCTGATTGTTAGAGTTTCTCTTTGCCAAAATATTTCATACTACTACTGACTGTTTATGTTTCCTAAAATTTGTGTTTCCATCTAGATATTTTGTGCTTCTGATATTAACAGATGGAATAATTTCGGACATGCCGCAAACAAAAGAAGCTATTGTTAAAGTGAGTGACTGGTATTTTGACGATAGAGGTGTACTAGGGTGTCAGTAAAACGTGGGGTCGGGGTCGTCGCCGGGGCAAGCCGAAGAATACTGTTTTAGGGTTAGGGTTAGGGTTGACACTAACATGGTTACTACACAGCACCATGGATATAAAAATGATAGGAGCACGCGCGCGCGTGTAATAGCGCGCGTAATATGTACATACTGTAATGTCCCAATTCAAATGAAACTGAAATTGATATTTAAGGGGGTGTTAATGACTTGCATACTAACGCAATTGAAAGTATATTTTTCTCTTTTGTACGCCGAATGACGCATATGAATGCCCAAAAGTGTTATTGTACGTTGATTAAATGTAAAAAAACGCTATTGAATCTGAATTATACGCAAATCTCGTATTTTCGCGCTAATGAATGTCTCTACCTTAGAGACTACGCCATCTTTTGCTTGAATTGATGTAATACACCCTGATAGTCCGTAGTTTGAGAAGGCCTTATCTCTCATAAGCTTCTATAATTTCTTTCGGTGCCCTGGCCACGTTTTTTCTTTCCCAATTATTTTATATTTTCTGCTGTATTGTACTTCTGTGCGGAGAATAAAGCTAGGAAAATCGTATTATTTTTAAAAAATGTTTTTTGTTCGCCATTATTGGGAGAAAATGGGTTAGAGAGGCAAAGGGCATGGAAGAAGGAACATATCATGGAGACGCATCCCCTCTAACTCGTTTTCTTTTGTAAACGCACATTTTTAAAGCATTTTCGCCTTGCGTCTAAGCCAATGGTTGGAGGGCAATTCTGTCAATAGACCTATTTGGCTAACTCAATGTTGTACCCAATTCAAATCTCCCAGGGTTAAGATTCTTTGTGTATTGTATTTGCATTATAATGTGGCTTTTACATTTAAACGATAACAAAGCGTTTTATTCCCAAAGGGTTTGAATTGGGGAATTGGGTACAACATTGAGTTAGCCCAATTGAACAGGATTCATGGTAAAAATGCGCTTTAATTAACATGTGTAGCGGAAAATCACTGAACCGTAACGAGTTCTTAACACAAGAATTGCTCCATTCGCCACTCTCACATTTCCCATAATGCACCTTATTCCTCCCACCCCCCCCCCCGCCCAAATTTTGCATAACCTTTGTTTTTCATTTCTCCTGGTGGTCCCAAGAGAAATAGAAAACAATCCTTATGCAAAATATTGGGGGGCAAATAAGGTGCATTATGGGAAATGTGGAAGTGACGTATTGCAGGCGTGCAAGTATAGTGCTTAAATACCTCAATTTATATATTCATCGTAGGCAGCTTCTCTTCCCGTTTCTATTATTATTGTTGGTATTGGACCAGCAGAGTTTGAAGGTAGGTACTCAATCAGTTTTAGATATGGAGTTTACATGTGTTCACACAGTTGCCAAATTGCTGCGATTTTAAGCTTGGTTTCAATACACTAGTGACGATCTCAAAGTTGGTAAATTGGTATCGCGGGGAGTGCGTTATGTTCTGATGTAAAAAGAACGATGAAACAGAAGCGAAACCGTTGTTTTGCATCATCAAAGTCTAAAAGTCTCGCTTGAATGCTGTCGTGCTTTGTTCTCAGTTTCAAGATGGAACTGGAAAAGAGCTTTGCGATGGGCTAAAGTTCTGCTAAGGTCGGTTCAACCTCGTTCCCAGGGTCCTCTTCTACTTGGCCCCGCTCCGGAAGCCGAGTAGGAGAAAACCCTGGGAACGAGGTTGCCGTCTGTTCGGTTTACATTGGGGAGTGAAAGATGGCAGCTCGCCTGAAGCAGGAAAGGAGACATCTTTGCTTCCTCCTCCTTCCTTCCTCTTCCTTACACGATCTACGCTAGAACGGAAAGCTTCTACATCCCCGCTTCTGTCTCTACCACTGCATTCACTACTTTCACATAGACCATAATGCACCTTGTTTACCCCCCAAAATTTTGCATAACCTTTGTTTCTGATTTCTCCTGGGTATTACAGTCGTCCCAAGAGAGATCCAAGACAATGGTTATGCAAAATTTGAGGGAGGGGCGGGGGGAGGTAAACAGAGTGCATTATGGTCTATGTGAAAATGGTGAATCCGTTAAAAGTGTTTACCCTGACCTTAAGTTCTTTGTTCGTATTCGCCTTTGCTCATCTCCCATAATAAACCTCGTTAGCCCTCTTTAAATTCTGCTTAAGCATCGTCTTTAATTTCTCATGGGATGACTGGAGTACCCAGGAGAAATTAAAAACAAATGTTATGCAAAATTTGGGGGGCGAGGGGGGGCAAACCAGTTGTATTATGGGAGATGTACGAATAGCGAATGAATACCTTCCCGGCGTTTCTCACTTAATCAATACTTTGGAAAGTAAAAATTTAGGAGTTTTAGGCCTCTTTCAGATTTGAAAAGGTTTCGTGGCATTGTTTTTGTCTCTTTCCATGAAAATGCAGCTATGGAGGAGCTTGATGGAGATACAGTTCGTCTGTCATCGCGTGGAAGATACGCGGAAAGAGACATTGTACAGGTGAGATATTTTTCTACTGAGTGCATGCTTTATTAAAAAGGCGTCATTTGATTATCTATTATATATTGGTATAGGTGAGTCGCTGAGGGTTTGAAACCCTGACCCCGTTTAGGACAAAAAAACCTAAAATGCATATGCTATTCAGGAAAAAACCCTCAAATTTTTTACCCTCCTTAGGGCAAAGGACATGTACACTCTGTTATTAAAATCAGGGGCACCTAACGTCAATTTTCGGAAAATATCTGTTCGGAAGACGATTTGAGATCTAGAATTTTCGGAACATTTTTTGTAAAATTTCTTGCTTGCCTGCCTCTCCTAATACTTTCGAACATCTAAATATCGGTATAATTGCCCATTTTTAACGGATTTTTACCCTAAAAAGGTCACCTAGAATTTTCGGGAGCCTTTTTTCTGGCTGAAATTTTCGAAAAGGTAAGTTTTGATCCCTATAATTTTCGGATCACTAGACTTTTAGCTAGGAAATCCGAACAGATGAAAAATTTTTAAGGGATGAAAATATGCCTATATCTACCATTAAATACTAAAATGCGTTTAACAATGCTATGTTTAATATAAGTGGTTTTAAACTATATTCTCGTTGGGTGCCCCTGTTAAAATCTTCCATTTGCTACCATTTCGAGTTCACAATACCCTGCTAAATCCACTCGCACTATCTAGACAGCTGCAAACCCAACCAACTAAAACGTGATGGCAAGTTACAGTCATTTCATTTTGTTTCCTTATAAATCATAGTTTGTGCCCTTCCGAGATTACATTGGACAAGCTGGGAACGTCATAAACGGAGCTCGATTGGCAAAAGATGTGCTGGAAGAACTGCCAGATCAATTTCTTGATTACATGAGGAAGCAAAATATCAAACCAAGGCCTCCTAAACACACAAACATTGCAAAAGTAGCTACGGTCTAAAAGAGCCTTTTACAATTTCACTCTCGGAGTCCGTGTTTCCCAAGTCCAGTAATCAGAAATTGATTCCCTTTCCACTGGACACTATATGGTAACTCGGTCTCAAGGGGCAAGTAGACTGGGTAAGTTCCATTGCCCTGCGCATGTGTGGAAAATTTTTTAAATTTGTGAAAGCTATATCAACAATATGCAGACATTATTTATCATTTGTTATTTTTACAACTCATTTACTAGTTTTTTAGGGGGGGGGGGGCGATGGTGGTGGGGGGGGGGGATTGCACACACGTTTGATTTTCCCTGGTGACATTGCGGTGAAGGTCGTCATCATCATCATCATCTTTATTTAAAAACACGGTAAATACATCAGGCATTAACAATTTAATATAAAGCTACAACTTACATTCAAACCAGGTCAAGCGTACCCCCCCAAGAATCCATTAATGAATTTATTATTCAAAATTTGAATCCGTTGCTAGTTGTAGATTTCAGATTGATCTCTGCACTCTTGCCTGTGTAATGAGCCCTGAATTCACACGCGAGGCAGTTATGAAATTACTACCTGCTTCATTTTCCTGAAATTGATGTAAATGTCTTCTAAGAAGCTTAATCCATTCAAAGATTTCCAATCTGACCAAATACAGAGAAGTTCTCGTAAAATATTCACTGCTCATTACACATGCAGAAATACCGCTTAGAATTTGACACCAGTTACAGGAACGACTAACGGATTCATTTTTCAAATAATAAATTCACTAATAGAATCTTGGGGGGTACGCTTGACTTGGTTTGACTGTAATCTTCTTAATCTTCTACAATTCAAAATATTGCTAACTATTAAGGAAAAGTAAACTAAAATAAAGCCTGTTTTACATGAATGCCGTGTCGGAATTAATTAAGAATCGTCGGAAATTAGTCAGAGATGTTGCTTGCCTAGCAGCTGAGGGTAGACTGTTCCAGAGGACTGCACCACTTAAGGCAAAGCTATTTTTGTAATAGTTAGTACGTGGCAATGGTATTGCAAGCTTATTATCAGAATCGCGCAAATTGTAAGAAGTAATCACATCACTCCGCTGAATGAATTTCGAGGACAAATAATTCGGTGCGAGGGCGTTTAAGGACTTATAGACCATCTCAGCCTTTAGTTTTTGACGTCGAGTTTCTAAATTGTCCCAGCCTAATTCTTTACTAGTTGGTTGGCGTCAGCATCATAACTAGAATGGGTAAGGACGCGGACAGCACGATTTTGAAGTCTCTGTAATCTGTCAGATAATATTTTGGCACAGTTACCCCAAACAACACTACAATAGTCGAAGTGCGATTGAAGTAACCCATGATAGTTATTATGTAGAGTTGCAGCAGGAACACAGTGACTTATTCGTTTAATAGATCCAATACCAGAAGAGATTTTTTTAGATATAGTGTTGATATGATTACTCCATGTTAGATTTTCATCAATTAATACACCAAGAGACTTGGTAAAATCGACTCTGTTTAATTGTGTACCATTAATTTCTAAGTCTGGGAGAACGGATAGACTATTCAATTTTTGTCTTGATCCGATTAACATAAATTCAGTTTTTGTCATATTGAGAGTCAATTTATTGGCAATGAGCCAATTGTTTATATTTAACAAGTCCTGATTTAAAGAAGCCTCAAGGGAGTAGACGTCATTGTCAGCATATGTTAGGTGAGTATCATCCGCGTACATTCTTGGTTACGAATTTGATAAACAATTAGGTAAGTCATTAATGTATAAGAGAAACAGCAAAGGCCCCAGTATTGTCCCCTGGGGATCCCACAAGTTAAAGTGCAGCTTTTAGAAAGGACACCATTGACAGCACATTTTTGCGTACGATTTTCTAAGTAAGAAGAAAGCAATTCGTAGGCAATTTCTTTGACTCCATACGAATATAGTTTGGATAATAGAATAGAGTGACTGGCTGTGTCAAATGCCTTTTTTAGATCTAAAAAGACAACAGCGTTAACATAGCCACGATCTATGTTAAAGGCCCAATTATCAGTGGCTTCGAGCAAAGCGGTTACAGTTGGGTGAAAGGATCGAAAACCAGACTGATATTTTGACAAAATATTATTTTCGGATAAATAAGAAGAAAGCTGATTATAAACTATTCTCTCGAAGACTTTTGCTATTGCTGAGATCACAGAAATTGGGCGATAATTGTTCATATTACTTCTATCGCCCTGCTTGAATGTAGGCGTAACTTTGGCCAATTTCCAGTCATCAGGGAATGTGCCGGTAGTTAAACAGCAATTAAAAATAATTGAGATATATGGCGAAATAAGGTCAGCACATTCACGAATAAGCCGACTTGATAGCTTGTTTGATAGCTTGATAGAGTATTTGAGGAGGTTGTGTAAGGTGACTCTAGCTTTTGAGTCTATGGACGAAATCCTATGATGTGACCATTCATATGAAAGCTCTGTGCCTGTACTTTCACAAGATGCCATTTGTTTCTCAAAATTTTAGAAAATGAAATTTGGAACTTTGGTCGAAATTTGCCTTTTGCCACATTTGGCAGTGAAAGGGTTGATACCTAGCTAGGGGCAGAGTCCAAAATCTTAAAGCAGTCTAAGTTACAGGAGGTACGACACTCGGGCTCTAAAGCCTGTAAATGCTCATAAACGTGAGAGGATCTGTCCGATGACATGTGCTCGCGCACGCACTTGGCAAAATATCGGCTTGTTTCGCCAACGTAACAAGCATTATAGCTTGCACAGGAAAATTGGTACATGATTCGCACACGAAGCCTGTCAGGAAAAGGATCTTTCACGTTGAAAAAGTTCTTAATTTTAAAAGTAGAGCGGACAAACTTGATCTCGATGAGTTTGCAGAATGGGTCACCCGAAAAATGCCCGACGTAGAGGATCTTGAAATAGTGCTTAGCCAACTCTTGCTGCTCGACACCTGTTGAAGGTCGTGTGTCGTTTCCTTCTACTGCTTTCGTGACTAACGGTGGAGTAAGGTGTCTAATACATGCTCGAGATAGAGACTCTTGTATAAGGATTTCCATGTTTCCTACAGCCCATGCATGTTACCACCAAAGATACGGAAGACAGACTTGTTTTTAGGAAAAAATCACCCCGAAAAGAAATGTTACCTTGTTGAATAAAAATGGAAATAAGGCAGAGAAGAAACACCTTTTCAGCACTTTCGGCAGAAACAAAACTGACAGTCGTTCCTGTTTGAGCCTTGATAACACTTTGGACAAACATCTTGGTCAGGTAGTTAGCATATTGGGAAGAAACGACCCTTGAAATCTTAGAACCAGGGTAACATCTTAATTAGAGTCATCAAAGAAAGCGGCATCCTGTTACAACAGGGACCACAAAAAAAGCAAGTCACGTTGTCCTAATGGAAAAAGAGTTATTCAATCTTGTTCAAAAAAAAAATAGTTAAAAGAACCTTAGCCCTTTTTTTGAAACCTCCAGATTTTTTTTCATGAGTATGCAGATTTTCCTTCATCAGGCGGGGGCTTGGCAGGTCTGCTAGCCGTTGTTCTCGATTCTTCAGAGTAATAAAATGGAATGGACATGGGTTTCGACTATACTATTTCGACCTGTACCAAGAAATATACGGCTAGAATTCACTAGAAACGAAAAAAGACTACTTCAATGTAAGTAATTCACCATTATTAAATAAAAATGTAACCTTTACATAGTCGAAACCCATGTTTCCCGTAGCCCATGGTGGTAATAGTAATTACTAAAAACTGAATCACTGAATAATGCCATTCTGGAGCTCTGATTGGCTTAGCCATTATACCATGCTCTCCAAATATGTTAACTGTACGCGTCTGCTCAAGCTGAAAATCGGTTGTTTTTACAAATAAAGTCGAGAAGAATTCTCGATATTTTGTGGGCGTTTTCAATAAAACAATTATTCCACTCGCGCTTGTTGCATATGAGATGATTATAGCCATCCCGGACCTACGCGCCTCGTTGGCTATCTACCATCCCATATCCAACGCGCACTCGTGGAACGCTTATTAAATATTTAACACAATAATAAAAACATTAGTATAGAAAATGGAAAAATTTAATTATTCAAAATACAATTCACTCTTTCCCTCTCGTGTCTTCGCTTCCGGTATTGTATAAATAGTTCAATGCATTTTGCACAAATTCCGATAAAATAGTTGTTTCAAAACTTCATGTACTATGTACTTTATTATGTACATTATTCAATAAATGCAATGACAATGAGAGGTATTTTCAGGTCTCTTTAAATTAAAAGTTCCTTTTTCAAACTTATTTAACATTGAAAGTCTTGCTCCATTTGAACACTTTGTACAATTCCTATCATTTGATTTACAAATCCATGCCCAGACATTATGAAGGGCAACATATCTGAACACCGGGATTTTACATGAAGCGCACTTCATTTGATGCAACCAGTAATTTTTACATTCCTATTGTAAGCAGCATTATCAAGTCTAAATTCGTGAACAGATCGATTTTTTTTTTTAGATCTATCGATTGTCACGCAATCCGACCCAAAATTTTCACGTAATACCGACTTGCCTCACATTTGGGCTTACAGCGTGACTGCCGGATTAGGTGCTGTTACACCTTCTGTGGCGAATAGCTAGAAATGCTTTCCATTACTATCTGGACCTATTGAAATAGGCAGCTGTGTTCGATGGCGCATGTTCTTGTCAGTAGAGGAGTACTTGAGCACTGCTGTAGGTATTTTCATCGCCTTTGGCGCAGAACGTTGTTGAACGTCAGCGCCATGGGCCACATCCGCCTCGCCAGAATAGTGAGTTTTACTCCTGGTAATAAGTCCTTTAAGCTTTCCATCGTCTGTTGTACAGAACGTCGTTGCAATTGGAATTGACTGTGGCGGCGGACACATACATCCGACTGCCCAAGAACCTTCGGGTTTCTTTGCGTTACCGCTATTCTTAACATCCACTCGTTTCTTACAATTACTTGTCTCTAAAACCTCTCCAGAAGAGCTCGCAATGACAATTCGTGACTCTTTCGGTCGCGACAGTGAAGTTATTTTAACACTGCTGCTCTCTGGGGCAGTTTGTTGGGGTTGAGATACAATCGTGGGCTTGCCGCTACTGGGGTCATTTGAGGTCTCCTTGTGCTTGGATACAAGTGCTGTCCTGGGTGATGTGGTATCGCTATGTCTCCTGGGTTTTTCTGGTGGTTTTCGGAGTCCTTGGCCTTCCACCGCCATACTCATACCAATATATGGAGGCGCTGTCACTTGTGGCTACAAAAGAACAAACAAAAAATTAACCCAACGAGTCGACTAAAAACATTTTCCATTTTGTCCTGCTAATGTTTCGCCCGAGAGATGAAAGGAATAAGAATTTACTACTTAAAAGCACGATCATGAAGAAAGGTACCTGTTTAAACGCTAGCTCGTATCTTCCTGTTTCACAGTTCTTGTCATCTCGTCGATCGAGGACCACTAAAAAAGGCAAATTGTATGCACCATATTAAACACGAAGATTGTTTCACTGGAATATACATCGAGAGGTCAGATAAAAAAGGTGTGTCTCTACCGATCAATCCTTGATGAAATTCTGAGTAAACGTTTGCCCCAAATTTTTGGATCAAAAGCATAGGAAAGAGAGGGGATTGTTCCTGGTCTCGCGTAAGGATGTAAATAGCAGATTTTCGTCTCCCTTAGAGTGTTGAGAACTGAGGGCTCATATTTCACCCATACGTCGTCGCTTAAAGTTCTGCATACTTAACCATTTAAAATAAACCAAGCACCTTCATATTGTGCTTTTGCACATTGAAAGTCACCATAGCTCTTATGTGGTTGTCTGTTTTATTTCGTACAATCTCAAATATAGCCTTAACTACACCCATACTGGTCTTCCTTAGGGGTTTAATTTTACCTCTAAAATGGGAATTACCGCCCTCCATTCAGGTTGGGTATCAAAACCATTATCACTCTTATTCTCTTTATAGATTATTAATGATATGAAGAATTAGAGTAAGAAGAGTTCCAAAGCTCTGCACAGTTATCACATGCCTTTATCATCCCTACTAGAAATACGTGTATCGCAGAACCTCGCGTAGTTCGGGGGGGGCCCATAACAAGTCAGGGATGGAAGCGGGAGGAAATTGGAGTAAACTGTGTAGCTGGGGAGGGCGAGTTTCAACACTGCCTATAATATTGAAAGTGAGATGTAATTTATCTCCTTTTGGTTGGGGTAAATTTCAACCCAGTGCTCTGCCATTAAAAAGGATTTTGTGGGATTTAAATTAAACTGCGGAAAATGTCATACGTCCACCATTAGCGCTTATTGCTGCGCCCCCCCCAGCGAGCAGCACACAAATCTTTGGTTCTCCTGAGGTTCCTTGGGTGTCCTGTCGCTGTATAGGCAGTACAATATGGATTTATGTTTGTCAGGATGATTTTGCAAGTATGTATATCAGTGTCATCATAACTTAATTAATTTCAAATAACACTCTCATTGGGTCATTCTAATGGTCGCTCTAAGTTTCGCACATTGTGGCGCGCGCAAAACAAACCAATAAAGACCCAAATCAGAGAGAAATCGTGATTTTAGAACTCCCTTGAAGTCCTTTATCCGACAAATACTAATTGCCCCCAATAAAAGAGTCTGTAATTAGCAAAATGTCCATGTCAGATCATCCAGCATCTTTACCATTTTACTTCCAGGATGAGGCTATTTTTAGTTATGGATGCCCTTGTTTTGATACAAACCGTCTTTGCTTTGTTATGGAAATTGTTCTTGAAAAATACTAGTAAGCATAAGATTAACTTGATTTACATAATAAAGCAGGAAGGTTTGTATCAAAACAAGGTCACCCTTAGCCTCGCTTCCATCCATAACTGTAAAGAGGCCAATTCGTTAGAGGTAGAGCTCATACCTTTCATGGTGTCCTCTAAGACTTGAGCGCACAGTTTTCTAGTAACAGCCGTGCTTGGTCCCATTGTAGGGCTACAGTTTATTTCAAGCTACAAGAACGAAAAGGTGGCAACCACAAAAAGTTAGAGCAAAAAAACTCTTGTTATATCGACTAATGGGTATGTAAGAGAGCATATTACACGTAAGTTACTAACTTAACTAGTCGGTCATGAGATCGCAAAATTCCCGAGTCAATTCCCGCGTCGCAATCCTACACTCGCGGGGTTCGTTTTATCGTGGGAGGTCAAGTTTAAATTCTTGGAGAGAACAATTCCGAGGGCTTTAATTTCAAAAATAAACTTTTTTGAATGTGATTTATTAATTTTACTTACCAGCCACGGTTTGTAGTCCTCACTGATGATGAAATCGGCGCCATAAAGTTCGAACGAATTCTGACAAGAAAATCACAAGAATGGTTTATCGATTGTTGAGCTTAAAGTTAAGTATCTGTACTAGACTTGTTGCATGGGTAGTAGTTTCAACTGATACAACTCAAACGATATAGAGGGTTATCCCAATGTTAATATGCAGACGAGCATGCCCTTTACTTGTTGACTGTATGCGATCTTTTTCCTCTGTGTTGGGGAACACAGGGCCTAACAGTACGTTCTGAGAGGTTCTGAGTCAAGCATTACCTTGCGATATTCCACGATCTCCTGACAAGACTGCACAGCTGAGATTACGGCCTTCTTCATGCCAGGATAAATCACATCTTCCCACATTTCACCCACACCCCTCTTCCTACAAGGACAAAATTTCACAAACTCGTCAGGTTTTCAAGATATGTTATATTGTTTTGTCTGGGAAGATTTGTTTTCAAACATCTATTTTATTTGAAGAAAAAAGCTATGATATGAACCAGAAGAATATAACCTCAACTTCTGTGTGAAGTGATGACACTACTCTCTCGAGAACGTTTGTCACCTTTTGGCCTAACCTATGCACCTGTTACATGTATTAACGCCGTAATGAAATCGAATATGCTCTGAATTGCTTCTTTCAGGAGCCCATCACTCTTGGGCTCCAGCCTGTATAAAAACTCTCCTTCAAAACCCGAGGCAACACTTTTCTGTGGTACTATTTGTTGTGAAGTAAACAGCGGTCGTAATTTCAAGTCTAGGCACGAAATTCATCAGATACTGAGCAGCTGCTTTCTTCCATGCACAATTTGGCAGAGCCAAAACATTCAACACTTGATTTACGAGAAGGGAAGGGTGTTACTCAGAGTTAAACAATCAAAACACATTGAAAGGTAACGAGCAGTATTTTACTGTGGTTTATTCACTGTGTGAGAGTATATTCAATATGTCAGTGTATACGTAAGAGGCTCTTATACTAACCAAACAATCCAGATTAAGTCCTACAAAGGGCTATTTGCATAAAAATATTCAAGCTGTTCTCACTGTGGTTAAGTTAATCAGTTTCATAAAGGTAATTTTTGAACTTTTTCAATTTTATTGGGTTAATAAACAGGCATTGACAGCTGGACTCACTTGAGGTACGCCTTTAGATCATCGCTGCTCCACATGTTATCCTCTGGGATGCGCTTGTCGCGAATTCCACTGTTCTCAAAGTGTTTCTGGATGGAGTTATTGGCCAAGTGTATGCTTCTGTAGATACAGAAATGACAGAGATTTCAATTAATATAAGAATCGAAAAATTGTAAATTTAAATTTAGAGTTGCAAAGGAAACTTACATGTGAAAGTCCTCCAGAGAAAAATTTTGACTGCAGAATCGTATGTAGCAATCCTAGACAGAGGAAGTAAAAACATTAAAAATTGAATGCATTACCATTACTGGTAATTGAATGTTTCTGAAGCAATTTGATTCATTTACAACACAAGGTGCTTTAACACAAAAATTCAGATGGCTAATATCATTTCTCATTTGTTAAGAGAGACATTCTAGATGCTTAACAGCTACAGTGATATTCATTCCTTACCTTATAAAACCACAAGGTGAGTGGATTCCAGTCAGTCACAAGAAACCACTGCCGTATGTCAAACTTGACGTTGTAAATCAACAACGGTTTTTCTGTCAGAAACAATAAAACGGAAATGCCAGCAAAAGCTAACGTGAGCTAACACGAAGCAACTAAGCTGAAGCCAACCGTAGTGAAACTTGCATTAGACAGACACGAGCACCAGCGATTCCTAAACGTTCCCTCCTCGTATTTTTAGTAGGACAAGCTTGTCTTTTCGATGTCTTTAGTGAGCACCTTTATCAACAGAACATGACGAGGTACGCTTAAGAGCCCGCTATTTGCGCTTTTTGATAGAAGAAACTCCATGAAAAGTTTTTGCTCGCGTCTAGAATAAACAGGACGGAGGAAATGCATTCCTTTGAACAAACATGCTCCATTTCAAACAATTCGTTCGAATTTTACTTAAGGGAGTAGTATTTTAAGATTTATCATTCGAGGCAAATTTTTCTTTCTTTTCAAGTCCCGAGGCCCACCATTTTTCAAATAACTGCCTTTTAATGGTCTTATTTTTGCGCAATGCCGTCCAACTGTGTTTGGCTGCAAATTATTCTGCACATGCGGAAAGGAAACCGTGCTAAAATCTTCTTGCGATCGCTCTTGCGTGAAAATGGGAGGAAATTTACCTTTTTTCATTTGACAAACTTTGTATTCGATGATAAAACAATTATTGAACTCTGTTATCGCAAAATATCGTGATTTGTCAGTGTCTCGCAGATTTATCTGGAGCCTTTTCGGCGTTATCGTTTTGGGAGGCTTATACATGGAGGGGCTTATTTTCGGAATTTTACGGTATTCAACATCTACGTTATGGTCACTTTTTTACCTATGTACTTTTGCACTACGAAGTGGCCTTCTTTTTTTCCCACAGCATTACTTCCAACAAGTTTCACAATGTCGTCTAGACGATCCATGCACATGATTCCTTAAGACAGAGCAAACAAAAACACATCACAGAGTTAATCAATTTCACCATCTCTTTCCCTTCAACAATTGAGATCTTGGCATGTAGTTTGAGTTAGTTTAATCCATCGATACCACGCGCACTAAAGCAAAAATGGCTGATTGTGAGTACTAATACCGGTCCACTTATACTAGTGGAAAAGGCGCGTTCTTGATTGTTATGTTCTTCACTCAAGGAATTTTTCCGCCATTTTCGTGCTGATGTCCCCTTACCTCTCCCTCTTGACTTAGCTCCAGGTTTCACGATCCAAATATTCTTCACTCCATCTATGTCCAATTGAGGAAGGTGGTCTCTCATCTGTAAATAACCCAAATCAATACCAAGTTAGAACTAAAAGATAGCGCTTATCGAGAGTCTGAATGGGGTTTAGTGTATAGTGTTATTTGCCCATAATTTTTAGTGCATGTTTGCTGTTAAATTGGTCAATTTTTTAATGTTTACTGTTTCCGAAGAAAATACTGTTAAGTGTTTGGAGGGTTCTTCGAACATCTTCGACAATGGTCGGACCTCTTCGCTAGTCTTTCGAAATCTATAGGACAGTCTTCGGGAATCGTCGGTAGCCTTTGGAAATCTTCTGAAATAATCCGGAATTGTCGTAAAATGGCTGAAAACTCCTTGATATAAACAAAACAATATTGGCCGTTTTGGAGGCGTTTTGCTTCTTTCTAGAAGAAATTTACTGTTTCAAAGAATTTTATTCTGTTAGTGTTAAAATTCCTAAAATTTAACTGTTTCATGTTACAAAGCCCAAAAATGAAGTGTTTAGTGTTATCGAGGTACCCCCTATTCAGACCCTCCTTATCTGATGTCTGAGAATTGATCAAAAACTGTTCTGCAGTGCTAAGAGTAACGCTTTTTTCCACAGATAGCAGAAATCCATGATGCGCATAAAAACTTTGAGGAGGAGTAATAAGCAGAAATATGTGCTTGATGGCAATGGTAACACCTCCATCCATTCCTGCTATGGCCGGGATGGAAGTGAATATCTCACCGTTTTGTTAAACCTTTCATTGTGGACTGTTTTACAATCTTTTCTTTAAAATAGCGAATTGCGAAAGGCAGCCGCGACTATCAGATAAAACACACAACTTCCAGTTTTTAACGAATTAGTTGGCTCAACGAGAATTCTTTCCACGCGATGAGCGAGAGCTTTTCTTATTTGAAAGCAACCGACAGCTCAACTGATAGACATCTTACCTGTTTTAATGTGTTCTGGCACTCTTTGAGAAAGGGGTAAGCAGTCGCAATAACAGCACCATGACTGAAAATAATATCGCACAATGAGTAACTCATTTAACACATTTCTTCTTCTAACGTCAGTCTCCACAAATCGATCGAGGTGTGAACAAAAAGTATTGCGTGGGCAGTATATATATATTTCTAAATTTACTCACCATTTGATTTGGTAGTAGTAATCAACCAGCTGTTTCCATGAATCCTCAGTGAGAGCAGGTGCCTAAAAAAAAGCCATTAATTACGCTGGGTTTCTACAGAATATTTGGCTTCAACAAATAATTTAATCTTAGACCTCTTTTAATCTTAGAACTTACAAATATAGATCCTTTTCGGTTTACGCATCAAGACTTTGGAGTTTTTTTGTTGCCTTTTAAATAAAACAGGGGCGGTTCCAGGACATTTTTAAGAAAAGGGGTGGACATATCTTTTTGCTTTTAATTGAATATTTTTTTTTTTTTTTAGACTGTGGACTTTGTGATGATGATTTTAGACAGAAAACAGTGGGTCCCCGTTAATGGGCCAAAAAAAAAATAGCCCACCCTCCCATGTTTCCGTCCCTGAGACATAAATTTCACCAGAAAGCCTCGTTTTGAAGTAAAAATATTTTAAGTTATATATTTTAGTGACTGTGGACTTTGCGATGATGATTTCTAGACAGTTTTTACAGTGGAACCCCGTTAATGGGCCAAAAAAAATTGGCTGTAATAACGAAGTGACCGTATTAACGAGAGTTTGTTTACAAGAAATATGGTTGTTTTTGCCGAGAGGCCAAAAAAAGTGGCCGTTATAACGAGGTGACTGTATTACCGAGGTGGCCGTAAGACGGGGTTCCACTGTATTAGTATTCAACAAAGGCAAAATTGTAACACTGCTGGTCGTTTCATATTTTCAAGGGTCGTAAGCCGTTATCTTTACTAAACTGCCCTCTGAATTTGCGTTGTCACCCCCAATTGTCTTTGTAGGCAGTCCATGTTGAGATCTGCTCATTTCCTGTTTCAGGACTAGTGCAGAACTTTAAAATAATAACAGTTAGGAGGCTCTTTAGTTCGCCAATGTACTGAATTCTACACTCGATATAGGAGTCCTGACGTACTCTTGACTTCATGTTTTTGGATTTTTTTCATTTCAAAACTTGTCTGCATATAAAAGTAAAAAAGTTTAATAATGTTAAAAAAATACCTTATTAACCGGATCATCAATATCCAAATGTTCTTTGCATCTAAGAAAGTCTCGGCATGCCTCCAAAGCGAGTGTTAAAGCCTTCACTGGTGTCACATTGGAGCTGCTTTCGCGAGAGGAGCATCTAGTTGCAGCAGAGGGTGTAGAGGGCTTCTTGGGTGTGGCAGACCTCCGTGGGGTAGACACATTCCGGTGCGTACTTGACGGAGTTTTCGGAGGGTCTGACGGGTCTTTCTGGTGTAATTTGCCACCATGGTTGCCATTCTCATACCTCTCCGTGACCCACTTTAAAATGCTAATTGCGGCAGTGAGACGATAGTCATCTGAATTTTAGGGGAAAAGCAGTGGAGATTAACTTTATTCAAACTAACAACCACACCAGAGAGCATTGGGCAATTGGCACTTTGTACTACCTCCTTGGTAGAGATGAGCGACATAAAGTCTGCTGTCAAGGTTAAAAGTTACAGCCCCTAACGTTCTGTTCTGGTGTGGAAAACCGTGTGATTCACCGTCATAGCGGAGCTTTCGCGCAAGAAAATTGGGGTATCTATCCACCCAAGAAATTTTGGTTCTGACAAAATCGTTCGTACGTACGTCCAGTGTCCGCTTCCAGTGTAAGCCGGGGTGAAATTTCGCGTTTCAAGTACCCGCTTTATTTTGTTGTTTTTTGAGTAAACTATATAAGCAATAGACCACACTTTCCATAGGTTTACCGGCGTGATAACCCACGCGGGATGTTGGGAGAACACTCAAAAAGCTTGTAAATTACGAGCCATACGTTTTTAACCAATCAAAACGCGCGTACTATCTTAGTTATTTTATACTGAAAAGTATGCAAACAACTAGCATTGAATTGCACGTATTTTGTCTTTGCTTGCGCTTCTAGTAGTCCGATAGATGGAATCGCTGAAATATGCATCACATACCTATAAACTCCATCCTCTCATCATCAGAGCCAAGAAGATGTGAGCGAGGAAAGAAGGAGAAATGATTTGCCTCTTCATACCAACACAAGTTTCTGATGTTTGTTGTGAGACCAACCTACAGACAACATAGAGATGTATAAATCATCAAAACACATGTATCTCTACAGTAGACTGATGAAGGAGCAGTTTAAAGCATAAACGGCAGGGAACAAACAGTGAGGACTCAAATGCTCCAGTTAGCCTGTGAGACAAACAGAAAACGAGCCTAACCATAGACAGGGTTCGTATTCTTTTGAGCTTTTCAAATTCCATGCCTTTCTATGACTTCAATTTAGCTGTCACTATCAAAAATGTTCAAAAATTTCCTTGTTTTAACGTATTTTTTGACTTTAAATAGTTAACATACACAAACTCTGGTGTCCACCAAAATGCGTGCCGTTCTCGATGTTTAATTACTCCACTTTATCTTACATTGTCCTTGCTTTGTCACTTGCCGTGACTAACGTAACAAACAAAAAATAAAATTCCATGACTTTTCAGGCCTGCCGGAAAATAATATTCTTGCATTCTATGACTTTCCAGATTTTGTGCGAACCCTGATAGAGAAACTTAATGACAAAGAGTACATGTACTTTTTATTACACGAGTCATGGTCGCCGGGGACATCAGGGCTTATGTTTATGCGTTTATTTAAAGCGTATGTACGAAGTACATTGTCTGATATCGACAGGTTTACGAGATATTCATAACTGGATAAAAGCGAGCGCATAATCTAAAGTGCTGACACACACGTGTGGCAAGGAGACTGTGACCAAAATATTTCTTCAAAAGTAACAAACGTCTCTGAGTGGTAGTAAGCCTTATTAATTCAGTGATTTTTAATTCAATGAAAATAAAGAACTCTTTAGAAATTTCAAACAAATTTAGGACCAAAACTCTTTGTACGTTTTTTTGCCTCAAAAATCCTTGAAAACATTGTTGCTTATATCAAATTAAAGCGTGGAATGTAATTAACTATAATTACCATAATTACATATCTTGTTTGGAACACGTGCTTTAGGCTGAACACCTTCGAGAGTCTCAAAATTTGACTTTTCCGACAATTTCCAAGAGTTTTGCGCAGATACAAATCTTCAAGAGCTGCCACTACAGAGAGGTAAACTTAGTACACCGCAGTTTGTCATGTATGGAGTGGAATTCTAAACGAGTTCTTTTATAATTGAAAAGATCGGTATAAGGCGTTAATTTCAGGGATGCAGATTTTGCTTGAACGGTTACATGTGGTGCTGGCAATCTTTAAATTGTAAAATCTGCTCTATACATGACACACTAGAGGTTTTGACCGACCACTGATTGATAAAATCACAGACTGCTGTCTCCTTTACTGTTCTATACTTTGCGCAAACTTGGACACAAAACCGCGATTTCCCAGTTTGGTACAACTGTGGCTTAAAACATTGCCATACAGTGCGATCTACCTAATAAAAAACAACCATCCTAAACTTCCATCATTTCACAATGCTTCTGTAAAGTTTTATTTGAATCACCTCTGAAACAGCCAAGATATCAGAAGCGTTTTTTTTTTGTAGCAAAAGCAAAATTTTGTCTAATAAATTTATTCGTTTATTCGTTAGATAGGTGTCCCCCGCGGCCTTAAGCCTTTAACATTGACATCATAATGTTACTGTTTCGTTTCCACATCATCAATATTAGAGGCCACTACTACTGCAGTGCATGTCGCAGCGCACTGACTGATGACAGATACAGTATGTCGTTCACTTCTAACCATAATATTAAAAAATATATGTGCTCCAAGCTGACAGCCTATTCTCACCTTGGTAGTAAACGAACCAGCTTTGCAATAATGATTCACTATCTGATCCTAGAAATAAGAAATATCATTTGTAAAAAGTTATATTAATGCATTAGCCTACACCAGTTTCTATAGATGACGGCCTCCATAACTGAGTTGCGATAGAAATTTTCAAGCTCTTGACTACAATCCAATCAATAACGTCCGGAAAATATCCGTACTCCTCTGACAAAAATATTGGAAATTCCAGGAACAGGGTGTTCTCGAAGCCTCAAACATTTAAAAAGCTCCATAATTTGTAACAGAACTTTTCAAGCTGTTGACTATAATCCAATCAATAACGTCCGGAAAATATCCATACTCCTCAGACAAAAATATTTGAAATTCCAGGAACAGGGTGTTCTCGAATCCTCAGACATTTAAAAAGCTCCATAATTTGCAATAGAAATTTTCAAGATGTTGACTAATGACTGTAATCCAATCAATAACGTCCGGAAAATATCCATACTCCTGTGACAAAAAATATTGGAAATTCCAGGAGCAGGGTGTTCTCAAAGCCTCAGACATTAAAAAGCTAATTAAAACTGCTAGAATTTCGAGGGGAGCCCTGGCCTTCTGAGGGAAGGTGTGGAGTACTACATAATTTTGTACTTGTTACTTTACACCTGGGGGACCCATTTCCATTTTTTCCATAAAACTCTGATCTTACCTTTCTTAAGAACTTGAAGTCAACATCATCACGTTTTGTTGTCCAGATAAAAGAAGCTACAGCATTGCGCACAGACCTTGACTGTGAACGTGAATTTAAACAACTTTTAGTTATGTCATGCGACAACTTAATTTGTGGGCCAAGAAGCAAGGATTATTGGAGTTAAATAGTGCGGGGGGGGGGGTTGGGTGTTCTCAAAGCAAAGTCCTGGGTCAAGTAGATTTTGTTGCTGGGCAAGTACCTTTAATCTATAGCTCACTTGCCCAAGGGTTCCAGGTAAGTCATCCTCTAATAAAATCATTAACTAAGATGAGCCAGAAGTGGCCCTGGGAAAGCAAAATGAAAGAGCTGCTTGCCCAAAGGACAAGCTGGATTTCAAGGATTTCTTGCGAGCCCTGTAGGGTGTGTCCCATGCAGTAGACCCAGGATTTTAAGTGGATTGAAAAAATAAAAGGGTAAAGATTCATTCAAGATGGACAATTCCACGGACTCATCTGAGACTGGGCATGTCAAAAAGCTTATAACTGACAGAATTGAAAGCAACATTGACCAAGTTTTGCAAAAATTCCACTTACCATAAGGCTAAATTCACAGTCAGGGCCGTTCCCTTCATATCCTGCATTCCAATCTTCATTACTGTCATCACTGTCATTATCACTGTCATCACAGCTGCCACTCCCATCCCCCTCATCATCGTCATCCTCACTTTTGCTAACATTGATGGTTCTTGTCTTGGAACCTCTTTGCGACTTAGACACTGCTAGATTACAAGAGGTCTTCGTGTTTTTCTCTTTGTTGCGTGGTGAGTGATTATCTGAGGTTTCATTATCAGAATCATCTCCACTACCACAAGAGTCATCGTCGCTTCCATCACTTTCATTTTTCTTGTCCTTTGGTGGTAAAAGGTTCCCTTTGTAGTGTTTTTCTACCCATCCTCGCTTCCTCAGCACAGCTCGGACTATGGGGTAGGGGCCATGGCAAATAAAAACCTTCTTTTGCTGCAAGAAAGTAAATGTATTGAGTTGAGGGAGGTCTCAGGAGGGGATACTCACTACAAATTGGCCTACAAAGACAAGTACCACCCGAAACAGGCTCTTTTTCAGGCTTCCAGTTCATAATGGCTGTACCAAATTTTAACTCATTGAATGCTTATTATAATACACAAAATGACAACTGAAGATAACTTAAGGTGTAAGGGATATATGGGGAACCATTTTTCAATAAAAGGTGTACAAATGGGGACAGTATTTTAATCTGCTTAAAAATGGTTTATAAAAAGGCTAGGAGTTTGCGACCTTCAGGTGGGGCCTCTCCATACAAAACAGTGTCCTCAGAGTAGCCCCGTGGCAGAGGGGTCGGTCTAATTATTGAGGCACAAAAATACTTAAAAGGAAAGTGTGAGCATGGGGAAAGTGAATATATGAAAGTATTTCACCCAAACTTGGATTTCCAGAAAAGTTGGGGCATTCAAACCAATAAACCTCCACGGGGTAGAGCAAATCATTGCCACATTGTGCAGTCCCGGAAAATATCCATACTCCCCCCGTGAAGGGATAGGCCTAAAAATTTAAGTAAATGTATGAAGCTTGACTGGAATTTCCAGAGGGGTGGGGTGGTCTAAGGAAAAATCCCTTCTGTGGGGAAGGTATATGGATAATTTTTGGAACCACACATTAAATAATTACACGAATATACGGTGAAGCACCTCTCGACCCTTAGAATTATAGTAATTTAATAACTTTAATTCTATACTGGTAACAGGTGCATAATGAAAATTTTAAACATGTATATATTATTTTAAAACCAACAATCACCTACCTTTATGGCAGTTTCCGCAGCCTTTTTACAATTCCTAACTTTACTAAACAAAGGGTCATCATATTTGAGTTTGCCAACAGGGTGTGAACTTGGTTGTGAATGACTTCTAGAATGAGTATTTTTCTGTTTGCTTGGGTTATTCTCAACTCTTGATGTATCATTCAAGTTCATTTCATTACCCCTCTCTGTGCCTGCCTTAGACGGAGGATGCGTAACAGTTCTTTTATGCGCTTTCAAAACACGCCTTGCCCTCTTTAAGTACAGATTTTCAACCGACTGGTTATATGGACTTGTTTCTTGCATTTTCTGGTATGCTGCATTGGCTCTATTTACTGCACTCTCAGAAATTTTTAAATTGGATTTGTTCTTCTTGATAAGTTCATTGGATGATGATGACTTTAAGTTGTTTTTCTCTGTTAATTGATCATGTAAAGGACTTTTTAAGTCACAAGATGATGAAGAATTCTTTAGAATGTTGCTTGGCTTGTTGGATGCAGACATTGTCAAGTCTGGGGCAGAAGTTGATTCAAGTACTTCAGGGGAGGTAACACTCTCTGGTCTCTGTAAATAAAGTACGCAAATCAATTTTTTTAAAAAACTGTGTGCCACAAAAAAGATGCCAAACTGACCGGAGGAACTAAAATCTGGAGATTGTCTCTTTAAATTCCTTTCCCTCCCCCCTTCCTCTGATAATCAAAACTTGATCCAGTCTCTAAATGTAATTTTTGCGCCACAAAAAAGATGCCAAACTGATAAATTACCCCCCACCCCCACCCCCCTTGAAAATCAACCAACCAACCTTGATCCAGTCTCCAAATGCGTTATATGATATCTTATATAATTTACAGCCAATCAAAACTGGCCGTTATGATTGTAAATTATGAATCAACAGATTTAGAATTTTTGGGAAAAAGTAGATAAATCCCCAACTAAAAGCAGTGAAAAGCTCATAAGTCGATCAATATCCAGAAGATCTGGTGAACTGTACAGGAGAACTAGAGATTAGTTCTGTATCTGGATAAATATCCGGAAAGTTGGCATATATGACATTGGCAAATATAAAATAACACGTGCTTGATGGGTCATCAGGAGCAAATCTAGGGACCTGGCCAGGGGGACTGCAACTCCTCCCCAGCCCCCTACCTCCTGGGCTGGATTTGCCACTGGCCATTCCACTAGTCCCAGGCCATTAAAGAACGGCACCTCTCTCATAACTTGGTATTAGTTAACAGAGCAACAAAATTATTTTTAAAATATTTCATTTACCTCACTGCTTTTGTTATTTGGTTCTTTGATTTTCGGTATCTTTTTCATCCTTGATGGAGATCTATAAACAGCTGGCACAGGACTAAATTTGCCTTTACTTTGGTTTAAGTTATTAATAGTTGCTTCAATCTGTTGACACAAGCAAATGTTTAAGTAAATTTAATGACTTGGTGAAAGGAGAAACATCCCAGGGGATACTGCCATATATCGGGCGATATACAGGTAATTGTGCTGCTGTGGAGTGTATTGGTTTTCAAGCAGTCAACATGTGAAAGAGATTATAGAAATGACATATCGGGTCTATAATCGGGATAATCATTTTCCTGGAAACTGATCAATTGGTTGAAGATTTTAGTCAACCCTGGGAAACCTGGGAATCAACACTCAAAAAATAAGATAGGCAAATCGCAAATCAGTTAATTGGAAAAGAAAGCTTAAAGGCCAACCTCAGTAATTTCTGGAAAATATTAACTCTAGGTTGAATTAGGAGATATTCTGGGAATTTAGACTTGAGTGTATATAGGGTAACAAAATTCAGCTGAACTATTTAAGGTATGGTATAGGCTAAGGTCCTGGGGTCACATCAGCACCCTATACCCAAACATTCCTTAGGATAGAACTTCCACAGTGGGAAATATGATACACTTACATAATCAAATTAAGACTTCACAAGCTTGTGATAGTGACATTGGCAATTATTTCTGCCTGTCTGCTTTTCTTTGCCACAATTCTTTCTTCATTTTTAACTTAGATTAAAGCTCCAATGGTATCATGAGCATTTGCTCATATCAGTTAGGGAAAATGGAATACTGTAATACTGAAGTTAATTAAAATATTTAAAACAAAGTGCAAACCCGCGATTTTCAGGTTACTACCCAAGAGGAAGGATACATACAGGCCAATTAAACCACCTCTTTCACTTAAACAAATGAGCATAGTTACTGCAGCACTGATGATTCTCTGCATGCAACGAACAACAGTTAACAGCTGAACGTGTTCTGAAAAACGACTGTGGTTCATTTAACATGAGTATATATATATTTCAATTGCGAAAATAGATGCATGTACTTAAAATTTATTCAAAAGTGTACAATTTTATCCACCACCAACTTGTGCTAATTAAAACTAAAAGGCAATGAATTACAATTCTTAATTAGGAATAAGCAAACAGTTTACTCACATATCGCTTTTGTTTTTCCACATGCATTTGTTGCCGATCCATGAAGGTTGTTTTAAGCTGCTGCATTATTTTTACGCTATTGGAGCTCACTTTGGGTTTAAAAGTAAATTCATCTGTCGAACTAGCTACTCGTTTCTCAGATCCCGTGCGAATTCTCTCTCCTCGTTCCTTTGCGAGTTTGATACTCATGGCGTTAAGTTTTGGAGCAAAAGTCAACTCGCACTCGAAGCTCGCTCTTTGATGTGTTCTTGTGTTTAACGTCGAAATCATACCCTTACTTCTCGCTACGTCCTTTAAAGGGCTAAGCTTCTTTTCGTTGGGTTCGTTCAGGTCTTTGTTAACTTGCGTGGCTGATCGATATAGAGACCAATCCCCTGGCTTTGTTGATAAACTTTGCACTGATTCCACTGCGGTTTCCTCCACATTGTTTTCATGATTTTTCTGTGGACTAGCCGGACAAACATTCTCCTGTGAAGTTAGATCAGTAGATTCTTGGTTTCCATAACTACTTTTTACCATGTTATAAGTCTTGCAATAATCTAACATATCCATGTTTTAGGAGGAACAACCCCTCCACCTCTGTCATCAACATTCGTCGAACGCCATTTTGGAACTTATCTCCATGGCAACAGATGTGAAGGCCCCAAATCGCTGTGGGAGGCCTCCACCTCTTTAAATTGAGTTCCTTTGTTTTTCAATTCTCAAACAAACTAAGTTATATTTACTTAAGATCCATTAAAAATCTTAAACAAGCGAACAAGGATTACTGGAATCCAAAGTTGACATATCTTTAAATGTCAATAACCTAATTAAATTTCGAGAAAATAGAAGTAAAATCATACCCCCAAAATCTCCAAAATGCCGCGATGACGCCGATCAGTTTTTAAACAGTTTTTAAATAATCAAATTTTAAAATTTGATTATTTTATGAAAAGAAGCATGTGGTTTAAAACAGGTTTAGTGTAAAATAAACTTCGACGGAAAGGTGCAAAAAACCAAAAGCAGCTGTAAAAGGTATTTTAAAAGTTAAACTTCTGTAAGAAACGAATATTTTTCCTTTAAATTACAAGATTTTCTGTGGAGATACAAAAAATAACACTTCACTCGACATCAATTTGAATTTGAAAACTTGTATTTGTAATCAGATTTTAGTTTACCCCGCTAGCAGTGTCGCTTCTATCTTTCCTAGATGAGGAAGATTAAAGGAAACTCTGTTCGCAGGGTAATTTCAGTTCTGTCTGGATATTTACGTCGAATATTAACTGTTTTAGGTTGAAAATATTAGAAAAAGTAACCATAAACAAACACAAAAGTTAAGTCTCTTCTGCTAATGCATCAGTCAATTTCAGCTGCGCCCGCCCACCCCCGGGCTACTGCCGGGCATTTGTCCACCTTGTCAGTCCCGGGAATGGGGCATTAGCATATTTTGCGCTGCCCGGGGGGCGGGCATTTGCCAACCCCGGGGGCAAACCCGAGCTTTTAACCCGCGCGCGGTTCCTTAGCAGCATATAACTACAGAGAGGATTTTAGTGGAAAAACAAGCAGATCGGCTCATTTGTCAAGGACGGGGAAAAATTGAAGAGGTTTGTAAAGGCATGTTCTCGATTTTATGCATGCACCTCTTCACTGCTTATCAAGCCAGAATTACATAGCGGAACTCGCGAGCTAGCCATCGACGTGAATCAACGTTTTTTTTGGTTATTGAATCAAGTTTCTCTTGATATTATTCGAAGAACATCCTTTCATATTTATAAAACTATTCATAACAGTAAACTTTACAGCGCACTGTAACACTGTAATGTCAATAATTTTATAACAATACTAAAATCATAAAATGGTGTCGTCACGGCGTGAAGTCTTAATTAGAATAGCACTGTTGCAAAGGAAGACGTTAATTGAAACAAAAAATCGCACATTAAAATGCTTAAAATGGCACTACTCGACCTTGCGATCAATGAAAAATGTTGCAGTGTTGACGGAGGGCGGGGCATTTGCCCTCTTTTTTCGTCCCCACCCAGGGGGATTTAACAGCTCAAGAGTTCCCACCCCCGGAAATTTGCCATCCAAGGAAAAAAGATGCTAATGCCCGGGGATCAGCCCCGGGGGGGAGGGGGGCTGGAATTGACTGATGCATAAGTGAATACATCACGGACCAGTAAGTAATCTTCTTCTACTACTCACAGAGACCAAAAGGCGATGACTTACCAAGTTAATTCGGAGCTCGTGGGGGCTAGATTCTAGCGGCGGAACCCAGTGAACTCTGCGAGAGAGGTGCCCAGACGGAAATCGGACTAAAACATGTTGCATCGGTCAGAAAGATGTCAAAACTGCCCTGAACTGAACGAGAAAATAATAAGAAAAAGATAGCAAGAAAGTAGAAGTGAAACATCGTGCTGTTGGTTATTAGTGATCAAGAGAGGTTCGTTTCAGTAACCCATTCCCTGAATAATGGCAGGAGAGGTTATTGAACTCAGTGCTGTGGTGACGTCGGATGTTTCCGAGGAATTTCGAGGCACTAATTCTGAGGTTCACTTTTTTTTCAGATGTAATTGGGATAAACCGTATAATTTTCTCTTTTTCCACAAAAAAAAGACCCCAACACCATAAAAACACTTTCTCTGCTCCCATAGGACTACCGTTAACTTTAATCAGGGGCTGTCTGTAAAAAGCTTTGGGCCGTAAAGAGTGATCAGCCTTGTATTTCGTCCGAGATCACTAACGTCCCTGATTCTGATATCAAAGATCTAGATCTAGATCTAGCTTGTTCTCTGCATCCTCTACCCCCTTCTTCCCAACAAGCTACCTTATCTAAGTGGTCTTGCATTTTTTAACACTATACGTTATACCAGGTAATGCGGATTTCAAACTCGGCCACGTTCCTTTCGACGCTAAACGAAAACTGCTTCGATAAGAAGGCGAAGGGAAATACTTGGTTTGCAAAAGAAACTGTATAGAAGACGAAAAACACTTCGTTATTTTTTTTGTCTCGAAAATGATGCTTACTTTTCCAGCTAACAGAACGTGAAAAAAAAAAAAACTTTCTATCTTCTCCAGTTAAATGACGATGATACTTTTCAAATCATAGTAAAATATATCCAACTAATATTTCAAACAGGGAACCAGCTCTTGAATTCCGGCAATGTAATTGTTTATTTTTATCATTATCACAATGGTATATTTATTTTAATTTTGTTGTTATTGTTGATTTTCGGTTTTGTTTCAATATAAGTTCTTATTATAGGAAAAGATAAAACTTTTATTGTAACCAGACCGGACTCTTTAGAGATTAAGGCGCAATAAAGATATACTATACTATTCTATCAGGGGATATATATCTTAACCGAAATGTCGATGATTATACAACTGAAAAATTTCCTGGTACTTCATCTGAAGCGTTAATTTAAAAATGGAATTCTCGACTGTGCTGATTGCAATTCGTCTCTTGAAAAAAGATTCGGTTTGAAATTGAGATCTCGATCGCATATCAAGACCAGCATGGCACACTTAATTTGTACTTACCAACTTTTCATCATTGAAGACGTCGTTTCCCTTTAGAGCAAAACTAACTGCCTTAAATATTTTTTTACCTTGATAGATTTTATGCAAATTTCCTCTGAGTATAACCTAACGATTCCTTACAGTTGCTAAATCAATTATCTTTTTGTAGCCTATTTGTTAAAATTAAATTAACATATTTCTTCTTTTAAAGTTCAAAACCACATATTAGGGAGCAGGGAGAAAATGATTAAGATCTTGCTTATCACTGTGAATGTTGTTTTTCCTGGACGAACTGCAGAATACCTTTGTTTCAACAGTACATAATTTTTCCTAACGTTTAACTTCAGTGTCTGATCTATGGTCAGTCCGTCAGATGCAATTGTTTTTGTCGACAAGTCAAATTTAAGATCTCTTGAAAAGAATCTTCAAATCATTTTAATCATTTATTCCTATGGTATCAGTAGTCAGTAGCATGGAACCTTGCTAATCACAGTCTTACCAAATTCAACTAAAAGCTCAATTATTTCATTCCAGTCTGCGTGAAAAAAAAATCGTCAAATGTTGACTTGACAACTATACAGTATTATTATCTGCCGATTTATACAAGGTCCAACTCGGTACAAAGTTATCTGCCAATAAAAACTAGAAGGAGCTGTGACAACGACTGCCGAGTGCTTGCCACGCGCACGCGCGGGAAATCTTGCGAACATTAAAAAAACACTGAGTTCAGTTTTTACGTTTTCAGACATTTAACTCTCTGATATTGATGAACGTCATGAACTGAAGACAACGACGTCAAATGACAAATTCATGGTTGAGCGTGGACAACCGCTAGCTAATTTTTCATTTTTTTCCAAAGAACTTTAAGATCACCCACCTGTGTAAACATATGGTAATCCGTTTAATTGAGAGAATTTGTCAATAACCAACTAATTTTGAAAATTTCTTCACAGTAAGAAAAAAATGACAACTTGAACGTACTCAAATAAGAGCCTGAAGTCCTCAAAGTAAAATAATGCAGTAAAAAATCCTGTAAAATACTTTAAGGTCTGAACAGTGAGAATGCATAACGAATGCATAAAAGAATGCATAAAAGAAAGATAAAGTAAATAAAGGATTTAGTCTTCATATTTTCAGTTTTCTGCCAAAAGGTTGACGAGAAAGATTCTTTTCACGATAGCAAACGGGTTTCAGGGATTGTAAGAAGAAAGATGAAATCAGTGTGTAAAATATGAATTAAAAAAATCAAATTTCATGGCCCAAGCACATTAAAAATCATACGATACCTTGTGAAAGATCACTACATTTCTCTGCTTAAATCCAGCTTAAATCAGGTGTCAGTCCTTTCCTGAATTTACCGTTTTAACGATGCGTTTTAATTTTTAAATCAACCTGAATCTGATTCGCCTTAATAATTCTTGTTATGACGTCATACATGGTTTGTTTCGTAACTTCTGCAAGTACACTTCAAGCTCTGCCCAACGCGCGTGTTAAGTTAAATTTGTAAACGCATACATCACTTAGTTTATGGCTTCTCCATACAACGGAACAATGACACGGAAATTTCTGTGATGTGTCTCCATTTTTTAATTCGTTCAAAGAGATGAGAGGGAAACAGTAGAAAATTGAATATTAGGGAACCATGGTTAAACATGTGAGTCGAGTGCGGGCTCGTGCGCATGCACAGAGGGCACAGACTTAATGCCCATGAAAAGCATGCAACTACTTCAAACATTGTGATTTGATTCAATACAACGCAAGAAAACCATGCAGCGGTTTTAAGGGCGGATTCACGGAAAACAATTACGAGCAACCAGCTCAAGCGCGGGAATAAAATATACCTCCTTCCACGCAACGTCACATGCAACAGCTTCCAGCGTGAGAAGAACATGCAACCGGCGCGCGGGAATTAAATGAAACGGCTCTCGGCATGATTTAATATGTTTAAAAGCTATTTAGTTCATAAAGACGGTTCACTTTTGTTTTCTTTATGAAAGCTGTTTACTTGATGGCAAATTTTGTACAATTATGCAACATGTTTAAGTTCTTCCAAATTCTGTGTAATAGCCTGGGTTTTAAGTTTTCCATTACTGTTTTTCATTTTTTTAAACGTAGTTTAATTAAACATGTTGAGTTGGTTTGAATGGTGGGTTAGATTTAAATTTCGAAAAAGGTGCAACCGCGAATAAAATGCAACCGCCTTCAACGCGAGAAGAACATTCATCGGATTTATAAAGCGCGGGGAAATAGAGAGAAGCCGTTACGTCACGTTGCCATGGTAGCAAAATTTCTGCATGACAACAAACCGAAAACGTCACTTAAAAAGTGAATTCGCACTGTTACAAACTTCATCGATGTTAAATAAGTTTCATTAAATTTGTCAAATGTTGGCGAAATTGTCATGTCTGGTGTTGAATCCGAAAGGACCGTACCTGAGAAAAAAAAAAAAAAAGAGGAAATTTGTTCACCTATGGATAATATCCATGGTGCAGTTAGGAAGTTTCCTGACGCAGGAAAAGCGTGATCCGCGTGCAAAGTTGTTGTTTTGCTAGCTTTGTTAGTCCTTGCTCGTTGCCGTTGCCGATCCATAAATTTTGCTTCCATGGTAACATGACGTCACACCCCTCCTTTCCATAATGCAAGCAGCACATCTCCCACTGCCACCGCCGGGGTTATTTGGGTGTTCCATGCGTACTGTAAGGTAGTGGCCAAATTGTGGAGATTGGTGTCCTTGCTGAATTTTGGTCGTTATACTCTTACTATACGAGCTCTGCATCTTTTATTTTGGTAGTAGAGGGAATTTGTCTCCAAATCAAGAATACCGGTATTCTATCTTTGGTGATCATTTTCTTTATTCTCATTACCTTTAGGTCTAATACACCAGTGATACTAAAAAGATGCTGATCTATGGGTATAAAAGATTATCACGGAGAACTGAAAACTGAACATAACGCTATCATCACAGTATTGAAGTCAATACCATCCCCTAAGTTCAGAATCAAATGTCCCATGCACAGAGTTCGATTATACTATAATGTAAAGCTAAATTTTATTGTAGATTTTTAAATTGCCATATAAGGAGAAACTCTGGAGGGACCCCAGGAACTAGCAATAAGACACACATCTACAAATTCTCCCCTGGGACCCCTGCCTACTGGCAAAAAAATTCTCCAGTGCGAAACCTACTAGTTTAATTCTCACTGACAGAGAAAACAAACATTGCGACAACTCGTCGAAACATTTAGCTCTAACGTCTGAAATTCTGGATGAAATCTAAAAGTATGCCATTTAAAATGTTAGCAGAACTTTTTGACTTTTTGTCTTTTTCAGTTTTTTGCAATTAAGTTATTTCCATACAAGCCCTAGGATTTCAATCACATGGAAAACAGTTTTCCATTCCCGCGGCCAGAGATCATGCCCATCTGTGAAAATTCATGGCAACCCACCCCCTAAATGTTTTCAATTTTTTGTGGTCATATGTTTTTTTTTGCTACTGGAAGCCATAAGCCAGTAACGTGCAGTGCACTTGGGAACGATTCAAGATGGCGGACAAGAGCCAACTAAACCTGATGCTAAACAATGTTTTACTTTCGCATTTAAGCCGAGTCATAACTAAAGAATTGCACTACTAGTTAAGAATCTGAGCGGAAAAATAGTGATTTTCTGTAAATTGGTCCCTAAGGCTGAAAATGTCACTGGGAAACTATTTTTCGGTTCCGTTATTTTACGACCACGGTAACGACACGGTACCAGAAACGATCGTTACCGTGAAATCCTAACACTTGTTTATAACTCCAGTTATTGGAGTTAATCCCTTTGGATGCATCAGGACTCCTTCTTCCAACCTTTCCTCAAAAACTACAGCTGATAAGTTTAAGAGGAATAAAATTACAAGGCAGTATTCTGCAGCAAAAATCAAACGTTCTTCAGTGGTTCTTAGTAAAACAATTCAATAATACTGAAAAGCTTTTAATTCTAGTGTTGGGTTTCGAACTGCCATATACTGACTTAAAATCTAAGAACACACAAAAAAATATTTATCACTAAATGGTTAAGGTCTAGGAGGCATTGTTACACAGGTAATGTTTCACACGTTATTAAAACTTACGTACATCACAAACGTGTTTTTTCTTTTACAAAACTCTTTGCCTGTCACAGATAGAGAAGTAAGGTAAAAAAATTTTTCCACTGACTACATTATTAAATAGGCTGTATGCAGAGAAGACAAATATTTTTTTCTAATATTAGAAAGGTTTACTGTATGTTTCATGAAAGAGCAATATTACTAGATGGGTTGAGCTTTTTTCTGAAAAATGCATTGCTCAAATATTCTAAAAAAGGCTCAACTCACCATCTTTTAACTAGATAATTCTCACATACATGATAACAGCATTTTTGTTGGACCAGCTGAGTTGCAAGCTGCAATGAGCACTGCCTCTCAAATAGTAAAAAGGCCATTTCCAAGTTACTCCAAGTCTCTGCTTCAAAGCAAGGCTACTGGTAAATGCACAACCATTGAAATGAGAATAATTTTTTATTCCCATGCACATAAAACTCATTTTCACAAGAAAGGTTTTGCATGAAGCCCTGTTTTGAAGAACTCAAAAATGGTCCATTGAGAATAACACAAAATTCACAAAAGCCTGTATTGCACTTAACATTTTATACAGAACACCCAGGTTAATTAACAGTTACATGTATTCCATATCAAAGCAGTAAATTATTGTTGTGGCCATCTACAACAATGCTGGACCTGTAGAAATCAAAAGGGTACATAAGTCAATGAAGGATCACTGAACAAGAACAGTTTGTAACTCATTCAGTTTGGTTGGACCTTTTGATACTGCATCACGAAGTGTGACCATTCAAATGAAAACTACCGGGCACTACTTTCCTGTGGTACTGTTTATTACGCTGTACAAGGTGGTTCTAACTTTTGAGTCTGTGGATGAAATCCTAAAGTGTGACTATTCAAATGAAAGCTACTGAGCAGTACTTTCCTGTGGTACTGTTTATTATGCTGTACAAGGTGATTCTAACTTTTGACTCAGTGAATGAAATCCTCACCATTTGTTCAGACTGAATTAGCTGGAGGAGTATCCTGATGCGGAGCTTCCTGAGGAACTTCACTTCCTCTTACTCCAGAACTCTTGGGGCTGTGCCACGGGGTTTCTTTGAACAAGAACCAAAGATTTCCAGCCCAGACAAAGAAGTTGAGAAATCCAAACACCTAAAAGATAACACTCAGAGTTTGAATTGGTGCCCATAACTTGATGTGACTATTATAAGGGTAAAATTTTGACACATGACATGGCCTCGAAACCCGGAAGGGGATGGTCAAATAGGAACAAAAATCAAAACCCAAAAAAATCCCTAGGCCTTCAAACAAACCCAAAAAATCCTTGGACCAAAATGTAACCCCCCAAAAATCCCATGCCGAATTTCCAAGCCAAAAATATTTCCAGAAAGCAGAAGCAGTCACAACACAAGTTTTGTTTTACTTTATTCAAGGAACAACACGGCTGGGTGTACACGGCAACTACGCCGTAACATGAAACTTCAGATTTTTTAAACACTCACAAAAATCCCTACTTCAATCAAGCTACCCCAAAAAATACTTGCCAACATTTTCTTACCCCAAAAAATCCCGACATCGAAAATTTCAAACCTAAAAACATTCTTTGATCATCCCTGTCACTTGAAATCCCGAGTACCCCCCAGCCTTGAAACAGTGAAATAATACAGCTGAAATGGTGACAAAAAGCACAAAAATGGGATGAAAGTGAAACAGCAAAAAGGAAAAGCACAAATACAATACACAGGAAAGGGACATGGCTTCCTTCTCAACATGAGTTTGGTTTGACCTGATGGCCATGTGCAGGGTTTGAGCCAGGCCAGGAAAGCACACATGAAGAGATTTAGCTTAGTACAAAAATTGCAAGCTAAACCAGAACGTGGAAAGTATATTTTATTGCACGTTTAAAGTTCATTCTAAAGTCAAGTTTCAGTCACGCTCTACTGAACACGTACGTCTAATGCTCAACCAAGCATGGTGAACGCACCTGGCGATCTTCAACATGTCACATCGATAACATTTTCAAACAATAGAAAGCTTTTTTGCTCCAAATCAAAGCCAGAGTAGATCAGAGAAAAATGATACAGAAGAAGAACAGTGTATTAATCAGGAAGAAACGGATGAGGATCGAATGAAAATGAAAAAGTCACAAACTTTCCAGAAAACTTGGTCGCGAGATCACACATGGTTGCGTGATGGAAAGGAGGCGTATGTCTACCAGTAATTAAGAAAGGAATTGAAGTTTACAAGGGGTTGCCGGGAAGAGATTCTGCTGTGAAATATTTTGAAGTATAAAGCATAGTCATTGATCCTCTGTTTAAATATGATGAGGAAAAAAAAAGTCTTGACACCAGTAACTTAACTTTCCTTGTTTGTATCACTTTTCTTGTATTACAAGGATCAGGTAAAAAAAAAATGTTTTTGTTGGCTTGCCTGTATGAAAGTAAAAAAAATGTTGAATAAAAATTAATTTGTCTGTCCCCCTAAAAACAAAAATGTCCCCCAAAATTTTCACCAAGGGGACAAATTGTCCCCCAGCGATCAAATCCTAGCTCCAACCCTGCTTCTTACTCATCCTAGTTGATGATTTTGTTGGAGGATGACCTGCCTGGACCCTTCCCCACTGGACAAGTGAACTTTAAAAGTTACTTGTCCCAGCAAGAAAATCTACTTGTCCCAGAGAACCAATGGGACTTTTTTCAAGCCCTGATTTACAGGTGATCACCTACCACTGCAACTGTAGCAGCACCATACCTAGCACCATCAAATGAGCCGCAACCATTAGTATGTGGATAATCGGCATGACATGGCTCATAGGCTTTAAAAATAGCATCTTCACTGGTAGCCTTTTTCAGGCCAGACAAACCAGAGGCCCAAGCAATAGAACTGGTGAACCAGAAGATCACAAGTACAATAGTGAAAACAAAATCCTAAATCAAGAAATAACAGAATACAGGGTTAAAGTGATGATGTCATAAAAATGAACTTTCTGAAATTATGGAATTTGTAAGGATATTCTGAAAGAACAATGTCCAAGAGGCCTACTTGCCAAAAATGAGCATTTAGGGGAAAATTGTCTCTGAGATGTTAGCCGGTTATACTCAGAAAACTCCACCCAAATCCTTCTAATTTTTTGGGGGGTCGACCCCAAAAATTTAGAAAGGTTTGTATGGAGTTTTCAAAATCAATAAAAGCTACTGAGCAGTACTTTCCTGTGGTACTGTTTACTATGCTGTACAAAGGTTTGTATGGAGTTTTCTAAGCATAACTGGGCTACGATCTCAGAGACAATTTCCCCCGAAATGCTCATTTTTGGACCACTGGCCAGCATTATCTTGAGTTTACCCTCGCCTAAATTATATTTAGCCACATTTAAGTTATTTCTAATTCAAAATGATTGGTCTGGCTGGCAAGTTCTGACTTTTGATAAGCAACCTAAGTAACACAATAAGAGGGAAGGCAAAAAATTCACAACTAGTAGGAATTTAACTGATTAAGTTATAGACAAAGAAAAAGGGATTTTGTCACCCATAGTTAGAGGGCTTAGCCTGCAGCTTCTTGGTGAAAGAATAGTCTGTAAGCAAAAAGTCTGTAGGCAAAAGTCACCTTTAGTAAAGGTATAGTAAACAAAAACATGCAATTTGTTTTGTGACATTACTGCAAAACAAGTTAAAAAGCAATGTTGCATGTTTTACTACTCACATTCAACCTGTCTGGCAACAAATCAGGTTGCTGCAGGTTGCTAAAAGTTTTTGCAAAAAGTAGAGAATAGTTCCACTTTTTGCAACAAAATCTGTAAATGTTGCATGTTTTACCTTGGCCCAAGGCAAACTTGTTTTGCAGCAAGTGATGTAACTCCTTTACATGGCATGATTCCTTTGTAATTTTATCAATCAGAAGCCTGCAGTATTCACACAACTTGCAGCATCCTTTACTTGTCGCAAGACAGGTTTGAATGTGGGTGGTAAAACGCATAACACAGCTTTTCAACACATTTTCAGCAATGTAGCAAAACAAGTTGCATGCTTTTGTTGCCTAATTACCGTATCTTAAGTTACACATGAGTTAAGCAGCTACTCTACTTGGCAGTTCCAGGGCTACAACAAGTAGCTCTTTTCTAATATTCACTACTGCACTACAGAATAGACTACACCTCTCGTTAGGTCTGTCTGAGTCAGTGCTAAGATCCTTTTCCTGATTCCCCAACTGTGTAACAGGATTTGAGTATGTGCCTTGATAGGCTTGTTGCAAAATCTATTGTTTGTTTGGCCAATCAGGTCCGAGAGAGATTCAAAATGAACTACAAGTTATTCATTAAGTCTGTTGAGAGTCATATTGTCACTATGGCACTTTTTCTGCCAAACCATTTGACTGACTTTTGTTTTTGGGAAAGAATGAAGAGCAAAAGTCTATGAGGACTCCAGAACAAAAACATTGGGTGGGGGGATGCTTATCAGTATATGTTAAAAAATGTCAACTGCACAAATAGTTCCCTATTCGTTTCAAAATCATACCACAGTAACTCAACTAGGATCATTTTAGTTGTTAGTATCAACTAAGTCGTACCAATCAATCTACAAATTTTACACTCAAAACAGTGTGCAAAGAAATTTAGTGTCTGATAGCCTAAATTTTATTATCAAGCTAATGTATAACTCTATTCTTAACTTGTGCGATGGGCAAGAGAAGTTTTTTGAGGAATTCAAATTACAGAACAACGGTGAAATTAATTCTGCTCATCAAAAGGTTTTTGGGGATAGTTGAAATGGCATTTGGCCTTGTAAATGCTAGCTTCAGTTTGCCCAAATGGCAAGCTGTAAAACTGACTTTCTTTGCACCCTGTCAAAAAGTTATGAGAAGTATCAGAGTCATTTATCAACAAGAGCACTCCTCACTCCCACATTGGAAAACAACAACAACTTAAGTCTCACCACAACTGGGAAAGAAAGAAGACCAATATCAGTTGCGGTTGCATCCTTGGCACGGTCTTCAAAAAACAGATAATAAGTTGCTGCAACTAGCACAAAGATCATGGAGACCACACCAGTGAAGACAAAGTACTCTGCTTCAGATTTGTAACCAAGGGGTAATGTTTCTTTGGTGGCAATTCCTGTCTCATTTGTACAAGGCGTCTTAGTTGATGCATATACACGCATACTCTTAAATGGGTAAGAGAAATCTGCGTTGACTTGACGTGTTGGTGGATTGCCACCACTGCAATTGACCAAAAACTCTAAATGACCAAGAGCGCCTGCTACTGTTGCAAACGCAAAGATGGTGATAACCTGACAAAAATGCAAAAATTACATTACGTACACTTTCCTCGGTCCCTAGATTACATAACATTTCTTTCCATGAGTTGTATTTCTAACGCATTTGTAGAATTTCTCCTTTGTTGGCATTCACAAATATGATAACAGATGGTCTCAGATAAAATGGTCTCAGATGCAAGAATTTCACTTTGCACGAATGCTTCGTGCATGGGCTAGACAAGTAAATAAGTGATGTCACTGACATGCGTAGTGCGTTATTCAGCCCTGTCCGGCTGGCAATTATTTAACAATAAATGAATGAGGCTGAGTATCTTATGAAGAATTATGGAGATCTTGGAGGGTGTTATCCGTCGGGGCCATAGGCCGAGGCGGATGACACTCTCCGAGATCTCCATAATTTTTCATAATACGAAAGCCAAATTGAATAATTTTTTTATTGTTCATTCAAAATAATTCCTAGTTTAAAAACATGGCTAAAACATGCTTACCTACATCGATATTATGTTCACCTTCGATAGTGCACGTTTAGGGTTGTTCAGCTCCGCAAATATTCTCCAAATAGCAGATGTTGCCCTTCGAGTTGTCTTCTTGCTGTTCTTGTCATGTTTTTAGCTATTTTTTTGCCTAGTTCTTACTCTTGAAACGAGTGAAATGTCCGCCATTTTTCAAGTTCACAACCAAAACAACTCAACCTCATCCCCAGGTCTTCTCGGTTAATGGTGCATTAACCTGCAAGAACGCTGCGTTTTTGACGTCATTTCCTTGCTAAAACAAAATTCCTCCAAATTTGGTCATCAGTAACTGGTTATGGTGAATTAAACGTGTGCTTTTAGCCAATCAGAATCAGGGAAATATTTTGAATGAATAATAAAATAATTTAAAGAAAGGTCACACGTTTTTATAGTTGTCTTTGAACTTATGATACATGTACCATATTGATGAATGATATCTTAACCTGCTTAATTTGAACAGGGCCAAAGTATTTAACCAAATCAAATCACTGCTTTAAATAGAAACTTACGTAGGCTTAAATTACAAAAATCATCTGTTCTGTTACGTTTATATTATCTGTTACAAAGTAATATTTTTAGGCCTACAGTAGTACAGCAGGGAATGCTAGATCTCAGTTCACAAAGGGATTGCCTCTATAACTGAAGCAGTCTGATATAGCCAAATATATATTAGACTGTTTTCGAAGAAATGCATATATAAAGACCGATTATAAATTAAGTTATTTGACATATTTTTCTCACGTATGGATTAAACGCACTGTTAACTAGCTGTGCATGCAATCACAATGTTATTCGTTTAGGGTGAAAACTTTATTACTAGCGATTATAAAAATAAAGAAAAATTAGGGGATGTAGATTCGATATCAGTAAAGCAAAAAAGCTTACACGCAAAAAGGATGTTATTCACACATCGTGATTTTTTGTAGCAGCTTTCATGCAGCAGAAATGTTATCAGCTAAGCTGTATTCACCGCGATCAGAGCCAAAAAAACTAAAAAACAAGATACAAAACAACATGGATGTGCGATAAACTTACAAGCTCGATGCCTTTTATAAATCCTTTCGGCTCCTTGAGTATGTCGATGTTCGGTTTTTTGTTCATTTTCAAGAAAAGAAGTTAAATCTCTCGTACGAACACTTCTCTCTCACCTGCCGCCGTACGACCGCTCCTTGACTCTTCCCGCGTTACAAGCTTAGCGGCCTGGCCGCTATTTTACATTGACTCATAGCTATTTTGGGCACTCACCTGCGGGAATCCGCGGGTCGCGAGTCAAGTCACGGGTGCGATCACGGGCGAAAATGAAAGTTGCAGTGCAATCTCGGAGGGCAAAAATAAAGCGAGTGTTTTTAACGTTAGATTTATCAGTTGTGGTCGCCTACGGTGGTCATTCAGTGTGGTCGAATGACAACCATGTTCTTTTTGAGAGGCAGAGAGGTTAGGAGCCCTCCCGTTGGCTATTGGGTAAATAGATGATGGCGGAGTCGATGGGGGAAAGCTTTTTTTGGGTCGGGGTGTGGTGGGGGTAAAATCCAAAGAAAACCAGCGAAATCAGACGTTTTTTTTTAAGTTGAGGCTAGCTTTGGTTTGAGGTTGGATAAATCATACTACAGAAAAGAATAAAACGTCCAAAATTTTGGGGGATGTTTTGTTTCTTCGTCCTGAGTTTTAACTGAGCTGCACTAGGATTTGTCTTTTTAACATTTTTTGCGTCAACTATGATTATTTCCTGATTTAAACAATTAGCTCTTTAATTCCTGAATTGAGTCATTGGGTCATAAAATGTTCTGTGCAGCCAACTTCACTTAACGGACTATAAATTTACAGTGAGGTTTACATTGACCCGTTATCAGACGACTCAGTTATCGGGTCACGAGTAAACGATCACACCGCTTGGAATTGGAGATCCCAGATATTAAATCATATGGTTTAGTTTACAGACGTTTTTGAAATTTTTGGCGTTTTCGTGATTTCTTCCGGATAATCTAACACAAAAATGTGATTTAGTTCCGGCAAACTTCAACAATGTTCTATGCATTGGGCCACTCTTTTTGTGCTCTTTGTCTGGAGCGCTGTATAGTTTTCACGTTTAAGTGGCTCTTTGCAATACTATTTGTTAAGTGACACTCAAATGCTAGAGATGTTGCGCAATGTATATGCGGGACGTTTGCTCTGGGCTTTCGCGGGCCTGCGTGACTGGCGTGATGCCGCTAACATTTCTTAGATTCCGCTAAGGAGAAAAATGCGTATTACTGATGTATTACATTGACATTTAAACTGCAAAGGACCACGAACAAATATGCCGCAAAACGTAGGATCTATAAAAGACCTGACCAGCAAAAATATACACTGAGTAGACACACTGAATGCTGCAAAGCTGATCGTACTACGTGAAAATTAACCTTGCAAGACATCAACACGACACTTAAAGAACCAAAACAGAGCGGGGTCATAGCCGTAGACAGTAGACATTGTCGTGTTGATGTCTTGCAAAGTTAATTTTCACGTAGTACGATCAGCTTTGCAGAATTCAATGTGTCTACTCAGTATTACTGACGGGAGGGGATGGGGGCTGGGGAATTACCCGGAGCGGAAGTGGAGTATCAACAAAGCTGCACATAAAAATGACCCTTCCGTTCCCTTCCTCTTTACCGTGCAAAGTTAAGCACGGCAATCCCAGGGGCTCCACTCACATATTTTAATGACGGGGGGGTCCGACAGAGGTTCATATTTTATACCCAAAAAAATCCCAACTTCAGAATTTGTCTACCCGAAAAAATCCCTACTTTTTTTAGCATACCAAAAAAGTCCCTCAGTGTTTTTGCATCAGCAAATTTTATTATTTATCTTCTGGAAAGCTAAAACATGCCAACTTCAACTTGGTTTTGGTCAAAAACAAAACTATAAATTGCGCTTATGTTATTTTTGATTTGAGCTGATGAAAAATACAATACCCAAAAAAATCCCTGTGTTGTTTTCGCGACCCAAAAAAATCCCTTTTGGCCAAAATGTCAGACCCAAAAAAATCCTTCGGACCCCCCCGTCATTAAAATATGTGAGTGGGGCCCCTGGGACGGCAATTCTCTCTTGACCAATCGTTCGTGGTCTTTCTTCTTATACAGTTCAAACTCACGTACGGTTGGACGTCGCTCAACCTCGTTCCCGGGGTTCTCTACTTCTAGTCATGAGTCAGAAAGGAGAACCCTTGGGCCTGGTAAAATTGGAGGTAGCCTGCGTAGCAAGCGTTTCCGCGCGAGTTCATCGAGAACGTCGGGACGAGAGAAAAAAAAAGGGATGACGGGGGAGGGGGAGGGGAAAGAAGGAACTAACTTTCGCGCAATAACTCGACTGGAAACGCCACGCAGGCTAAATTGGAGGTCGCTTAAGTGAGATTGCCGCTTAATAGAGTCGAACAACAGAGAGGTCAGGCGGTATCTATTCAAAGCTAATTTTCTGCTTACAGTCTTGACGCAAGAACAGCCATAAAAACTAAAAACTGATTTTTCCTTCTCGGTTCGGAGTTGCCTACCATGACTTACTGAACAATTAAAGATCAGGCCCTGGTTGTTCAAAGATGGCTGGGGCTATCCATCGAATAAATCGCTATCTTTCGGATAAGTATTAGGGAAACCAATTGCGATATCCACCTTTCGAACACTAGCGCCACACCATAGTGATCCCTCTCGGGGCCAAGGAGGAGCGGGGGGAGAAGGTTGAAAAACAGTGGAAATTATACTGACTGCTGCTTTAAACCGTGGTCACGGTCGCTTACGAGAGATGCCAAATATAGTGATTTGCTTTAGAAAATGTTGGTTTTTGAGGTGGCGTGGTCTCTTACAAAAGGTGGTCTTTGCGAGAGGTGGTGGGACATGGGCAACCTCGTCCCCACATGGGAGTTCGATCTTTGCATGCAGTTTCCCATTACAATGGTGTGGCCTCCCTGTGTACAAGCCCTACAGAAAGCATACGAGACCAGCCGGATGGGATCCTAACGTGACACGGAAAACTGGAAACCACGGGAAATCTTATATCGATCACATCCGGAATTATCTGAACGGGTACGTGCTTGCTAGCATTTCTTGTGTCGTAACAAGTTTTATATAGCCAACTGCGTGCATGGCAATGGCTTTGAAGACTGAGTCCATCAGGAAATTGAGTAATTTTAATTTTCAGTGGACGAAAACCTTGTACCAGGAAAATTTAAAGAATATGGCATTCTTTTTTACCTTTTTCAAGGACTATAGATGTAATTAGTTATGTGTAATAACACCAAAGAAAATTTCTTATGGAGACCCGAGAAAATGAATGTCAAGTTTCCCAAGAATTGTGAAAAACAGACAATTCTGAAAATTTCATGTGAAAGATGTAATTTTGTGAAATTTGACGTTCATTTTCCTGGGCTCCCATAAGAGATTTTCTTTGGTGTTACTACAGACGACTAATTACATCTTTAGCTCTCCAAAAATGTAAATTTGAATGCAACATACTTTAAATTATTCTGGTACAAGGTTTTTGTTCACTGAAAATTAAAATAACTCATTTTCCTGGTGGATTCCATCTTAATACTTCCCCACTGAGTTGTGAAAAAATGTCCTGGGAGTGGGTGGGAGTATAACAGGATTGGATTGCTCGCCCCCCAACCTCGTCCCTAGAGCTGGCTTTTCCATGAGGGAATAGCCCTCGGGACGAGTAGGTTGCCCAGCTCGAGGTCCAAACCATACCCTTTCAAATCACATATTACTTTTGGTAAAAAAAGTATTCCTTTCTATTAATTCCTTCCAAAGAAAGCGGATCTCCATTAGTGTAAAATGCGCTGCCATTTAATTTCCCCACCCCAACCAATCCCTTGACCTTTCAACTAGCGGTATTCTGTCTAGACTATGGTAAACCACCAAATTATAAACGAGCACTTCCGGGATTAAACGCCCAGTGGGCCTGCACAAATCAGTGTTGAAGGCAATACACGCAGCATATGAGTTGTGGGTGACCTTTTTTTGTCGGCTACGATCACACGAAGGCCCGGTAAGATCCTCGGATTGATTTTGTACCTTCGTAATTACGGACGTTTCTCAGCTTGAAAGCGTCCGAGACCAGTAAAAACAGACGATATACAGATTTGGCATTGATAAATCTCTGGAAAAAGAGGTTAAAAACTTACATCTGCGATTTTAAAAAGTGAAAAGTTCTTTGAAATGATTTCCCAATGATCATGTGCATGATTAATGTATAATGAACGCTGTTGTGTGCACTGCGGGTTGTGTAGTGTCCATGTATTGATTACGTAAGAAACGGTGGTGTTCATTCTTGGTTTAAGGCCGCGTTTTAAAGGGAAAAAATCAGCTTTCACTGTCCTCCCAGTACCCACGGATACTCTCGGGGCAAAGGTACTATTATCTTCAAAAATAAGTCGACCAATCTAACAAAATCAAAGAAATACTGATCGCAGGGTAACACATAGATAGCTATGCAAGTAATAGTCGATTAAACGTTGTGGTCTTAACCACTGATTCCTAGCGGTGCCCAAAAGTCAAGAAGTTCAACAAAATCTCCAAGTTTTCGTTTTTGAAAACTGCCGGAAAGCAAATAGTTCCATGCCAAATAACTTAGTAGCTTTCATTTGAATGCTCACACCAAAGGATTTCAAACACTCAAAAAAGTTAAAACACCCTAGGAGTGGAAATAGGTACGAATTTTCATAATTTTCATCTGAAAATGGACATGGCTGGTTTGTCAATTTTTTTTTTACCATAGTGGAATTCAAAATGGAAAGGTTTTTGTGACTTGCGAGTGACCTGCTCAAACTGAAACTGACAGAAAAAAATTCGACACTGATGAAGCGTCATGGCCAGCGAAAGTCGCGTGTCGGCTTAATTCCCTCCATAATCAGGGAATTTTCTCTTTCCTTTCGTGCGTACATGCCTATGCAGGGACCATTGCCCTCAAAATAAAAGTTTCGCAGGAAATTTTCGTATCATTCTTGTGGTTTTAATCATTGGTCAAACCTAGTCGAAGTCAGGCTCTCTTTGAAGAATTTAGTAACAACCCACACTCTCGACTCTCCTGGAAAGATGATCTGATCGTGCGTGAATGTATTTTTGTTGCACGCAGTTCGGAGAAGTCACGCTTATGATGTCATAACCTGTTGTACGTGATGTAAACAATATATAAATGACTGTCTGGAGATCTCTGAAGAGCTTGATCTCGCGCTCGGACAGCGATGTCGCTAATGTATCAAATGTTCAATGCTCCGTGCTCCAAATAACGTTTGTTAAAAATGAAGCGAATCAAGATTTGTTTGGTGTGAAAGTGAAATGTGTAGCTTAACTGCTTAGCTAAAATCTTTGAAAACTTTCTACTTCTCAGTCCCAAAGCCTTTTTTTTCTTATGACTCCCAAATATGGTTTTCTTTCCTAGAAACATGCTACCCACACAAGATCTATAAGAACAGTCATTTCATTGAAGTTAAAAACAATACTTATCACACCACAATTCCGTCCACAGTCAATACGGTGAACTAGGCGTTGGATATATGTAAAAAAATTAATAAAAATAAAACATTTTGGATAAAAAAAATCCCTGCCCGACTAAGCTAAAGATAGCTGATTTGAGTTCATTTCGAGAACCCGAGGCCCGTGTGGGCGCAGCTTTTTTCGTTGCTTGAGTACAGCCAACCCACTCTTAACGTACACCCGGCTATAAGACTAGCCTCCTACGCAGACGTTTTTAGGAGCTCGTCACGCGTGGGACAGGAACGCGTGGCTAACCCCTAAGAACGTCTGCGTAGGAGACGGACATACATACATACATACATATGAAGAAAGGCCACTAAGAGTTGGTCCCTGCCTTTCTTTCCTTTTTTTACTTTTCTCTCTCTAAGACGGACTCATAGTGCAGGTCCCATGATGTCCTAGGTAGAGTTGACCGTGCACCCATCCATGGCTCCTTCTTTGTAAATTACGTGCTCCCTCCATACCCACCCTTCCCCTAACTTACGTAAACATCTAGAATCACGGATATACAGTCTCAGAAGTCACGGAGACGAGCAAAATAATGGTAGCGCGGCGTTTTTGTAAATCAATGGTTTTGTTTTTAGCTCCTTGAACTTTTATTTCATCGTTTTTCAACACCTTGTCCTTGCGCCGATTAGAAATCGATGTAATCTCCAACATAAAAAGGGTCGTTCGATCGACTGAGTCCATATTTGACTTTGGTTGGGCTAAATATAGCTCTTGGTGTCGTGTGTCCATCTTACGATGTGTGCTTATCCTATAGGGAGCAAAGTCTAACATGTGAGTGGAACAAAAGCGTCTTAGTCGTGTTTGGCTAAGCACAGACACCACACGCAACAAACGGAAAGACTGTCTTTTTTTTACGCGCTCCCAAACCTGTTAATATATCGAGCAATACTGGTATGAATTTAGCCAGTCAGTGCCAAAGGAACAACATGAAATCCTTCAGCGTTGCCCGAACTCCGACTTTGGATCAAGATCTACGAATAAGGCGTTTCCATAGAGAGGATACACACCGCGTTCACAATCTGTTCTTGGAGGAGACGAGATGTATGTTATGGCCGATGTTTGTCCAGGCTGTTCGAAGTCCGCCTGCAGTCGTTTTACATGTCATGTTGATGTTCGCTGGAGTAATATTCGCCAGATCTTGCATTTTGGCACTCTTTGGAGGGATTTTCGCCTTCTCTGGGGTCTTCGTCTACGTTTACCACTGGTTTTATAACTATTTGACCAGCTCTCTGAGAGGAGACTTAAGTAACATCACACAGGTACCCGGAATTTTCCTTTGATTATACGAAAGTCAGTATTTACTTAAATTTAATAGTTGTTTTACGCGAAAAGGGTGCAAACCGCGTCCATAGAATAATAACTGCTGATGCGAGAACAACTATTAAAGATAAGCTATTAAGATAGGAAACAAATACATGTAGTTTGAATGTATTTAGTATGTCAAGTTATAAACGAGGCGACAAGATGCCAAAACTCGGTGCATGCATTTTGGCAGACTTTAAGAAAACAAACTAGCTGTGAACTCCACAAAGACGGTTTATTCGTTTTTTCTAAAAAGCATAACAAATCAAATAAAGTCTGTTTCTTTACTTTCCTTTTCAAAACAATGAAAAAATTCTAGGTCTAGTTTCTAAGGCTAGAGAAAAACTACAAGTTAAAAACCAGCGATAAATTTTAAGAACTTGAATTATTGTTTGTTCAAGAGCCATTATTGCCACCACACGCTTTTATGAAAACACACTTTGAATTTTCCAGATTTTTAAATTCTTTTCAATGCAACCGCAAAGAAACAATCTAGAGTAACACAGTGAATAGTTTGAATTCCCAGCACGTAGTCAACTTTTCGCCTCGTTTTATGAAAACAATTTTGGAATTTCTGGAAGTTTTTTGAGGCTGAACGTTTAATGCAGCTTCACGTGGCTTTTAAATCTAGTTAAAAAAAAGACTTTTCCAACAACTCAGCAAATACAATAATGGAGTAATGATGTGCCAAAGCGATACTATTGCTAAATGTATTATTGTGTATGTTAAATACACACTAAACATCCGTCCTAAATTTGATCTTGACAGAAACATAGTGTACGGTGTCCTGAGGGCCTCGATATTTTTGGCAGTTATCGTGATTTCCTAGTTCTTAAAACCGCGGGTTTCCGCCTGCCAGTTTTCATTTGATGTAGAACATTCAAACCCGCAAAAGACTAAAATTTGGCGGCCATCCTTTTAATCTTTTCTTATCTCAAACTGCCCTAATTTGGACAGTACCCTTAATTTTCATTTTGTAACAAAATTGTTTACTTAAACTTCGATGTTTTACGTGCATAATGCTTAAAAGTACAAAGGGAAACTAATGAGAACTATGACTTGCCTTCTGAAAATCATTTCTAGAAAGATAGAAACTTTTTAAGAGGGTTCTGTGGTAACACATTTAACGATACTTTTTCAGTTTAGATAGGTGAAAGAACCCAGGTCACTAGGTCAAAGGAGAAAAGCTGGCAAACAGTTTGAAATGGCTTTCAGAAATTGAAGTAAACATCACGGGCATTTGTTGAAGACTGGTTTTACCAGCTATAAAAAAACAGCGAAAGTTCTTTTATTGTCGAAGTCCCCTGGATCCAAAATTCCTAAAATTTCTGTATTGCGTGTCCTGTCTTGGAGTACGAAGATTCTGGAAATACTTTTAGGTCTGGATTTTTTCTGGAACAAATTCAAAACGTGACATGATATCTAAAGAAGAATTTTTTCGGATGGAGAGAAAGAATCTTAGAAGCTGGTAGATTTTTCTGGAAACCAAAAAACGCAAAAAATCTTTTTCGGCTTTTCTTTGCGTAGTTTGATCTACACTTAAACACATATTGAAGCATCTCAACTTCCGTTTCTGAGCACGCGCCCTTATCTGTTTGTAATTGTATCACGATTAAAGTTGACGTACACCCTAAAAGAATTACGAAAGTCTGTTAGATGCGTAAAAGATCTTGTAAACCACATCAAAGATCAGCGCTAAGTTTCATTTATCATTAATTTTATGGAAATCACATCAATCAAACATCGGTTTTCCTTTCAGTAAAGGATTTTACTAATAGCGACATTGGTAATATCTTAAAGCGTTTTCCACCCGCCTAAAAAGTTAGCAAACAGTGTCACAAGAAAGTTCTAGCAATTAGATCTCTTTTGAACGCCAAACGTTTATCCTCAGATTGAAAAAACACGAAATCACCTAGTCCCCAACTTTGCCCACAAAGGCACGAGGATCCACGCGCGTGAAATTCCACGTGCTTTGCAACATATGTTGCTGCCTCACGCGAGATGTGATCTGATCTTTTGACCCAGTAGCAAAATCATCGACTGGAAGATAAACTTGTTTTTCTTAGAGAAAACGTGATTTCTTTTCATATATTCTAACTTGTTTTGTCAATGGTTTGCTTTCAATTATGTTTTTTGCATGATCATTGTGAAATTAATGAAAAAGCAGAGGGCTATTCAGATAATAAAAGCCTTTGCTGGAACAAAGAAAACATAATGCCGTCTAAATGCTGTAAAATGCTAAAACCACGCACACTAAGAATGTCTTCCATTCACTCTTCAGGTCAAAAAGTTAGTTACGTAACGATAGCAAAAACTGAAATACGTTGGTTATTATAGCTCAAGTTTCACCGCCACCGACAGATATCATGAAATATCAAATCTCCGAAACTGCTCTAATGGGATAGCAAGCGGCGTCTTCAAGAAATGTTTTGCGGTTGCCAAGCCTTCTGAATACAATTTCGCTCATCACCTCTCACTCTCTCAACTCTGATCGAACGAGTTCGAGGCCTGGGGGGGGGGGACTTCCCCTATGAAAGGGGCGGGGATGCTCGTCGGAAATTTTGAATTAAACCTCTAAAGGAGACCAATCTAACGTGGCCCAACCTTTTTTTGACCCCTTAAAGCGATCATTTTAAACTTTGATTACATGAATCGAGTGAATAAAATGAATTGAAAATATCTAATTTTTCAATGTTTCTTCAAGTGCAACCCTAAAAGAGACCTTTACCGCTAAATGTAATGGTCTCTTGCCCAGAACACCCTAAGAGAGATTAAAATCTGAAATAAGCGAGACGACGAGCATCCCCGCCTCTTTCATATGGGAGTCCCCCCGGTTCGAGGTCCTTGATGTACTGTAAGAGCAAGGGACCAAGTTTTTTCATCTCAAAAAAGAAGGCAAACGAATTTGTACATGAATCAACATATAGCTACATATATATTTATTGTACAAATACTGGTAACTTAGCTGTTCAATGTTTATTCGTCCCACATCTCTTGAAAATAAGGATAATTTTTATTCAGTTAACGCATACTGGGTTGGTGCGCCCTTTTACCTGACTTGATGTGATTTTATTTTAATTGAGAGTAAAAAGCCGCCAAACTGATCAATCACAGGGCCTTTTTGGCTAACAGTTTTGCTCACGGTACTAAAGGAGTGTCCCTAACCCTTCATTTTGCTCAATGCCGTAATCCCGATGGTTATTTTTGGCATTCCTCATCCCGCATCCCGCATCCCGCATCCCGCACTAATAATCACCGTAAAACGTTTGTTAAAAATTGCCGTATCTAGCGCTAGCCTTTATTCCTGACCTAAACGTTTGTTGCTAACAAGCTTTGTCTTTATTGCTCTTCTTTCAGAATTATTTATCCAAGGCAAAGTGCAATTTCCTTGTGGCGGAGTTCGACATCTCCATCGTGGGTTTTATAGCCATCGATCAATTATCTGAAAGTGTTGCATCTGTTAAACGAATTTCTGTTGATGTGTGCTTTGGCGGACAGCGAAAGTACATTGCCACAAAACTGTTGCAAGAAGCATTTAAGTTTTGTCAAGAGTGCGGCTACAATGAGTTAGTCATGGAAATCCCCGGAACTAATAAGCCAAAGGTTCATCGATTACATCGTAGCGAGACCAAGAATAAACAAGACTTATTTATCGCACGGCAGGGTTAAAATAAAAACTATGTGTATCACGTGATGTGCATGCTCAGCTGTGACGTCATAATCCAGAAAATGAGTGATTTTCTAGGTCTCACGCGATCACCTGATTATCCTTCGTGACTTCATCACAGATACATGTCACCACAGAACAAGGACGTTCATAACGTTGGGTCCGTTCCTTTTGGGACAGTCGTGTTGTTTAAAGCGCACGAGGTCCACAGTGGAAATGAGGCCAGAACTGACTTTCTGGAGAGCATTGCAAAAAGCTGTAAACGAAAGAAATGGCTACGAATTCTAAGCTCAGAGTTTATCTTATCATTATCAGAATGTTTCTGCAAGCGAACATTCAAACACCAGAGGAGTGGTGAAGTCAAAGCGCCCGAAAATATACGCATGCGCAGTGTAGTTGAGTTTTCGACAGCATCTGATAAGTTGCAAAATAAGACCTTTGTCACATCACTTACGTATTTAATAGTTCTGCTTTAGAACTACAAGGAATAGTAATTAGAGGTGCTTTTTAACCCAAACAACAGAATTGTGGCCAGAAATAGAAAGCATAAGGAAGGGACAATTACATCGATTATCTTGGCGTTCGTTTAAGAAAGTGATAAATTTTAAAATTCATACTGAAACTGAAATTCAAAATGTTACCAAATTAGAGGATATGAACCTTTTTAAGGATTGTTCCTATTGTTGTCATGATCAAAGGCGTTTACGAACTAGTTACCTTATGTCTACAAATTGCAGCTGTAAGTTTTGTAAATAAATATATGTAAATAAAACTTGTAAATACACTTGTAAACAAATAAATTAGGAACACAGTTTAACTTGTAATTCATGTTCTGACGGTAATTTAGGGCAGACACATTTAATTCTCTGTTAGTTAAAGCGTTTCAACTCGAGCATGGCTATCCAGCGGGTATAAGAACCAATGACGTCCCAGTTACAGATACCAGTCAGGCCATCTAACTATGTATACTGTAGCCTGATGAGCCACTGAACAACTTGTGGTAAACGAGGCCGTATATTTGGCTCGATGCTGTATCAGATTGTATCCTGTATCACTGAATACCTTGAGTTTCGCCAATTCGTACAGCATGCTTTATTAGTCAAACCTCTGTTAAGGGGTTACCGGAAGGGGGAGGGGCACGGATTTTTCACAGCCAGCTAACCTTTCATGTACTATTTTTCTCGAGCATCCGCCGCCAGAGCGCCCGGATGAGCTTGCACATCTTCCATTGACAAATGCGACCCCTTTCATATACCTAGTTTAGAAAACTGCGTCCTTTTAATCTCTGTTAATGCACCTTCTTTTAAATCTGAATATATCACTAGACCAGAAAGTTTTCTTGTCTATTTTCAAAGCCATAAAATGCATGTGTTATCCCATTTAGGTCCTTCTGTAGATCGAAATCGAAGTGAAATTGTTTTCTACTCCGTTGTGACATACCTCCCCTTTCATTTATCTGAAGCCTAAAAAAAGGTGTGCCCCTTTCGGGTGGAGCCTACCCTTTAAGGACGTTATAGGAAGTACCCCTTGAGGATACCCTCTACAGTCAAACCTCTATTAAGCGGTCACCCTCGGGAATAGCCAGGTGACCGCTTAATGGAGTAATAGGCTGATTTAGCAACAGCACGGGAACGTCAGTTGACGACGGGAAAGAGCGCGGGAAGGACTAAACACGACTTTCGGTGCCCAATAAGCCGCTTTGCCAATGGTCAAGCCAGTTGTTTGATTTGCGCGCGCCGTTGTAAACTGACGTTCCCGTTCCTGTTGCTAAATCAGCCTAATGTTTTTCGTAAGGGAGCGCGTCTTTACAATCAAGCACATCTTCAGCAATTTTAAAATCTCATTCAACGTGAAGAGAGAAATTCAGTTATGGACGTCTACTTTGGTGAAGCAAGACACTGACTCTGCTCAGCGTCAGCGAGAGTTCTTTGTGATAGGCCTTTTAGGGATTGTTATGTAACGAGGTAACCGTTTAACAGAGGCAAATTACAATAAAATTAGCCATTTGAGAAATCAAAATGGTGACCGCGTCCGCTTAATAGAGGTGACCGTTGAATAGAGGTCAAATTTACAGTAAATATGGAAAGCAAATTTCGGTAAATTGATAGGTGACCACTTAATAGAGGGAGACCGTTTAATAGAGGTTTGACTGTAAACGGCCAGACACCAGTTAGCCTCCCACGCAGACGTTCTTAGGGGCCTTCGTAGGGCGGGAACGCGTGACGAACCCCCAAGAAAGCCGGGAGGCTAGATACATTTATCATCCACTTAAAGTACCGAGCATTTTAGACACCTCTAAAAAAAAGGAAAACAAAAGTGACTGAAATGGCGCATATGAACGGAAAGCAATAAAAGTGTTAATAAATGTTTGAAATTGCATTTTTAAAAGCAGCTAGTGAATTGGACAATGCTATACAGGTTCTTGGGAGTTTATTCCATTCCGTAGAGTCCCGAAGGTAAAAATTGTCAGTAATCACTGTGAACATATCATCTGTTCAGCGACCAACTTAATAATTAGGAGCAAGGTTGAACCCGTCCTCCGTTCCCTAAGGATGGTCGCTAGACCTTCGGCGGTTGTTCATTGTATAGATAGATCCCAGCCATATGCAACCACCCTTAGGGGCCATCATGTGTGATACCCATCACTAAAGAGAAAGGTTGTTTTCGGGTGGGATACAAGAAAAGCATTGCAGTCTTCAACAAAAGGTTTTAACAGGATCTGATCTAGAGATCGTTTCGTGAGGGAGTCAAGGAGGTCAAATATGGTCTTAACAAAGACCATCATGAAAGTCACAATGAACGAACGCGGCCTACACCTTTTCGAGTTTAATTCTGGAAGTTGTTCAGTTTTGGGTGTTGCTTGGTCTTTGAAAGTTGGTTTGCCTGTGGTGGAACGTAAGAAGGTTGGTACCGAAGATCCAGCATGCCCTGCCCGGCGCCATTTTACCCCCAGCAGTGTCCGATTCTTTCTCTTCTTCCCTCGTGTTCAAAATGAAAGTTCGTGGAGAGGTAACCAACATTAAAATTTACCGGTTTTTCGAACCCTTTCAGTGCTGAAATACAGATTACAACATTTATAGCAAAGCGTAGCCCTATTGCTTCCCAAGTATAAGCTGTATTTCGTTTCTTGTCTTGTCTGTTTCTGTTTTATCGAACCGGGAGTTGTGTTTTAACATGGCTACATCTACCACGCAAGGCTGGGATATTTTGTCTTATTTTCGTTATTTACTGGTGTTACACCATTGGAATTTCTGGCATAGGGTCTTGCTTTGATTCTAAATTCGGTTAAATTGCAGTGGCTACAAAATAGAGATCACAGGCTTAGTTTACTCTCCATGACGAATGATTTAGATGGAAGCTTTTTACCAATTTCAAGAAACTTAAGTAAATTTAGTCGGATTCTGTGTAACTGAGTTATTTCGACTTAAGCTGTGCATTGTAGATTTGGGTAAAGTAACTAAAATAACAGGATTTCAATATGACTGGAAATCTAGCTATAACCTTCTTATAGAGGTGCATTAGATTGTTTTGAATGGTAAATGTTAGTCTGTGGTTTTTGTGAACTGTTTTAAAGTAGATAGTGGAGTAATTTTCGAATGTGCTGACATTTAAAGCTGTTCTGTAGGTAGAACAAGGGATATAATAAGTAAAGAATCAATAATTGACAATATTATAACTAGTGCCTGTGTATTCTGTTTAATTATTTTAATTGAGTCAAGACAAAAGTTGTCAAGCTAAGGCCTGGTTCAGACACTGAACTTTTCATGAGCGGAACCTAATTCGCATTAAGGCTGACCCATATTATTTAAACTGCCTAAATTGATTCAGATGCTGAGAATAATTCCAGCCACGCCGATAATAATTCCAGCCGAACTAAATTCAAAAGGACAAAAATGGTCATTTTGGTCAAATTGCTTGCAAAATACATTATTATAATTTATGCATTAGGTTTTTGGTACATGAAAAGTTTGGTGTCTAAATCAAAGACATTCCAAAGTTGTTCCACAGTCGAAATTCCCGACTGGGCTAGGCGTAAAAAAACGGCTCAGCCGTTCCAAATTAAAATAGGTGTTCCTAATTGATTCAGATGCCAAACGTTTCATGTACTTAATGCAATGTATTAGGTTCAGCTCATGAAAAGAGTGGCGTCTGAACCGGGCCTAAAAGCATGAAGCTAAGATTTTGCACATGAAAGTTGCATATGGCACTATCCTGGCTTCTGGTGTCTTGTCCTAGGGCTGTAGGAGAATTATACAAATATTGTCTATTGTATGCTATGAAACGGTATGATCTTGGTCTCAATTTTCTGATCCAGAGGTAATTGCTGAATTTCTAGTTTCAGTCTGTTTCCTGTATGGGAAAGAAAAACTGATCGGGATTTTCTTGTTTTGTGTACAGTTTTGACACTCCTCTGACCAAGATGAGTTTTACCTCCAATTGTTTTGTCAATTATTGCATAAATTTGAGATGGGGAAAACTCAACCCTTGTCAGATTTACGGAGAAGTATATTACACAAAGCTTTCCGTTTCGAGTTAAAAAAATTGCTGTTGTGGGAGGTAGAATTTACTTTCTTATCTACTGTGTCTTTTTTTCTCTTTTTTTTTCAGCTGAAAGAATTTGAAATCATTGGCAGGGCTCTGCCAACAGAGAAGAACTCTTCTCCTCCACTCTACAAAATGAGGATTTTTGCCCCTGATGAGGTCATAGGCAAATCAAAGTACTGGTACTTTGTTTCCAGACTTAAGAAGATCAAGAAGTCAACTGGAGAAATTGTTTCCTGTAGACGGGTTTGTATTATTCACACAAACTCCTTAAACTACATGGGCAGAACCTGGAATTTTTTATTTGGGGGGATCCAAACTTTGGTTCAGAAAAGACTGTTGAACTTTTTTGTGGCAATTTACTTCTCACAGGGACGACCACGGGTTTTTTAATCTGTGATCATCCATCACCTTTGGGTGGGAAATACTGCTTTGCAAGCAGAGGCAAACAGATCATAGGAGGGTACCCAAAAACAATTACATTTTTTGATATCCCTGGAATTTAGTTTAGTGGGAAAATGCAACACACATTTCATTAAATAAAATCAACCAGGTAAAAGGTGATATATGATCCTGTCAATGTCAGTCTCAAACAAGTGTGATGTCTGATAGGGCGGAGGGGTGGGGTGCTGGACCCCCTGGACCCCCCCCTGGATCCGCCGCTGAACTACTAACTTAATGGGTCAAGTGAGGGCTTAAGCCATTGTGTAAAGTCTGTATATTTTGTTGTATTCCAAGCTTTGGCAGATGCACAGCATCATCAGAAAATGATGATTCTCTGATTAAATACCTTTCATTAAGAAAGTGGTTTTAGTTTGATAAGATCATGATTACTATTTAAAACAGAATTCCTTGAAAATGTCCAAAGTTATACAATCTGTGTTTTTAAACACGAAACTTGATAGTGGACATCCATAATTTATTATTGACAGTTGTCAAAAAGGCTGACCAGTGTCACATGACTGTATCACAGGCTCAAGGGTACAAGTCATTGAGGTGACATGTTTTTTTAAAGCTATCCGCTGGCTAGTTATTGGTTTTTAATTGATCACTGGCTCAGATAGAAACTGTGTCTTTGATCAAATCCATCGCCAGGTTGGTTTCTGTTCAGTGAAGGCAGCCTCAAATGACCTCTTTTGTGGGGATGTTGAAAATTGCTTCCAGTGTTTTTATCCAATTCGTTTAAAGAACAGTGCTAAGCAGACCATATAATAAATAACTTATTAACCTTGTCTGTTCGGTCATTACAAGGAAATCTCAGACCTTGGCCTTGATGTATTGACCTCACTATCACTCAGCCAATACATCAAGGCACTAAAAAGAGCTCTCAGATCAGTCAGCTTATGCTTGTTTCTCTCTGTGACATAGATTTATGAGAAGAAGCCCCTACAGATCAAGAACTTTGGTGTGTGGTTGCGTTATGACTCTCGCAGTGGTACCCACAATATGTACAGGGAATATCGTGACCTGACTGTGGCTTCTGCGGTTACTTCCTGCTGTTAGTATCAGCTTTCTAAGTTTACAGTGGTACCTCCATTAACCTCTCTTACAACAGCCAGTTCTGTACAATGGCCATTTCTCTGGCCACTTTCTTCTGTCCCCAAGGTGGCCATTGTGGAGAGGTTCATTTCTATATTGAAATGTCCAATTGTTGGAGTGAATTTACCTTGTGCAACTCACCGTGTGGCACAAAATTTTTCCGGGAGTTTATTTTTGCAGATTGGCGATTTTTGGTGTTTTGCGTGAACTACTTTTTGTGATTAGGACAGATTGGTTTTTCTTGCTGGGAATTAATTTTTGCGATTTTCAGAAAGTAGCCAGTACCCGGTATTGATAATATTTTCGTTTTTGTTAATTATGTGCAATGGAAATACATATTTTCAAATAATACTACGGTATGGATACCCTATGTAAAACCAGTAATTCATTGTATACCGTTTTGTTTCTGAATGAAAGAGGCAACTTGTAATTAAACATACATGATTTCTTATTACTGTATTTTTGTGTGGCGAATTGAAGTTCATTTAAGTTTACTCTGAAGTATATTTTTGTGGGAAAAATGTTTGCGTTAATTTTTATCTTTGCGGGAACTTTTTTTTGCAGATCGCTGGAGAAATCGCAAAAATTAGAACCCGCTAAAATTTCGTGCCACACGGTATTTCCTTAAACGTTTAAAAATTGTCACCTTCCTGAGTGGCACGCTTTAGCATGGATTTCGAGTCCCACAATGCCAACCAAATTCTTTCATAAGGGGAAAAAAATGGTCGCAATGGTGGACATCCAAACAACTTTGTTTGTTACAGAAAAGTGGCTCTTGTTCCCAAAATATTTCATATTCCTTAAGTCTACTGTTAGCAACTTATGGTGTAGTAGCTTTTTAGAATTGGCAGCCACTTTGAAATATTTTAGTTGCCAAGTGGCTGTTGGAAAAAAACATTAATTTCATGCCCAGTTAGGGAGGATGGGGAAGAATTTTGTGCCCGGGTTTTGAGCCTTAGAGTGACATCAACAAGAGTTGCTGCACCTGACAAGTTCTTGAATACCAGGTTGGTTTAGTCTAGGTTAATACCAGAGGAGATTTTTGTGGAGTCATAAATGTTTTCCGATTTTAGGGTATTCACAGTCATTTAACCACATCTGAAAATCAAAGGACATACAAATCGGATACAGAGCTTTTACTTCAAAATCTCCAGGCACACAACCAAACTAGGACATTTCTAGTTTGGATTAGCACTTCTGCATGTAATCTACAAAATGGATGCAACATCAAAATGTTCCAGATTTTCCACCAATCTGGAAAATCTCCTCCAGTCTAATCCTAGCTTTGGAAAGAGGTCATACTCCAATGTTCTGTGGTCACAAGGTTGGGGGGTTGTGTACAGTTCTGAGAACTGTCTGGAAAAACAACATGAGTAAGCTCTTATTTATGTGTAAAAGACTGGTTGATTTTTGTTTCCAGACCGGGATATGGCTGCCAGGCATCGTGCACGAGGCTCAAGTATTCAGATCATGAAAGTTGATGTTATTCCAGCCAACAAGTGCCGAAGGCCACATGTCAAACAGCTTCATGTAAGCTATTTTTTTAAAATTTTTGTTAACAATTTCAGCAATGATTCAAATGCACCAATCATCAACAGTTGGCAGGGTGCTGTTTGGTAAGGCAGGTCTCTTAGTATGATCCAGTATGTTCAGATACCTGTTTCGAATCAGCCACTTCTGTGCTTTGAAGGTCAATTGAACTATTATCATGCTGTATTATACTACAGAGGTCTTAAATCACTACCTTTAAATTAGCTTACTTGACATCTTTATGTACACTTTATGAAAAGTTATTGAAATGCCTGAAAATTATGGCACATCGCTAGTTGTTAACATCATCCAATAAACAGCAGCATTAAGCAGACAAGATTGGGGTTGTCAGGCTGTGTTGTCAAAGTAAGCTGCCAGTCCAGAGATATTTTATTCAAAAAATGCCATCTGTAAAGAAATGCCAAGCAGAGTAGCTGGCCAATACTAATGAAGTAGGTGGCGATTTTCGCCGGCAGCCGGCTACTTTTGACAACCCTGCAAGATGTTATTCCCACAAACTTTAGGAGTGAACACTCGGGTTGTTCTGTTTCTTGGGTCACGAAGAGAATAAAAATTACTAAGCGTTAACTAGGCATTTTACCGTTACAGGGGTAGTTTGGTATGTGTACATTAAAGTATGATTTTGGGAATATGCTTGACCACATGTTTGAGATTGATGCCTGTTTGTTACATTTGTTTTTGTTTCACAGAATTCCAAGATAAAGTTTCCTCTGCCCCACCGTGTCATCAAGTCGCACTTCAAATCTAAGTTTGTGGCTAAGCGTCCCAACACCTTCTATTAAAAATGATGTGAAATAACACTGGGAAGCAAATAAAAATCAATCTCTTAATACTGTGGATTTTGTTGTGTGTTTATTTGCTGTTGATAAATGTATGTAGTTTATTTACTAGAGCCCGGTTAATGCGAACACCAAGGGGACATGCCATAGTGTCTGTATTAAGCAGGCTGTCATAAAATATGTTTTTAGTTTTAGAGTTACCGGTACTTATTGTAAGTACAACTCGAAATCTAAAACTCAAAGAAATGGCTTTGAAATGGCTCTAGAAGGGAACAGACAGTAAAACACGCCACACAAAATAAAGCAAGTTGAGTCATTTTTATTGTGATTTTTTTTTTCAAAAAATGGAATTTTGAACATATTTTGTTTATTTTCCATTCACTTTCTTATAGAAATCAAATAACTAGCAAACGCGCATATAGAGTCTGGGCTGCCTGTGGTACAATATTCAATTTATGTCGGTCACAGGCAGGTACAGAAAACCTGCATCCATAAGGCCAAGTTTACCATAATGAGAGTTTGTGACTTGGGCCGTTAGTCCATATTAACTGGTGTCTATTTTAGGCGAGTTAACTTTAGAGAAAATGTGAGCTTTTTGTCCGGACAAACAAAACTGTTCATTATACATGGGTGTCAATAGAGCGGGATTGCACTGTACTCTTTCACTGGTTTAAACCGAGGGTTCATGTCATAACATGATGTTTCTGTAGTGTGTAGTCCTGTTGTTAATAGGCTGATTTAGCAACAGAACGGGAACATTAGTTGACAGCGTGCTCAAATCAAACAACTGGCCTGGCCAATAGCAGAGCGGCAAATCGGGCACTCCGGAAGTCGAGTTTAGTCCTTCCTGCACGCTTTCTCATCATCAAATGACGTTCCCGTTCTGTTGCTAAATCAGCCTATTAGTGTCTGACATTTTGACAACCTGTGCAGTTCTCATTTTTTTGGAGTCAAAGTGACTTCAGTCATTGATTCCATTTTCATCTCCTCCCTGTCCCCTCCTTAACCGCCTGAGTCCCAAAAGTGACCATTATCACCTCTATCCTAAAAAATATCAGTAAATAGTTAATAGGCTAGGTTGAAATAATGATCACCAATGGAAAATGCTTTGATCCTTTGTCAAATTCTCTCAACTAATTAATACTTTAAGGAAACGTATTGAACTTAGTGTGGGGAATTTGTTTGTGGATATGGCTGCAGGCAATTCTCTGTTGCTGTGAAGGGGACATTGCGACATTGGTATTAGAAAAATCGCAAGGAAAACAAAGATGTAGCTTGAGATTGAGGTAAGTGATTAAAAGTTTACTCTGAATTCAGCCTAAAGGATATTACTATATACCATAATTCATAGACTACCCCTCAAGCTACTAAGCTTTAAATGTCATTTTGTATAAAAAGGTTTTGATTTGATTTGATTTGATTAGAGGTTTAGGCAATGGGTTCAGGGAGGCAGCTTGGCCATTCGGTTAGAGCACTGGACTTGCACTTCGGAGGCCCCGAGTTCAAGTCTATCCCTGACTGCTAGCTGGATTTATTCATGGTAGTCCTGTGTTCAAATCCTTGATCACACTTGTAAATAGCCGACTGGTTTGCCTCGGGCCAGTTAGAATTCTTTTTCAGGCAATGGTACAACCCCACCAGTATTGGTGCTATAAATACTGCATAGGGTAAACAACACAAATTTATTCATTTATTTTATGAGTTCTAGTAAATATCAGTAATAGATATTGTTGTGTCCTAGAAGGTTTTATGCTTCATGTCATTTGGATGGAATTTGACGAAGGACATTGTTTAGAGCATCAACGTGTAGGCAGAATGAAGTACTTTGAAGTTTAATGGAGCTGAAAAAGATGGGTGCTGTAACATCCAAAGAAGGCTATAACTTCCAGGGGAAAAAATTTTGTAAGGAAATTTTTCACTTCTTCCAAAATGATGGGCTACCAACCCATTTCCAAGCCAACTCCCCCTCCCCCTTTGACGTTGAGTCTGTTTGAGACATTTTAAACATCTGATTCTCAAAGGTTTCCACTCAAAATCTTCGCCGTTATAATGTGCAACCATTGGCTACCGCAGTACATTTTTCAGCGGATCGGCTCAACCGCGCAGAAGGGGAGTGACTGGGGCGGGTCCAAAGGGTATTCATTGTAGGTCGTTCAAGGTGACCACAGCAGTATAAATTTCGATCGCGATGTAAATATTCAGTTTGTTTGAGTTTAAAGAAAGTTCCGGTTAACATGCTTTCGTCAAGGGCTAACAGGCAAGTTTTAAGAGCTTGTAGACTCGCGATTTCACCATTTCTGCGTCGCAATATTCAAACTTCGAAGCCGAGATCGACTTTTGCGAAAGACCTTTTTCTTGGCCGTTTCAACAAGGTAAGGGAAATGAAAATTTAATCGTCTGTTTTCTTTTAAAGTTTATCTTTGAAGCCATATGAGCTATTTAACTTTTAAATGGAAAAAATCGTATGGAATAATAATGAATGGCAATCGGAACAGAAAGTAGGAAAGGCACGTCGCTAATCCGAAGCGCGAAAGCGATGGGCCATGTGGCGCCAAACGATGATTTCCAAAAGTTTATGACTTGGTCAGTTAAATGCGAAACTTTTATAACTGTTTGCATTGTGAAATCTTTATAACTTATAGAGAGGTAGACATATATCAGTTTTAACTTCTCGTTTTTGAAGCTTAACTATGCAAGAATGATCATGACTTGTCAGCTGGTAAGATAAAGAAACTCTTGCTTTCTTGTTATTATGTCAACTTCAGTATTTTGAATGACAAGTCACGAGAGAGGGATGATGTCAATCAAAGTCATTCTCAAAGAACTTGATTACACTTAAAATTTACCAACTCTAAGGAAAGAATTCTTCTTGATTGAAAACCTACTTTTGACTTTTTCTGCTTGATTTTCCAGGAAGTTGGAGTGTTTTTGAGGCGTAGTTACTAAAACAAGGAATGACCTACAATTTACCAACTCTACAATGGAAACGAGCATTCTTCATTAAATGTTTGATCTACAATGACCTACAATGAGCTACTATGACCTAACGTGTAATCCCTGTAATGAGCTAAAATGAAGATTTTAGAAAAAGACAAAAAAAAAAAAAGATCAGGAGACATGTGTGTGTAAACGTAACGCGTTTAGTCTACTGCATGACAGCCCATTTAACGATGACAGCATCTCTAATTATTACCCTTGGAGATAAATTTACAGTGTAATAATACATGTATGCTGATACTGTGACTTTTGTCCAAACCATCCCTTGCAAACTTTCGCATTAGTTTTATTTTGTCTTGTCTTTTTTTCAAACAAATTGAACACAGTCACCCCAACAGTCGATCCGGGGGGATCTTCAAGGGACGTAAGGGTAGAGATGGACAAAGGAGGCCTTCAAATTCTGACCCTGTTCAAAAGAAAAATTGTTCATTTTTTTTCAAGTACCCTGGCCTGTATAAGACATCATAAGACCCTTTAAATGGCTTTCGGTCCAACAGGATGCTCTGTTTGTAACGCTAAGTTGTAAAAATATCCTGCTCTGCCCATAAAAACACTTCCAATTTTATATTTAAAATTAATCTAAAACCTGAGGCACAATTTTAGTTTGCCTTTTCAAAATGTGCATGTTCAGATCCAAGCGTGACACGACAAACATTGGTCATCATTGACAAACTTTTTTCTTGTTATTTTCAGACATTTGATGATGTAAAAGCTGGTATAGGTTCTTGCATGTTCAGATCTTCATTGACAAGCTTGTTATTTTCAGACATTTGATGATGTCATAACTAATAACTGTTACCATGGTAACAGTAAAGCCATGAAAATGAGTTTCCAAATATAATTTGGTCACCTATTTGTTCTCCCATTTTAGAAAGTTTTTTTTATTTGCACAGGAAAAAGTTTTCCCATTTCCTGAGCCACTTAATGAAGAGCAGATGGCAACTCTGAACATGCTTGTGGAGCCCGTAGAGAAGTTCTTTGAGGACAAAGGTAATGGAACAATAGCTAACAACAGCTGATATACTGTATATTTGGTTTCATCTTTCTCCATTTCTTTTATTTACAGTTGAACCTCTTTACAACGGCCACCTTGGGAACAGAAGAAAGTGGTAGTTGTGGAGAGGTGGCTGTTTATGGGGTGGTAGGGATGTACTGTAATATGACAAATTCTTGTTAGGGAGTACAACATGTTAATTGTGCTGTGTTCATGCTTTCTGTATCCCATAATGTTAATCCAATCACAAGTAATATATGTAGAGAAAAAAATGACCCAAAAGCTTGATAATGTTTTGAAACAGAATGTTAATTTGACAAACCAAACAAACTCGTGGACAAGTCTTGCTTACTGTAGCAGTATAAATGGAACACAATCAAAACACGATTGCTGCCGTAACATTAATCATCAATGCGCCTTACAGATCAAATTTCATGGTCATTCTTGGCTTTTTCCAAAGTGGCTCAAAATACTGGCCATTTTTGAGACGTTATTTTGGTAGTTGGGGACACACTTTTGGCCATTGCCATTGTGGAGAGGTTGAGCCATTGTAAAGAGGTTTAAATAAAAGTCAATGTATGGACTGTCCACTGGGACAAAAAAGTGGCCATTAAACAGAGGTGGCTGTTGTGGAGAGGTAGCCTTTAGTGGAGGTTTGACTGTATATTGTTAGCTTATACTGTAAACTGCTGCTTATAAGCTCCCCCAGTTATGGGCTCATTTGTATCTTTTGACAGAAAATATATCCAAATATAAGCCTCCCCCTCCTCCCTGGTAAGTCCCCCTCCAAATGTATTCAAATGAATTTAATTTATGATGTTTTGAAGCTTAATTAAAAACCAGTAAATGCAAAACATATTTTGATCAGCCCTACTGTAGCTTGTTTCGAAGCTCTTTTTCTGTTGTAGTTGTAAGCTTCCTTGGATGCAAGCTCTTCAGTCTATAAGCCCTTCTACAATGCCAAAAGAAGATGTATAACCCCATGGCCAAGGCCTCTGTGGCAGTTTACAGCATACTGATGGTTTACATCGCATGTTACCATATTATTCCTGGAGTTGACTTTAATGTCAGTTGCAACAAACCTTCACTCACTGACACTGAATGCTTCAAAATAACTTATGATTGTTACCTTACAGTGGATTCTGGCCAGATAGACAAAGATGCGAAAATTCCTAATGATGTCATGGAAGGACTAAAGGAGCTTGGTCTGTTTGGTCTGCAGATCCCGGAAGAATATGGTGAGATCCATTATTCACTTACTTTTAGTAGTGGTTTATTCTGTCTGCAAAGACATATGTTTATCCAGGTGAGAGTGGAGTGGGATAGAAAATATTGGCGTTGACTACCGTATTTATTCGATTAACTGCCCTGGGCGCTTATTAAATTTTTGGACCTTGAGAGTAGGCGCTTATTCGAGGTGGGCGCTTATTCGAGGCTGGCGCTTATTAAATTTTCACCATTTTCAGCAAGTGAAGTATGTTTATTTTGCAACAAAACAATAAAATATTAATGCTAATTACAAAACGTGAAGAAGTAACAAAGCAAGGTTTCTGTAAAATACTCTGAAGAAAACTCCGTCCTCAGGAAAGTCTCTTATTAGAATTTATTCACTCAAGTAGGTGGTGTGGGGACTGGGAGTGAGCTCTTATTTGAGTCTAATTGGGAAGAGGAGGGGGTGGGCCCTTATTCGAGGCTGGGCGCTTTTTAACTTTTCCTGCCTTTAGGATGGGCACTTATTTGAGGTAGGCGCTAATGCGAGGTTGGGCACTTATTCGAATAAATACGGTATATTGATGTCTTTAGACCGTTTGAGGTTCAAATATTCTGAAAGAAAGTTAAAAGAAATTCATTTGTCTCTATATGGACACCTCTGGACTTTTAAAGTAATGTGTAGATTTGTTTCTGGGTGATCTTCACATTTTTCTGACTGTCAATTTTCCATAAGACAGGCATGACACTGACTCAAATAAGTTTAAAACTAACTTGCTCTGCAATCCAGTGTGTGTGCATGCATTAAATGACTTCCTTTTGGCTGAAATTTTAGGAGGTCTTGGTCTTCTGAATACCAATTATGCAAGAGTTGCTGAAGCCTTCTCATTAGATGCCAGTATTGCCGTCACTCTTATGGCCCATCAGTCAATTGGTTTAAAGGTTTGATCCTGTTTTTTATTATTAATGATAATAATAATAATCATCATCATCATCATTGTCATCATCATCATCATCATCATCATCGTGATCTGGTACTTGAAAGTTGTAGAACTAGAGGACAAAGTTGTTGCCATTGTTATCAGTGGACTGGGTACTATTCCGAGGAGACTGGAGACCTACCTGTTGGGAGAAAAAAATGCTGGGGTAGAGTTGGCAGCACTTCAATCAAAGACCAATCTTGCGCTGGGATCAGCAATGATCCTTTGAAGAACCCTTGAAGTCTAAAGTAACTTGTTGCCACCTGTTGATGGGACTAAAATTTCCTGCATTATCGTATATATACATGTATGCTGTAAAGCATGCACAATAACAATAATAATAATAATAATAATAGAAATTGCTTTCTTGTAGTTATACTGTTATATTTTTTTGAGAACTAAAAATTAACAGTTGAGTATTTTTCATAATTATTTATTGATTTTGTTTTTACCAGGGTATTCTTATTTGTGGAAATGAACAACAGAAAATGAAGTACTTACCAAGGCTGGCTTCTGGTGAACACATCGCAGCATTCTGTCTCACAGAGCCATCAAGGTACAGATTATTTTTCATCCAGTTGTTAAATCAATGGAAGTGAAAACTAAATGTACAGTGGTGGGTGGGTGGGTAGTGGGTTGAAGCTCTGCTTACCATGCTTTGTGATGAGTGTAAGATTTTAAATATGGTAAGGTGAAGGTGGACACAAGACATGGTTCCCCGATGGGACTCCCCATGCATCGGGATGCTTGTCATTTCACTTACACGCCAGAGGTGGAAATTGCAAAATTATTTTTAAATCACTTATATTGTTCAAGACAGAATGCAAATACTTTTTGCCATTAAAGTAGACACCACTAAGGGTTGTGTGTAAGAGAAATATCTGCATAAAAAAGATAAAAAATGCCATCGTGCTGTACTTTGTTGGAGTATGGTCTCTTTTGGGGTCAAATGAAACCTGTGTCATGTCCAAATTGGTCTCCTTCAGGGTTCGAAATTTACTTTTATGTCCAGTTGCCCCTGGGGCAACTACAAGACTTGGTTTGGTTGCCCATAGAATATTTTGGTTGTCCAAGCTCTTGCCCCAGTTCAAGCCAAGAAACTAATACAGCTAGCTGTCTTATGCGCCTCACTTATTTCATGTTTTTTGAACCCATCAAGACGAAAACTGTTGTTACCTTTTTCGCTCCCAAAGGCAGATTTATCTTTCGAAAACTGTCTGCAATAACTGCAAAACATGGCGTTTTCTTTCTCGTCAAATTTCAGCCAGGGTCTTCTAGTCTTCCACGTCTCTTGAAATGTACGACACCTTTTTCTTGAACTTTCTTGCGCCTTGCCTAATTCTGCTGTAGATTTTGCGACACCCGTCGCCGTAGCATTGCTTTGATCATCATCTTTCTTCGTGGCTTCCAAATTGTTGTTATCGCCAACGGCCTTCACTTTCTCATGGCCGAAGTAGCAGAAGAGGCTCATGTTAACTAACATGATACCGGTAATAATAAGACGAATGGTAAATTGTCATCGTCGAAACAAACATGGCGGCATCACGGAGCGAATCTCACTAGTGCATCATGGACTATGTTTACTGGTACCAACCGCTGATTAAAGCACAACAGGCTCATTCAAATAAGAATGTTGTGCAAAAACGAACTTCGGTTTCCAACGGTAGTGTACGTGATACTTTAGTATTTCTTCCGCGTTTTTTTTTCTTTCCACTAACTTAGTTTAGGTATCGCTTACTCTCCAAAGACAACAA